TCCGCACGATCGAACAGTCGTAAACACTTTTCTGTGTTTCCGTGACGATGACAGTGACTGTCGGGGTGGGGTGTCTTCGGAAGATCGGCGGATGAGCGAAACTTCGCCCCATGTCATTGCTTCAAATGACCAGGAAGTGGGCAATCTTGGGGGAGTTAACAATGCCCTCTCTGAGGCTTCAGCAGCTTCTGATTAGGCAGCTCGAGCACCCAACGGAAGTCTTTTCTTCGCTACCGTATTGTGTATTCCCCACCCCATCCCTCGTTACCATGGATTATGGCGGGGCTGCACTGCTTAGCCAGAGAGCAACAACGGCAGAGCGGAGAGCATGGTTGAAAATGATGTGCGAGTGTGCAAGTTTAGTCGGTGTTGCTGCGTCACCAGCACGTCACCTCCAGAGGCGAACCAATAGTGCGCGAGCAATCCTGACGTTGGCACTGGCGTCCTCCTCACACTCTTTCTTTTCCCTCTTTCGTGCAATGCGGGACCAGCAATTTCGAATACGCTGCTGAGAACACGGCTAACTACGCACTAAACGTGGTATGCATTACGTACCACCAAGTACAAAGCGTGTGCAAATACTCCTTCAGAGGGAGGGGGGGGGGGGCAAACGTTCGTCACAGCACCCTCCTCCACATAATGTCAATGATCATCTCATCATCATCATTATCAGCCTGACTATGCCTACTGCCAGGCAAAGGCCTCTCCCATGATCCAAAAATCAACCCAGTCTTGTGCTTTTCGTTGCCACATTACCGTATTTACTCGATTCTATCGCGCCCTCGATTGTAACGTGCACCCGGTTTCTACGACGAAAAAAAAAAGAAGTAAGACATCGATCGCAATGCACACCCATTTTTCTCGTTGGCCCACACGATTACACCACTTGGGAAAATGACTCCTTTCGGGAGCGTCTTCCGTTTAAATATGAGGTAGGGGGGAAGCTTGTGCCTATCTGACGTGCAACGGAGCATTGTCGTCACTCTAGTTTTACAGTGGCCCGATGTCAGCACGCGAACTTGCTTCGCCCCCTTCTTCTCGACGGTTGTGGTGCCAGGAATGTCGAAGTGAAGAGGCGTCTGATCGGCGTTCCCGATTTGCCCAAGCAAGTAGCCGTTGTTTGCCGCAAGTTTAGGACGAACCTCCGAAAACTGTGAATCCTTTATTCTTACTCTTCCGGCAACTTATGGCATATGCCCGTTCGCCTTCAGAGGGAAAAGCCTTTCCTCTTCATAAAGTTAGTTAGCCAGCACATGTTCACTTTAAACTGGCTCCGTATTAGCCCTTTTTCTAAGGCTAACTGCATAGCCTGCACTTAGAGCAGTTCTGTCGCCACAGGCCACTGTGCCGCTCACTGCTCAATCACATACTCGCCGAGTAGCTCTTCAATTTGCGGAAACCGACCCTGCTGTGGTCCACTGAAGCCTTCGCATGAATCTTTGCTGTCGACAATATTCTGCTTTTGTTTCTGCCAGTCCCGCATGCATGTTTCGGGAACTCCGAACGACCGCGATGCGGCCCGATTTCCGTCCGTTTCGGCACACGCGATGACTTCTCTTTTAAAAGCGGCATCGTGGTGCCCTCGTCGAGTTTTTGGAGTCGGCCCTTCCATGCCGTCGATGCTAATGCACCACTAGATGACGAACTCCTCAGCACACGTACGAAGTGCCGCACATGGGAAACACATAGGCAGAAATGGCCAACGTGCCATGCCGACGCACGTAGGGGGCGGCTATTTCGGAAATGCCGATGGCAATAGAATGACTGTATTCATTTTTTTTTCGTACTCGATTCTAACGCGCATGCGATTTATGAACTCGCTTAACCGGAAAAAAGATGCGCATTAGGTTCGAGTAATTACGGTTTACCTGCAAACTTTTTAATCTCATCGGCCCACCTACTTTTGTCTCCTCTTCGTGCATTGGCCTTCTCTAGGAATCCAGTCAGTTATCCTTAATGACCAGCAGCTACCCTGCCTTCGTGCTACGTGCCTAGCCCATGTCCATTTCTTCTTATAGATTTCAACTATGATATCTTTAACCCCGGCTTGTTCCCTAACCTACCCTGCTGTCTTTTTGTCTCTCAAAGTTACACCTGTCATTTTCCTTTCCATTTGGTACTGCGTCATCCTCAATTTAAGCTGAACCCTCTTTGTAAGCCTCTAGGTTTCTGCTCTGCAGGTAAGTACTGGCAAGATGCAGCCATTATATACGTTCTTATTGAGGGTTAGTGGCAGGTTACAATTGATGATTTGAGAATGTTTGCTGAATGTGATCCACCCCATCCTTATTCTTCTAGTTATTTTACTGTCATGGTTCAGCTTCGCGTTTACTACCTGTCCTACCGTAATTACTCGAATCTAACGCGCACCTTTTTTCCGGTTAAGCGAGTTCATAAATCGCATGCGCGTTAGAATCGAGTACAAACAAAAAAATTACGGCCAATCTATTGCCATCGGCAAATCTAAAATGGCCTCCCCCTACGTGCGTCGGCATGGCGCGTCGTCCATTTCTGCCTATGTGTTTCTCATGTGCGGCACTTCGTACGTGTGCTGAGGAGTTCGTCATCTAGTAGTGCATTAGCATCGACGGCGTGGAAGGGCCGACTCCAAAAACTCGAGTGCACCACGATGCCGCTTTTAAAGAAAAGTCATCGCGTGTGCAGAAACGGACGGAATTCGGGCCGCATCGCGGTCGTTCGGAGTTCCCGAAACGTGCGTGCGGGACCGGCGGAAACAAAAGCAGAAGATTTTCGACAGCAAAGCTTTACGCAAAGACTTCAGTGGACCACAGCAGGGTCGGTTTCCGCAAATTAAAGAGCTGCTCGGCGAGTATGTGCTTTAGCAGCGAGCGGCACAGCGGCCCGTGACGGCAGAACTGCTCCAAGTGCGGGCTATGCAATTAGTCTTAGAAAAATGTCTAATGCGAAGCCAGTTTTAAGCGAGCAGGTGCTGGCTAACTAACTTTATGAAGAGGAAAGGCTTTTTCCTCCGAAGGGGAACATGCATATGCGAAAAGTTTTGCGGAGGAGTACGATGAAAAGCTTCACAATTTTCAGAGGTTCGTCCTAAACTTGCGGCGCAACAATGACTACCTGCTTGGGCAAATCGGGAATGCCGATCAGACGCCTCTTTACTTCGACATGCCTGGCACCACAACCGTCGAGAAGAAGGGGGCGAAGCAAGTTCGCGTGCTGAGATCGGTCCACGGTAAAACTACAGTGACGGCAATGCTCTGTTACACGTCAGATGGGCACAAGCTTCGCCTGTACCTCATATTTAAATGGAAGACGCTCCCGAAAGGAGTCGTTTTTTTCGAGTGGTGTGATCATGCGGGCCAGCGAGAAAAAATGGGTGCGCGTTGCAATCGATGTCTTACGTTTTTTTTTTTTCGCGGTGGAAATCGGGTGCACATTACAATCGAGGGCGCGGTAGAATCGAGTAAATACGGTAAGTAGATATATTCCTTGACGACTTCCAGCATCTCCCCACCTATTGCAAAGTTCTGTTTTCTGCAGAGACTGTTGAAGTTGATAATGTCAATGTATGGCGCTAACTTTCTACCCCCCTCTCTCTTCTTGCGTGCTCACGCCTATGACTTAGTACCAATTTGCATGTGTTCACGAGCGCCATGCCCACTAAAGGAGGAATTAATACAATGCCAGAGTAAATATTGCCTAAAGTGCCCACCACGAAGCCATTTCTTTCTTTTTGTCAATGTTCAAAAATTATTGGCATTCTCGCATGCCCGTCCGATGGCATGCGGTGGGGACACTAAAGAGCATTTCTAAACTACTGTGGAGTATGGGATACGCAGCCAACGCAGTGACTTACATAGAGACGAAACAGACATAATCGGCTGTCCAAGATAAGTGTGTACCACGATCTGCTAAAACATTTGCAATATTTTGGGGACGCCGTACCATCGCAGGAAGCTGATCCTCTACAGGATAGTTGGGTGCAGCGCTTCGCCTACTTTGCAAACACACCGTGCTGAGCCACTTGTGCCCACACTGCTTCAGCTTGATACCGGGCACAGATGCGGCGAGAAGCCTGTAGCATTAACGGGACAATGAGAGCTTTCTGCAATAGATGCTCTCGTGGTCCTGGCAGCAGACAAAGGCGCATTTGGGGTATTGCCTCATAAAAGCGTGTGCTACACTTGCTGTCTCGGTGCCCGCGATCCACAGCACTCCAACTCCGCAACAGCGAACTGCTTTCCTTTCTACGACCCGGTGCATGCTGAGCACGGTCCGGCACAACCATTGAGGCGGCAGCGATCGGCGCCTCAGCACTCTCGAGTAGTCGCCGACTATTAAGAGCGTGTAGTAGGCTTAAAGCTGCGCCGCACCACACACGTAGGCTTTTTGTCAGCGATAAGTCATACTGGTGCACTTTTTGGTAGTCGCCACATCACCTTCGTTTTTCGCCGATGATTACCAAAAAAGATACGGCCTCATTCCCGTGGAAGTCGATATAATTGATCAGCCGATTCCGTGCTTTTACAGCAGCGCAAGTGTACAAGATATAGACCACCACGTAATCGACTAAGGTTGCACGGCGGGCTTGTTGGTTATTTATGTTGTTCGAGGTATAGCGCATCCAGGACGGGACAGAGAAGAAGACACAGAACACATACACGGCGCTAATCACGTAATATCCGCTCACAGTACGTACGGTCACCATTACTTTTAGCTCTAAAGCCACTTCGTGGTGTAGCAAAGGCACAAATTATACAAAAAAGACCCTTTCGAAGCAGTATAGTGCAGTAATTTCCAGTTGGTGAAGCTTGGCGCAATTGGCGCAGGTTTCTCACCACTGGCATTTCTATACAATTGGTGATGCTAGGTTTTTTCATGAATCATGCTGTTACTATCAAAACCTTTAACTCATACAAGCTTTGCTTAAGTCACAATAAAATGTTGTGCAGCAGCACTTCATGAGTTATATTAGAGTGCTTTCTTTCAATATTCTGGATACAGCAAAATGGCAGGCCACTCACCGCCCCGGAGAAAGTGGTCAGCAGTCTTTTTGCGCAGTGTGTCCACCTCCTGGTCATCTGTGGATGCCCACTCAAGCACCAAACGCCTGCCATACAAGTGGGTGCTCTGGCACAGAGCCTCGAATGCACGCTGCACAATTAAGGACAAAGGATATGATGTACCGCAGCAAAATCAAACAAATCAAAGCAACTGTTGCTAGAATATAGCCCCAATACTTCATTTTCTTGAGTGTAACTTGCACAAAATATGCATAAAATTGTGAGCTAAAGTCATGGTGCAGGTTAGTATTTAGCTGGGCAGTGCGCTGGGCTCATGACATTTCCCTTGAAGAGAGGAATCTTACAATGACCACTGAAACATCACGTTAAGCAACTTACAACGAAACCATCTTGGTAGAAAGCACAAAAATTTTACACAGGAACGCAAGACACAAGCGCTTACAGAGCTCATGTCTTGTGTTCCTGTGTAAAAGTTGTGCGCTTCCTACCAAGATGGATTTATATGAACTGGCCCCATATAATTGGTTATTAAGTTACAAGGAAAGATTCAGTTAGAACATCACAGATACATTCTGCTACTGTACTAGGACTGAAGGCTCTTCTGAGCAATTTATTGACAATTAGTGAGCATTAAGTCAAATATAAACATTAGTTTTGTTTAGAGTGCTTTGGAAATAAAATCGTGGCTGAGATTCAATGTTAATCATGGCCATGCAGATAATTTTAAATGAAATTAACTTAGCTAGATGACAGAGAGAAATCGTGAGCTAGGAATTTTCTAAAAGCTCTTTGAAGTTAGAGCGATCTCTTTAGAAACTTCTTTCTCAACTTCGCCAGAGTTGCCGATGTGAACTGTGAAAAAGCAAAGCGCACTCACCTTGGCATCATTTTTGGTGAGAAATTCAACGAAGCCAAAACCACGATGTCGACCACCGGCAGCAATCTTCCTTGGTAACCGGATGCCTCGCAGAGTCCCAAAAACACTGTGCCAGAACAACAGACAAACTTCTTTTATTAGAAATTATATATCCACTCTTAAAAGGCCACAGTGTCAAAACCTTTGCCTATGCCTTCTAAGCACATATCACTTCCTGATTTCGTGCAGTCACTACACACAGTTTTAGCAGCACTTGAAAAAAGGCATTCAGTGCTCGGTCAACACAGCTTGCAATCTCAGGCCAAGTGGTTACACTTCAGTATTAGACAGTGTAACATGCATTAGCAGATTAAACACACATGACAAGAGATACATATCTCAGAACATTTACACCAAGCTGTAATGCCAACTACAGTAATAGCTTGTTAATTTGGAAGAAGCCAAGTTTGCCCTGTCATATCCACTAAGCATCTGTCTTAAAAGTTAATTATCAATGATCTCCAAGGATTGCTCATTTGAATGAACCGGAGAGCACACTGATGTTGCGGACGTGCAAAAAAACAGAGCCAAGGTGGTGGTTACATCGAAATGAAACAAAATAGGTGGGACTAAAATCATTACAGCCATCAGCAGATTCCTTACAGGGATGACACGAAAGTAGTTCGCGCCTGAAGCAGTCTGGTGATCTAAAGGCTCAATGAAAGTATCTACTGAAACAGTCTCCAATATCATGACGCCATAATGATTGCTTCATTCACAGTTTGATTAAATGGGTATATATCAAAACGTGGATTGCATGAAATGAAAGGCCTAATTGGCACTACGCCATTGAAGTAATTTCAATAAATGTGGTATATGTTGTGAGGCCTGCATGTTATTTTTTTACATTAACTCCCTAGTACGTACCAGAATCTCCATGACGCTACATGTTTGGATGAAAAAGGTGAATGACATCTCATCATGCATGGCAATAAAACAAGAAACGTTCGATGAATGCAATGAAAACACCACATCACTGTTGCAGGCAGACAGTAAAAATGTAAGAACACTGGCAACTGAAAACGTCTGTGGAGGAAGTTCATTTCCAACATAGCAAGTGCAGTATCGAGTGCATATCGTTTCGCAATGTGCGAGATACCATTCCGTCAATTCTCTTGGAAAAATAACCAGAAAAAATGTAGTACTGAGGCTGATTTTAAATATTATGCAGCATATTTTTGAAAGACTTCTTAAGGTGCACTGAAAAAAACTATGAGGCTAATGGGTACTGCAGTACCCTACTGCCTCTGAAGGTAGTCAACATTACGAAACTACACTAAAATTCTTCCAAGGTCTCATATTGTACATTTATGCAAATAAGCCAAATGAACGAATGAATAGACTTTTTTTAGAGTGAGTCAGGCAGTTTCCTTTGTGTGAGCTGGGGGCAAGAGGAGGATTAACCCATGTCTCGCCCTACTCTGAGTCTACGATGATGATGGTGATGATGACGATCATGCAAATTTGTCACTATTTTTCATTACATTTTCTCTAGAATTAACTGAATTTATTAAGCTCTTCATTCATCCACAACAAATAGGGAAGAAAGCAAGAAAAAAAGGGGGGGGGGGGGGGGTTGTTTTAGTGGTCGGCAAACATCATCCTGCCCTAGGCCTTTAATGGTGTCGTCATATGCCCCCTTCAGCTTCAGTTGTATGCACTGCTGAACCAAGCTTGGGCTCTGTGATACGTGTGCCCTCACGAATAAACTAATGGCTCTTGGTCTCAAGTCTCTCAGTTTCCTATAAATCTGGCCAGTCCATGACATATCTCTTAGCTAGACGACCTCACTTCAATAACGGTAGCACGATGACTCAAATGCAGTTTTACTGAAGGCACCACCACAGCGCCACCCTTCTAACAAACGGGAATGAAACAAAACACTGAAGAAAGCACGCAAATGGGATGCCTACCTGAAAAGATCCTGGACCTCCTTCTGGTTGGCCTGGAAAGGGATGTTGCGCACCAGGATCTTGGTGCCTTCCTTCCCAAGATCTGTGACCTTCTTGCGCTGTGCGGATGCCACTTCCCTGCACCATAATTCAGTAAATCGATCGGTTCGTGTCCCATTTCCCACGGTATCATTCCTGATGTTACTAGCAAGGGGCATCTAGCACCGTTAGACATCAATATAAAAATTAGTAAAATTGGCTATCTGCTTTGTAACATCGCCAAAATCACCATCATAATAAAATTCTGCCCTCAATATGAAGCACGGTCATCGAGAGATGATCCTTTTAACAGCTCTTGCTCCAATAAATGTTGAGATGCAAGGGAGGCACAGAAAAAACTACTGTGCTTTGTCGCATATAACCTGCACCAAAAAATTAAAAAATTTTCCTAAAAAGTGGAGGTTCAGTTTATATGCAGGGGATAAATACATGTTGTTTTTCTCTTTTTGTAGAGCAGGTTATGTGCAGGGGCGAGTTACATATCCAAAAATACGGTGATGCCAACAAGATTAATAGCAGAAAAAAAAACAATGTTTTGTTGGATATGAGAGCTAATGTCCATAATTTTAATTCAATGCCATGCTCATCATGTGCAGCAGTATGGTGTGTAGAAAGCCAAAAGAAATGCAGATCCAATGTACAGTGGTAATCTCAGGCTTGTGTAACCAAAACTAATGCTCACATTTCACCACCACAGCTGGCCAAGAAAACTTTGGGTACCACTTAGATTGGTGTGGCGCTCCAATCAAATGGGCCTAATGAACACACATTGGCATACCCATACAAAAAGTGAGAAATCTTCGTTTTAAAACCACAAAAAAGCAAGGTGACAATCTGAATTACAGTATTGCTTTCCACTGTAACTTTTTTTCCATTTTTATTTGTTTATCAAGTTCTTGAGCAAATTACTGCCTGCATAGCGGTCTCTACCAGCCAGTAGACTGACCATATTCGGCGTTGCTAGTATTGAGATAAACGATGAGAATATAATACTGACCACAAAAAAAAAGAGTTTGGTGTGCAGACACAGATACCAAAGAAGAGAAACACACAACACAAATGAAATGTCATGCTGAGGTAGAAATGCCAAAATTTTCTGCCCCTATGTGGTCCTTCAGTGGATAGTTGGCATTTGTACCATTAACTCCCTTTCTCTTGCGTTCCACATTTAGCCACGTGAATTCTTTCACAAAATGAATGTCAGACTAGTTAGTTCAACTTTCTGTTGTTCTAGTATATGGGGTTCGCTTAGTAACCGAACAGGGTTCAAAACTGCTATGGTGAGCATAAAGTAGCGCAACTCACTCTTTGGTGATGGCCCGTGTGGACAGCTTGAGCTCGAGAGCGTGTCCCTCCAGCTTGGAATGTTGCAGCTGCTTGAGAGCCTGCTTGGCTGCCTTCCTTTCCTTGAACTGCACAAAGCCATAGCCCATGGACAGAAGCTGACCTGCACGAGAGAGTGATCAAGGACACCAATCAGCTGACTGCCTGAGGCCAACAACTGTACAGTGCCTTAGGATGCACAATCCCGAACTGGAAAGCATCTTGAAAGCTACATTGACAGATCGATTGAGTGATTCACCAATCAATCAATCAATCAATCAATCAGTCGATTCTACAGCCCTATACAGCTACAGCATGAGTGAACAAGAAGGAAGCATGTACATTGTTTGAATCATAACACAAATGACATAGCACACATTCTTAAAAAGAAAACAAGAAAAACACATATGCAAAGCCATAAAAAAAAACACTGTTAGTGACAGGGTCTATTGATATGTCTGCCAAATCATAGAATGTTTAGGCTATGCGAAAGCATTCAGGAATTCTGACGACTGAATTTCACCAGGTAATGAATTTTAGTGATCAAGTGCACACGGAAAAGCATGTAAGATAGACTCTCAATAATTCAAACTCTGATCATTCATACTTTCCATTAATTAAGACAAATCTTAAATTTTTGGTTAACCCACTTCACACTTCAAAATGTCCCACTGAACAAATTCAGTTAATTTAAAAATTTTCCTTGTGCCTGTATCTATATCCCTAATTTTTTCTATAACAAATGCCTATGCAGTAGCTCAACTTTCTGTTGTTCTTTCTCGCATGATGCTAGTAGTAAAAGCAACCTTGTTCCAACTCCCTCTGTTCTCTGGAGCACAGCTCTCTCCGCTGCATAACTTTTGTCACTGTGGAAGGGAGCGGAAGATGGATTCTTTGCCCTACCTTGCCTAGTCATGGTTGCTACTTTCAAAGGAGGGAGACTCATACTTCTCTTTGCAACACACTGACTTAATGTACAGAAATACATACAAGGTTATGAACAGCTATTTACATTGAGAACTTCCGCGACAATTTGGCAGAGCCTATAGTGCGTAGCACTGCTCCTGCGACCAGAACTCAATGCCCAAATTTTCAAGAGAGCTACAAGTTCACCCTACAGAAACTGGCACATTGGGAATTCCACAAGTTCTTTACCTGGATTTTTGGTGTCCTTCTTCTTAGCAATGGTGACTTCATGAATAGGCCCACACTGCTCGAAATGCTGCATAGACAAGAAATCAACAGTGCTGTAAGCAAAGCTATGGGCAGTAATCTGAAATATGCTGCTGCACTCAAGAACAAAGATTTTGTTGAGTGTACAGCAGACTTGCAATAATTCAAACTCTGATAATTCACACTTTCGGTTAATTCAAACAAAATTAAATTTTTTGATTAGCCCTCTATACTTTCAATGTATTCAAAATACTCTTAATTCAAATTCATCATTTGATTATTTTATACTTTAGATTAAATCAAACAAAATTAAATTTTTTGATTAGCCCTCTATACTTTCAATGTATTCAAAATCCTCTTAATTCAAACTCATTATTCGATTATTTCATACTTTTCCCGGTTCCATACCGAAAAATATCTCCTGCTCTCCTGCTTTCTCACTACTATTTGAAAATTTGTGTGCTTATATAATCCTAACAGCTTAAAAATAAGTGTCTTAGGCCATTGAGGAAAAAGCCTTTGCTAGTAAACAGATGAAACAGGTGTTTTAAATGAAGTTCATGCACGGTAAACCATGATGCGTCTCAACTGGTACAGAGAGGTTTGTGCTGAAGGCACATATAGGAAAAAAGCAGTTGGAAATTTTTGATTTTTTTAATAGGTCTGATCAGCAGTAAATGGCCAATAAACTTGAGGACCTTACACCTCTGCTTTTTGTTCATTGGGTGCTTTAAAATTGTGTAAAAAATTTTAAAATGCGATAAAATCAATGCCTAATCATAATTTGTGGTGTCACCTAGCCCAGATTCATTTACCTGAGGCATTCTGATATTTCAAACTTCTTGATAATTCAAACAAAATTCAGAAGCCCCTTCGAGCCAAATTAATGAGAGTCGACTGTATTTCCGATAACAAGCTCAATATTTGATGCAACGACCACACTTAAAAGAAGTTAAAGAAAAAAAAAAAAGAAATGAAATGGTGCGGGCTATGCACTTTAGTTCGATACAGCTGTAGAAGTCAGCAACATTTCCTTTTTCAAAGACAGTTGCGTACACCAACGGGCATGTACTCCAGATTGACGTCACGAGTCGGATGGCCGGATTTCTTGCCCCCTTGCCTTCATGAAACATTGCCAAGTGCAGGGCGCGGGACTATTTTGTTCTTCGTGGAGGTGATCAGCTGTCGCGCATTGGTCATCTCAGCCTCTCCTGACTTCTTAAGTTGTCTCTGACCACAGTTATGAGAAGACTCGCGAAACAACCAAGCTGGTGGTGTTCTACACCTCCTCGCTTCCCTTTGCAACACCTTGCTGAACTATAGCATTTAAGACTGTGACATGCTTTACCCTCTCGCTACTTTTTCACCCTCACTTACCTTTCTCACGCCTTGTTATACTATACATGGCTACGGTACGCTTCACTCTCTCCCCTTCTCATCTGCTTTCTGCTAGCCCTGAGTTGCTTTCCCACCCCCTTGCGACACCATAGCATACCATATAAGGATATGATATGCAGTGTTCTTCCTCCTTAGCCTCCTAGGAGCCACCCTCACTTCCATTTCTTACCACCTTGCTATGCTATATTACACAAGGCAAGGCTAATCATTACTCTCTCCCCAACTTGTCATTATCACATCACTCCTCTTCAACCTTACTTCCCTTTCTTACTATTTGTTATAGTACTATATTATGCAAGGCTATGCTGTGCTTTCATATGGTTCCCACAGAAGCTAGGCGAAGGCCTTTGTTAACACCCAACGGCATAGCGAAAAGCTTAAACAGCCCCACTTTTTGAAAAATACCATACAGTGCCGAGATTTCACCAGAGGTCTCAAAAGTTCATATCACCAAAATTAATCTAAAGTCGTGCAGTACTGTATGGCCCTCAAGCAGATAGATTTTTGACTGTGAAACCTCAGAATTTCATTTTTTTTCTTTATAAAATCTTACTGCTGCATGCATACAACTACTTGCTACTGAATGTGCCGAACATTTCTCTACCTTGCACTGGCAGAAAAATAAGAAATTCAGCATCGTCCACATTTATTATTTTGCCTTGGATGACCTGAAGATCGGTCTGATCTCCATTAGGCTTAAATTGTCAAAAGAACCAAAGTAAGAAATAATATGCACCATAACAAGCAAAAAATAATACACTTATGAATTTGAATTTACGCACTCTTAAAGCATCTATTAACCTACAAAATCTATCTGATAGGCCCCCGCTGATAAATATATCAAACAGGACAAGTAATAAAAAGAAAAAAAATACAGCTAAAATTAATATCAGGAAGAGCACTTGCCTCTCGGACGACCTCCTCGTTAGTAGAGAAGTTGAGGTTTTTGATGAACAGGGTTGTGTCTGGCTCTGGTGGTATGTCTTCTTCCTCTGCTTCCTCTTCTACATCTGCAGGTTGCTCAGCGTGTTCCTGCTCTGTGTCCTTGGTCTTTGTCTCACCCTAAGCCAAAGTTACAAACTGTGAGCCTGAGGCCACGCTTTCATCGTGCATTCTATGACATGAACGCATAAACCAGGGAGCACAATACGACTAAATAAATCCAACTGTCTGCATCCTCTCACACCTGAATAGTTTCTCTCTTTAGTGTGAATAAAAAAAAAGTATCCCACAGTATTACACATTAGCACTGAATGAACCATGTGTTGACTGGCTCGGTTCATGAACTTTTCATCCCCGTAAGAGGCTCGGAGCATTACATACAAGGGGGCGTGGTAAGTATTAAACAAGAGATTACCATGTTGTCACAGAACGAGCGCTAAAAAAGAGCGCGCCGCCAAATTCTTGCGACAACGGGCGGGAGAAAACGCCGCAAGGTCAAAAGAAAAAAAAAAAAAAAAGAGAGCAAGCATCCAGGGCTCCCCGGGCACGCGACGCCTCTCCTCTCGGAAGCGGCGAAGCGATGAACCTCCTCACCCATAGGGACGAGGCCGGAGATGAAGAGGCCGGAGATTTGGTCCATAGGGACGAGGCCGGAGATGAAGAGGATTTCCACCTGAGGGGTGAAGCTCGAGCTACAGGCAAGAACGTGTGTTTACCGCTATTGAGCGAGGACGCGTGGCAACCGCTGCGTGTGTGAAGCCGACGTGTTCCGGCGAAGAAGTTGAAGTTGGAAGAGTGGCCAATTGAAGACGGGAGGTTTCCTGGAAGAGAAACTTCGAGAGCTGCGGAACGACAACAACGCTGGACTTTGAGTGAGTGATTCTCGGAAGAGTATCATTCAGACTTTTGTTCCAAGGACTTTGGACTGAATAGGTTTTATATCTCTTTAGTCTTTAAGTGTCTTGGTTGTTCAATGCATGCGACTGCATTGTAGTGCGTATCGTTGTCTGTGTCCGTTGTTTTGAGTGTGGCTGATTGTATTGTGTAGTACGTTGATTGATTGGTTTGATTGGTGACGTATTGTATGTAACTATTGTGGAGTGTGCATTTTTGTGTATTGTTTTCGATCTGCCATTATTGAGAATATAATTTGTTTGTTTATCAACTCTCGGCTCTGATTTGTTCTTTGGGCCACAACCGGCGTCTGCTGGCGCACCAATAAGGACCACTTCTAAATTGTCCACGCTTTCGTGGTGCGGTTCGGGGGGCCGATACTTCGGCCCTTGGAATTAGCCCGGCGATCGCCTCCCTAATTAACGGGACAGGTGTGACAATTAATCTGGCGTCCGCGAAACAGGACCTTTTGGTGCACAGTGTGTCCAAAGTAGTGAGAAAGAGCCTCGAGTTGTTGATAGTGCTATCGGAACGATTTGGTGTGTTGTTCAGTGTTCTCGTTAACGAGTGCAGGAAAGTGTTCCGATAGACTGATCTAGGCAGATACTTTTTGCACACGGCAAGGTTTTATTTGCGAGACACAATGGATCTCGAAAAGTTAGTCGCTCTTGGTGAGAAGATGGGGCTTTCTGGCGCCGAACTACGGAAGTGGGTCACCCAGAAGGAAAAAGAAGAAAAAGAGAGAGCCAAGGAAGAAAAAGCGGCTGAGTTGGAACGAGAGAGGTTGGCAGCTGAGAGAGCGAAAGAGGAAAGAGAGCAGCAATTGAAATTGGAGCTGGAGAGAGAAAAGTTGGCAGCCGAAAGGGCGAGAGAAGAAAGAGAAGCGAGGGAGCGACAGCTGAAGGAAGAAAGAGAGGCAAAGGAGCGACAGCTGAAAGAAGAAAGAGAGGAAAGGGAGCGGCAGCGGCAGCACGAGATGGAACTCGAGCGGCTCCGTTTGCAACAGCGAAGCGAAACTCCTGTCCAAGCTTGAGTTGAAAGCAGCGAACGGGAAGATCACGGCTTCCGCTTGAACCCAAGCAAGCTGCTCGTAGCGTTTGATGAAAGGAAGGACGACCTAGACGTGTACCTCCACAGATTTGAGACGATTGCGAGGAGCCAGAATTGGCCGGAACAGCAATGGGCAACTGCTTTGAGTACTTGCTTGAGTGGTGAAGCGCTCAGTGTGTACGGTAGGCTGACGCCGACCGATGCAGCCAACTATGCAAAGGTGAAAGCTGCTTTGTTGAAGCGATTTAGATTCACTGTGGAAGGATTCCGGGACAGCAGATTTCGGACAGGAAAGCCAGCTGATGGTGAGACGGCTACGCAGTATGCCGCCCGACTTTGTCATTATTTCGACAGATGGATTGAACTTTCAGGGACAACGCAGGAGTACGATGAACTTAGAGAGCTCCTAATTAAAGAACAATTTCTTACTAGTTGCCACCCAAGTCTGTCGCTGTACTTGAAAGAGAGGAAGGCTGAGTAACTTGAAGGAATGCTTGAATTGGCTGATCAATTCTTGGAAGCGCAAGGTGGAACTAATTTGGCCAAGGTCAAGAAAGATTGTCCCAATGATTCGAAGAAATTGGCTCCCGAAGAAAAGAAGCGTGCACCAGAGAGCATTCCGCGATGTTTTCTGTGCAACCGAGTGGGTCATCGCGCGAAAAACTGTCGAACGATCTTTACGAGCCCTACGGCAGTAAAATGTTTCAAGTGTGGTCAGACTGGGCACAAAGCAGACGCTTGTCGGAACGGAGTGGGTCAAACTCACCAGGTATCCTGTGTGCAAGCAGCACCGAAATCTGATGATAATGCCGTCACTGATGGATTCGTAGAGTTGAAGAATGGGGAGAAAATTCCTATTGTGGGTGCTGTAATGTCAAAACAGCCAACCGGTGTTACGAAAGGAATGCCAACGCTGCCTGGAAAAGTTGCGGACAAAAAGATTACGGTGTTAAGAGATACCGGCAGTTCCACTGTTATCGTGCGGAGAAATTTGGTACAGGAAAGTGAGTTGACAGGCAGAACGAAGCCCGTTTGCCTAATTGACCGTACAGTCCGGATGCTTCCCGAAGCAGAAATTGAGGTTGAAACCCCGTACTTCAGCGGGAAGGTTACTGCTTTATGCATGACGACCCCCCTGTATGACCTTGTCATCGGAAACATCGACGGGGCGCGAGGGCCAAGTGATCCAGAATGTTTGGGAGAAGACCCGAAGATAGAGCCCTCACCAACACAGCGGCCGCGAGATACAGTGGAGGAACATCCCGTGACGGATCTCACTAGAGCCCAAGGTGAAGTTGCGGCGCAAGAGACAGCGAAGGAGAAGACGATCGTGTCGAATAAGTTCGCGGGCCGAGCAACCGGACTTACGTCGGCACGACCTCAACCGGCCGACAGTGTAAAGGAGACGGAGTTGGCCAGCCGGGCAAGATGTAGAGGCATCATCAAGCGGGTAAATAAACAGACAGGACCCGTCGAATGTAATGACGCGTTAACGGTGTCGGAAGAGACAACGATGGCTGAGACGACGCCTCAGATATCGTCGTCGGAAAAGGCTCGCCGAAAAGGTACAAGGAAAAACAAGAAGAGATCGAGCGAGCACCCCAAGAAAGGGCGCAAGCGCCGCTCCAAGTACACAGGATAAGTGCTGAGGTTAAAGCAGAATGTGTTTGGCAGTGTTGAGTGCCCTATGTTGTGTTAATGTTGGGGTATCCTGTGTCACAAGTGTCGAAGTGTTGTGCTGTGATGTGATGTATAGTATTGTACCATTGTTGTAGTGAGAGACTTTGTACATTGGTATTATTGGGAATGTGTGGTGGAGTGTTGTACTCATGCGCTTGTGGTTGTGTTTCACGTGTTGTGTAATTGAATTACAATGTCCAATCGTATTGAGTGATATCTTGTGAATGTGAAGTGTCATGAGCGACGGATTGTGTTACAGTCTGTGAGAATGTGTGGTGACTGTTCGCGCTCGTTTGTGTGGTTTTGAATATTATGAGATAATATTCTTAAAGTGGGGGGCAGTGTCACAGAACGAGCGCTAAAAAAGAGCGCGCACCAAAATTCTTGCGACAACGGGCGGGAGAAAACGCCGCGAGGTCAAAAGAAAAAAAAAAAAGAGAGCAAGCATCCAGAGCTCCCCGGGCGCGCGACGCCTCTCCTCTCGGAAGCGGCGAAGCGATGAACCTCCTCACCCCACAGCGGCGGCCGGGCAAGCGCTCGATTTTTCCAGAACGAAAGGGGCGTGGTCATACCGAGTTGAATCATCCTCCGGGGAGGGCATTCCAACCGCCTCACTCTCCCCTCAGCCTTCGCCGCGTATCGCGCCGACGAAATGACGAGAAATTTCTGGAAGGTGGCGCGGAAGGTATTTAATCGAGCGGCCGAGACGAGAAATCAGGAGGAGACGGAAGTTAACGCCAGAGCGCGTAGGGATTCCGCCGTGTAGTCGGCGAAGGTTTTGGTCCATAGGGACGAGGCCGGAGATGAAGAGGATTTCCACCTGAGGGGTGAAGCTCGAGCTACAGGCAAGAGCGTGTGTTTACCGCTATTGAGCGAGGACGCGTGGCAACAGCTGCGTGTGTGAAGCCGACGTGTTCCGGCGAAGAAGTTGAAGTTGGAAGAGTGGCCAATTGAAGACGGGAGGTTTCCTGGAAGAGAAACTTCGAGAGCTGCGGAACGACAACAACGCTGGACTTTGAGTGAGTGATTCTCGGAAGAGTATCATTCAGACTTTTGTTCCAAGGACTTTGGACTGAATAGGTTTTATATCTCTTTAGTCTTTAAGTGTCTTGGTTGTTCAATGCATGCGGCTGCATTGTAGTGCGTATCGTTGTCTGTGTCCGTTGTTTTGAGTGTGGCTGATTGTATTGTGCAGTACGTTGATTGATTGGTTTGATTGGTGACGTATTGTATGTAACTATTGTGGAGTGTGCATTTTTGTGTATTGTTTTCGATCTGCCATTATTGAGAATATAATTTGTTTGTTTATCAACTCTCGGCTCTGACTTGTTCTTTGGGCCACAACCGGCGTCTGCTGGCGCGCCAATAAGGACCACTTCTAAATTGTCCACGCTTTCGTGGTGCGGTTCGGGGGGCCGATACTTCGGCCCTTGGAATTAGCCCGGCGATCGCCTCCCTAATTAACGGGACAGGTGTGACACATGTCAATAAAACCCTATGCTCAAAAATGGTAAATGCACTACCTCACACACTTAATGGTGAAGACAGCATAATTCCGAGCCTGGTAAAGTAACCAATATTACATGGCCTCCTCGCCTCGTATTAACGTAAATTACAGGAGCCTTCACAAAGGCTGCTAACACTAGTCACCGCGAACGACTCACAGAAACAAAACGCATACCAACCCACACCAACCAATTATTCAGATGGCGATAATGCCAATATGGCTGATCATTCGTACAGCTCCGCGATGCCCCCGCAGGTCCTCTAGTTGTAATATATAAAGACCACTGGAATGTAAAGACCACTGGAATGCACTATGTAATCGCTAGGACTTCAGTTTTGTGACTATGTGCCACTTGGCCATGAAGTTTAACAGGTTTTTCAAGCTTGATATGGGGCTGGCACCTTTCGAACACATGAACAACCATTCAAATGAGCCACACAGCCACTAGTTGCACCTGAGCTACGAAACCAGCCAAGTCTAGCTACTGACTCGTAAAAGCTGTATTTGCGAAGCAATTTGTTGCGATAGTTCTATTCTGTGCCTTAAGCATTCGTTAAAGGACCCCTGCAATCACATGCAAGTGGAAGTACATGAACTGGTCACGCGCTTCAAGCCCTTTCTTTCTCCTTTCGAACTTGTGAGTGTGCTGCAAGCTAGGCAGGAAGGGGGATGATTCGGGGGCAAGAAGAGCCTTTTTTTTTTCTGAGCGCACGTCATGACCCGAGCACTTTTTTTTCTTTTTCAAACATATGGCTAACTTTCAATTTGATTACAAGCACATGCATGGGCACATAGTGGCACCTTGCGGCCGCCATGGTACTATGCAGCTCATGATGTCAAAATCAGCCAACCGCCATAGACTTTTAGATTAAGAGGACTGAACGCTGGGCGAGTTGGTAATCCATAACAAGAACTGCACGAAAAAAACACAAGAAACAGAGAAGGCACACACACACAAGTGCAGACTAGCAACTGAAAGCTTATTGAAGGAAAGACAAATATAAAAAACAAAAAAAGTGAAGTAACCCGTTAGAGGTTGGTAGATAGATAATCTATCTCTAGTTGGTGCAATGTGACAGTTTTGCGACACACATGTTCCCATACTTGAGTATATAAAAGACCCCAGCAACTTCTCTCACTGTCCTATCTCTGTGCCGGGACAACACCTTTGTTTCGCGAAGTAATGGGTGACACACTTGCAATCTCTGCAATGTAGGCACAGATTCGAAGAAGAGTGGTCCTTCAGCGATGCCCTGTGATCCATTAGTTGGTTATTCAAAGAACTCTCGGTTCGCCCAATATAGCACTTACCAATTGAAAAGGGAATGAGATACACCGCACCCTTTCCACATTGGACTATTGCTGGCCGGTGCACGCGTGTGTATGCCTTTCTGGTTTTTGCCTCTTTCTCGTGCAGTTCTTGTAGTTATAGACATTTGGTTTACGGCACAGTCATTTGTGTTTGTGGCATGATTTGCCGAGAGAAGAGGAAACTATTTCCTGCCGACTATGAGAACTACCGTATTTACTCGATTCTACCGCGCCCTCGATTGTAACGCGCACCCAATTTCCACCGCGGAAAAAAAAAAAAAAACGTAAGACATCGATTGCAACGCGCACCCATTTTTTCTCGCTGGCCCGCATGATCACACCACTCGAAAAAACGACTCCTTTCGGGAGCGTCTTCCATTTAAATATGAGGTACGGGCGAAGCTTGTGCCCATCTGACGTGTAACAGAGCATTGCCGTCACTGCAGTTTTACCGTGGACCGATGTCAGCACGCGAACCTGCTTCGCCCCCTTCTTCTCGACGGTTGTGGTGCCAGGCATGTCGAAGTAAAGAGGCGTCTGATCGGCATTCCCGATTTGCCCATGCAGGTAGTCGTTGTTGCGCCGCAAGTTTAGGACGAACCTCTGAAAACTGTGAAGCTTTTCATCGTACTCCTCCGCAAAACTTTTCGCATATGCATGTTCCCTTTCGGAGGGAAAAGCCTTTCCTCTTCATAAAGTTAGTTAGCCAGCACCTGCTCGCTTAAAACTGGCTCCGCATTAGACATTTTTCTAAGACTAATTGCATAGCCCCCACTTGGAGCAGTTCTGCCGTCACGAGCCGCTGTGCTGCTCGCTGCTAAAGCACATACTCGCCGAGCAGCTCTTTAATTTGCGGAAACCGACCCTGCTGTGGTCCACTGAAGCCTTTGCGTAAAGCTTTGCTGTCGAAAATCTTCTGCTTTTGTTTCCGCCGGTCCCGCACGCACGAACGACCGCGATGCGGCCCGATTTCAGTCCGTTTCTGCCCACGCGATGACTTTTCTTTTAAAAGCGGCATCATGGTGCACTCGAGTTCTTGGAGTCGGCCATTCCACGCCGTCGATGCTAATGCACTACTAGATGACGAACTCCTCAGCACACGTACGAAGTGCCGCACATGAGAAACACATAGGCAGAAATGGACGACGCGCCATGCCGACGCACGTAGGGGGCGGCCATTTTAGATTTGCCGATGGCAATAGATTGGCCGTAATTTTTTTGTTTGTACTCGATTCTAACGCGCATGCGATTTATGAACTCGCTTAACCGGAAAAAAGGTGCGCGTTAGATTCGAGTAATTACGGTAGTTGTAAATTACAGGCCGTATGCTATGCTATAATGCATGACTCCCATATTCTCAGGAGCTTTGACCATTGATCAACAGCATTTTTCTGATCATGCTGAAAAAGTGTTACAGGGTTCCTTTAACAAAAAACTTTGGGAAAACTCCTTTGGCAAGTTCCACGGTTTCACATGGCACCCCTCAATGTCTGCGTCTCCAAAGATGGGCGGAGAGATTACGTGTAATAACTGTTCCAAATAAATAAGCGGTGTTTTTTTGCGCCACCATCTTGTAAAACGTCTGGCCTGGTCATGCAGCTTCCAAACTTGAAAAGCACGTTGGTACACTGTCAGCACTGGTACACTTCGTTGGCATACCTCAGTCTTAGACTTGTCTGCACTCTTCTTCTCTGTAGAGAATACACCAGTGGGTGCCCACTCAAGGTACAAGGGTACATGCTTGAACTGAAACGAAACCATAAAGAACACACTGTCATAGCACTAAGCATTAATCTTCGCGTCTATGCTTCCAAACAGTGAACCCTTTTACAGATCAATGCATCTAAGCTCGTCGGCAGTGTAGAGATGTGGGTTTAAATGGCAACAAATGACACACACGATAAGGCTACTGTATTTTTGGATACGATAATTTTCATTCTGATGCAACGTATGAAGGTCGGTCACCTTGGAGTAAGCGAGCCGTCGAAACGCAGCTCTTGCTTCAGTGGGATCCTGGAATTCAATCAGGGCGGTAACTCCCCAAGGTGGAAGGACTATTCTCGACAGAATACCAAACCTGCACAAGAAAAGCAACAGCTCTATATTAACTGAAACGTATGCTGATATTACTATGCGCTATTTCCAAGAGGCTGAAGCATTTCTAAAAACAGATTTCTCAGACTCAGAGCTATTATGGCCGACAAAACGACAACATAATTTCGATTCACACTACTAATTCTGTTATGACCTGTCCTAACAGCAACTCCCTGCCTTTTTTATTTTGGTCGTTACCTCAATGCCTAGCATGTCAATGCACTGATATGATATCAAGTGTGTCAGAGTCATGGCAGACTTTGGGTGCAATGCAACAAATACTGTGTGTCCCCATCTCCACATGCAGACAATTTGCAACATGGGCTAATGGCACACAATAAAACAAGGCAACAAGATGTTTTTCCTATCAACAATAGCAGGCAATGCTATACAGTCATAGAAGTCAGACTAGGAGCATTTCATGATACAGTTGCTTTTGACATGTGGCCCCTTTTAATAATATGTACTTCATACTATACCATTATGAATGACAGTACATTCGAACCTCATTATAACAAACTTGCATCTTACAAGAAAATAAGTTCGTTACATAGAAAAATTTTGTTATAAAGGTACTTTCCTAACACTATATCTATTGCAAGACTACTCTTCATTTACTTGCAAGACTACTCTTGATTTACTTTGTTATAAACAATATATTGTTATACCCAGGTTCATTATATCAAGGTTTGAGTTTATACAGTAAAGGATTGTTAAGGGGGCACACTGCTCTTTGGGACCAAAAAGTGACAAAAAAAAAAAAAATTTTTTTAAAATTGACATATTTGGTATCTGCAAGTATTTTGTTACCTCTCTGCAAATTTTCACACACCAGGAAGTGGTAATTTTTTTGTAATGTCATTCTAACTGTCCAGATTCTTGGTGCTGTTAACATGCAGAATCTGCAAAAAAATGGGGAACCAACTTCGAGGCCTCTTTATAATTTGCCGGCACCTGTGTTAGAAGCTCTGCTACGAAATTATGAGAACTTTTATGAGGATTGCAAAACATGCACACCATGATTGTCGCTTTTTGAAGAAGCTGTGTGCTTTGAGTTTTTTCCATTTTTCTCAAAAAGTAAATTTACAACTGTTCAATTTTGAGGCCTCAATATCTCTGCAGTTAGGGCAAGTACAATAATAATTCTTTTTGCAATGGAAACCTGTATGTGTGTAGGGTGCAAGTATGGAAGCAGAATTTAGAGAACAAGCCTTTTTAATTAATTACTCATCAAAATTCTAACACGATTTCAACTGCTTTTGAAAATGGATAGTTCATTTTGCTGTAAAATAATTAAGAAAGGTTTAAAAACAAAAACTTGCATTATTTCAATCTATCGTCATTAGTCTATGTTGGGATATTTTAAATATCACTTTTAAATAAGCACTTTTTTTTTGTATGACGGCCTTAAAAAATAGGGGATGAACTTAAGTTATCTCAGGAATAATATGAGTTACAGGAAAACTAATAAACATTTGAAATCAGCAGAAAAAACTGCATAATTCTGTGCAGTTAGATCAAGATCACTGAAGAAATAAACAAAAAATGTTTAAGAGCAGTCTGCCCCTTTAAGTTGGATACCACGAGACCAGAAAAAAATGTCTGAATTAACTCCATTCCAAATTATCGAATGAGTCAAGAAAACAATAAATGCCTGTTTATTGCATAAATACGCCTTAATTTTCTTTATGAATGCATAAATACTGTTCTTATTTTTGCATAATAACCGTGTAAAAGCCACAATTATGGTCATCCAACGAATTCTTTCACCATGTGACTACAATGCAAGATCAACATGTCTGAAGGGGACATTAAAGTGAAATATTTATTAGGCTTAGAATAATAAATTGTGGTCTGAGAACTCTAAAACTGGTAACTTCAGAATCATATGTCCATTAATTGAGGAGAAAATTAAGATAAAAGGCTCGTCTTTAAATTTTGCGGCGTAATTTTCGCGTGTGACGTCATGAATTTCAAAGTGTATTTTTCGTATGTTGGGGACATAGGCCCAACGAAAGTTCCTGAAACTTGTGTTTATAACCCCCAACAATATATCCACTGAAGATATATTCCGAGAAAAACAGTTTCACCAGAATGGCGAAGCAACAAATGTGATAGCAACAAATTGTAAGGCTGGCAGCCAACTCTTTTAGACTCGATATCACGTAACTCTAGAAAACTGGGAGAGATGCTCTTCTCGCCTTCTCTTCATGTTGAGAATGTGGAAGGGTTCATGAGCTATTCGCCGAGATCGCCTGCCCATAGCCATCGCGACCACGACTTTAGGATCAAAGTTCACGGATGCTCCTGGAGCGATCACAGCTTTTACGAATGAAACTACAGTTGAATCTTGATAATTCAAACTCAAAAGGGCCTGAAAATTTGTTCGAATTAAAGGAAGTTCGTAAATAATGAAAACTAAATAAACGAAGGGTCCACCATGCAGTGGCGCATGTGCATTAATCTAACACACGAGGGGAAGATTCAGAAGACTTGCATATATTCACAAATCACAGGACATCCGTGAATAATTGAAGTAATCGGTGATACGCGTTTCACCGCGTTTTGAAGTAATACGCGTTTTGAAGTAATCGGTGATGTTTGCCTTGCAGCAAGTCAATCAATTTCGCACGCAGTTTGAAAAGCATTTCTATTTCGGCTTCAGCATTCTCCTACAAGAAAAGTTGCGTGCGACAATGTCCAGCGCCAACACTCTCTAAAGACGACGGCAACGACTACGTCTCTGCTGCTACCCTCTGCAGCAGGAGCCGGAGCGTGGCCAGCACATGGCAAGAAAGGTGGAGCGTCTCCACGCGGAAAGAAGCAGATCGGCATTTGAGAAAGAACCAACACTCAGCGACCCTTTTTTTTTGGTCCTCTCTCCGCGTGCGGCATTGAAAGAAGAGTATAGGGGGCAGGGACAGAAAAGAGAAAAGCGTGGCACAGGTGCGTCGCAGATCGGCATTTGAGATAGAGCAAACATTTCACGGCAACAGTTTTTTTTTCTTCTTTTCCTTATTCGCGCGCAGTGTTGAGTTATCGGAGATGCCGCCGCGTGATTGGGCATGGTGCGTAAAGCATTTTCAGAGCGTGGTAGGTTCGAATTAACCATCACAAGTGCTTGCGCGTTCGAATTACAGGGCGTTTTCACCCATTGGAATACACATAACTTTGGCGGGACTACAGCGTGAGTTTGAATTAACTGGAAATTCGAATTAAGTGTGTTCAAATTAATGAGATTCAACTGCGTAACCGTCTAGATCAAACCAAAAGGCAATGTTTCACCATGTTTCCAGGCACAATGCTTGATGGCTTTCACAATCTGCGGATAAATTCTGGTGCTGCGACACAGTGCGGCGCTGATAGGCGAGTTTGGCGCAGCAGGGGTGGTTCGGCACAGGATGGTGCAGGTAAGCGAGTTAGGTGCACAATAGTGCAAACGGCGTAGCTGTTCCACCCCTGTGCTAGACACGAAGCTTTCAGTGTTGCCACAAGAGCTTATGACGTACTGTACTTATTTTGTTTGAGGTAGCAGAGGGATTGCTCAGCCTCAGCAAGACCCATGAGCTTGCAACATAGTTTTTTATTTTGTTATGTTGTCTCGTTCACTCAACTACAGTAGACTCCTTTTAAATGAAACCTGAAGGGACCAGAAAAATGTGTTTATTTTAAGAGAAGTTTCAATTATTGAGAAATAAACAGGGGTATAATATTCAAGTACGACACCAAACATTTTACAAACAGTTGTTCCACTTAAGCAGCAATTTCATTTAAGAGAGTTTCGTTTAATAGGAGTCTACTGTAGTGTGATCAAGACGAGCTGTTTTCAAACACAGATTAGAGTGATGTCAGCATGGTGTACAGAGGTAAGTATGGCCCAGCCAGGTCTGTGAATGAAGTTTGGAAGGTATTCCACTTAGAGGCTTATGAACAATGTGGCAATCATGCTTGCGCACATTGAACAAAAGTAAAAGAATCCAAGTTTAACTTCAGCAGCCCACCAAAACTATTGGCTGTACAAAATGCAAATGCCAAGGCTTTGTTGCTGAGCTTGCACTATGAAAGCTTTCTGCAAATGCCGGCTAACACATCATTTACAAAAGAAACATCACACAAGGCAAAATCAGTGACATTTTATCGCTAATTTCATTTCAACAAGCTAACTATGTTACTGCACAAATTTTTAGAGTTGTTAGATTACTCAAACAGTTGTCTAGGTCCTTTGAAGTCTGAAAAACCAGTTTTCAACAGGACTCAGCATGGAGATTAGAATGAACAGACCAATAGAGTTCTGAGACTGCCAATCTATACTGCCAAACTGCTGTAGAGTTCAGTCAAAACATAAAAGAAATTTTAAATACAAATTTCTACTCCATGAAATGCTCTCAAGCTTCACCAATTTCATGAAAGATCCAGAGAGATAAAGCACATCAGTGACACGTGTAGTCTTGTCTGGCCTGCTGTGAGTGCTTGACGTTTTCATGTAGAGATCTTGAGCAGCGTTTTGAGCAGCCTGTTTCTTTTTGCCATGTGCTATGTTTTGCGACACTTCAGAGGACTAGTAGTGGGTTGTAGGAGTTTGGGAAATTTCTGTGGCACGTACATTTGTGTCTGAAGAAAGTTCTTCATTTTTAGTACAGCAGTCAATGGTAGCATGGCATGTCTGACATTTGTGGCATATACGTTTGCTAGGTACAACCTGCCTACCGACATCGATTGGACCTTTCCCTCCCCGTAAGTTTACTATTCAAACACCTACCATGACCTTAACTGTTCCTATTGCTCATTATGTAGAGAAATAGCTACCCTCTCCCATATTCTTTGAAACTGCAGAAAATGCCCTTGCCCACCTAATCTCCTGGTCACTCCCTCACCTGTGACGTGAGAAAAAAAGACATACCACTCCAACAACGCTGGAGTACAGCAAAAAGCATCACGAATTGATAAGCACACTCACTTTCCGAAGACACTGTGGAGGTCCTTTGGAGGAGTCTTGGCTGGCAGATTCTTGACTAGAATGACCGTCTTACTGCGCTCGGTGGCTGGCCGACTGAATGCATCGAGTACCACACCGTTGCTCTCGAGGAATTCTCGTGTCTCAGCCACCACTTGGGTCTCGCCCAGGGCCATGCGCACGGCCACACTCTCACCTGTTTCCTACAGATTGGAAGAAAGGTGACTAGATGAGGATCACAAAAGAGCATCAAAAAGAAAGACAAAGAGAGAGAAAGGTTTCAGGACGATAAAAACCTTGATTTGTAAAAAGTTTATGAACAGCTGTTACCCGACAATGTACGATCATTATTGTTACCAATGCTCTATGCTTTAGCAGTCATTGACCCATTCTCAACCTATTCAACATGGACTATGCACAAGCTCCATGAACAACCAAAAATAAACAAAAAACCAGATTGTTGTACAAAAGTGACAACAAACATCATCCGACAATATCATCAAATGGTGATAAGATGTCGCATCACTCGTATTGATGCCGCCTATCCCTTTTCCTGTGTGATGACTAGGCATCTAAAGCTTTGGCTGTTAAAGTAGGATAACATACAATGTTTTGCATGTTTCCACTAACACTGAACAGTGACAAAAAAGTTTTCTGTCACACTTGTAAACTAATGACATGAAAATATTTAATTGGCCCTTTTACAACTAGTACTAAAACTGTCTTGAATCATTGTATGTATAAATTTGCACCTCACACAAACAATAAAAGAAAAGTGGAGCACAATATTTTAAAAGAGCATGAAGTTTCAACACTGAACAATGACTCTTACTGTGCCCAGGAGTTCTTGCTTAGAGGTGTCATAACGTTCCGCCATGATGTCAGCAAGGGCATTGGCTCCTAGGAACAGGGTGTTCCAATTGTGACTCCTGAAACAGATAAATGGGAAACACATAAGCCTCCACTCAAGGCAAAAAAAATACAGCAGAAGCTTGATACGTATCGGTTACAGTGTGAAAGAAAATGCGCAAGCATTGGAAGTGAACGTCTAACAAGACCTGATTAACAGATCAAGTTTTATGACGCAAATTTTATGACATAGTAACAACCTCTTTCGACGGCAGGAGTTATCTGAAGCAGCTGACTGAGGAAGGGTATGCAAGGTGTCTTATTAGCTTTCTATATGAAGGTACCGTATCACCAGTTACACGAATGTAGGCGGGTGCGACAGGGTGGTACGGGCTAGCTACAATGTTCGCCTGTAATGTTCAGACACCCGCGCATTTTAAACAAAAAAAAGGACATAATATCCCTATAAAATGCTTGCTCAGAAATATCAGTTATACAACAAATCAAATAAAGTCATACAATCAGAGCAATGTCATACACTAAATGAGTTATTGAGTGACATGAATATAGCATAAAAGGTTTTCCCGTTAAGAAATTCTTCCATGAGAAATGCATATCTATATATACACCGTGTTCACACAGTCGCTTTTGCACCGCAGAGAATATGAATCACGTCCAACCTTCTTAGTGTTCTGCTTTGCGGCAGCAACTAGCAGCCTGAACATATACCTGAACATATAGCCTGAACATATTCTGTAGCCTGAACATATTCGAGAGCAAATGATGCTATAGTATTCATTGACGCCAAACACTTGTAACAAATGATTGAAGACCTAAACTAGGAAACTACAAAAAAGCAGGGCTGAAAGTAAATATGCAAAAGAGAAAAATAATGTTCAATAGCCTCCTTAAGGAAGAAGAGTTCAAAATTTTTCACAACTGACAACCAGACCTTGGAATTTTCACAGCAGTATGTATTACATCTAGATCAGCTTCTTTCATGAAAAGAAAATTTACTGAATAAAGCGGGGCTGGAGTACAGACGCTGCCAAATTGTAACAGGTGTCCCTAAAATGGAAAGCGTATAACCACTGAATTCTCCCAGGAACTCGGACGATAACAAATAAGTTCGAGGAGAAATTAAGAGCCACGTGGCATGTTATGTGACGAAGAATGATAGGTATAACAAAGAGATAGGAAGAGAACAGAGTAGATTAGAGAAAGCAAGGGCAGCCAGTATCCGTGTTGACAATACATAATAGGAAAAAGCGAACATGAGCGGACCACGTAATGCATAGAGTAGACAACCGATGGTCGGAGAAAATGATGTACAGCAGGTTCTCAGTAAACAGAAATTTCTTAACTGCTGCTTCCATGAAACAACTGCCCCGAATATGACTAGTCAGCTGAGTTGACAGTGATTTGAATAGTATGCCCTTTTCATACCTCAGTAAACGCAACTTGCGTTACATGAAACATATTTTCCTGGTCCCATCAAGTTACATTTAACGAGAGTCTACTGTAATGGTTAACTAGGAAAAGGGAACCTCAACCAATGCCAGCAAAGAGTGAGGTGATTTTATGAGATGAAAAAATTTGCAGAGATGAAATGTCATCAGTTTGCAGAAGACATAGTGAATTGAAGATTACTGGAAGACGTCTCCTTCCTGCAGTGGACACGAAGCAGGCTGACAACGATCATGATGATAGTCCGATGGGTGAATTTTTTCAAAACAATAAAAAAAAAACATTCAAAAGTGGCTTCACGGGCTACGTCCTGAATAGAATGTACATGGCCTTCTTTTGCGATAGCAATTATACGGATACTCTCAGTGGGCTTTTTCTGTGGCCTTCATGCTCCATATAAAGTCCAAATCAAAAACACTGCTTCGCACACTGTATGTTCTATATATGAATAGGAATGAAAGCACTAAGGACGAATGCGGCTGAAGCACAGATGAAATAAGCCAGTCATCTCCGTCGCACGGAAAATACATGCGATAAAATCAACCAGCTTGCAAGGTCTGCAGTTGATGGCCGTTCAAGCAAAGTGAAAATGCCCCAGCCATCTTTCAGCCATCTTGCGAAAGGAGTCAGTGGAGCGAACGGGACGGTGGGCTGCGTCTCTCTAGCAGCAACTGCGAACTCTGCTAACACGGGCGCGAGATGGCTTTACGAGACATTACGACATGGCTTGTAAACTTGTTAAGGTATCTATGCTTCACGTTTAGAAAATATGTTGACAGTAAGAAGACTTTTTTGGTCGTTGGAGCAGCGTATTCCTTTTGAGATACACAAGATTGGAGCCAAAGAGTTCGCTGTTAACCCTACCCTGTATAACATTTCGATTTGTTGCTATGGCATTGGTTGTACATCACCCTTGCAGCGAAACTGTGATTTCTTCTGTCTTACAAAAGTTGTGTGTCACACTTCAGGCTGGTATGAGTGCCTCACAGTGCATATTTTCTTTTTCTCAACACTATTATTCGGATTCATACCTTTATTCAAGCATCCAGTTAGACTCTCTAGGCTTTATTTGGGTGAAAATAGTTTAAACTAAAATTTCCCATGCACATAAGTTGTTCCACCTATGGAACTCTGCAGTTGTTTAGTAAATCGTGCCAGAGATTCAGAAGAAATCTATGAGACCTACCTGCCACTGGACTTCTTGAGCTCCTCTTCCTTTTTGTTCTTGTATGATTTAGCCTCTGCACCAAACAACGAAGAAGGAAGATGCGAGTGATGAAGTGTCCAAACAAATATTAGCCATATGGCACCTTGCATGCAATCTATCCTTATTTACAGAACACTAGTAGTGAGAACGCGTTCCTGAGCCAACTACCCTGTCAAGGTTGCAGATGCCACCAAGAAACACAATGACCAAGTGTGGAGACTGAGAAGATTCCAAGCTGCCTTGTCATCCATTTCATTCTCCTTGCTTGCTCTTTGGTGTTATTTGTGGGTTTATCACATGTCTGTAGTTACCAACAATCTTGACTGCAATTTAAATATATTCCACTCACTGCTTCTTAGAGCCCCAAAAGCCTAATGCCTTTGAATATTAACTGCTTCTCTTGACATATTTAAATAGGGATTCTGAATGAGATGCAACAGACAAGCAAACTGAAATTATTCTTCACTGATAAGTGTTGAAAATGAATGACCCCACCTAATGGATGTACCCTTGCAACTTGGCACATTAGAAACACATCAACCAATGCAGCGTGTACACAGCTGCTAGAAAGCTTACCTGTACCTTCACCTTCCTGTTCCTCGGACTTCTTAGCCTTGGCCGGCAACAGATGGAGAAGACGACCCTGTTTGAAAGGAGCAGTTCGAGAGAGGAAGACAATTAATGGATCAGAAGGAAGCAATGTTCTCTTAGTTAAAAGAGCACAAGGAACCAGAAAGAATCAGTGTTTTGCTAGTTACAATGCTACGATTAGAAAATGAACAATCAGTCTGGGAGAGCACATTGCAAACAAAACTTATACCTTTTACATCATGTAGTCAGAGCTTTATTTACCACCAAAAACTTGATCTTGTCAACTTTCTTGAACATGCACACACAAGATATGAGTGTTAGCCACAGTCAACATTCCTATGGATAATGTTGTACACATACACAACCTATTAGTCGAACATAGACTGTAATTTAGCAAATGCATATAGACCCTTAGCTTGCATCACGCACAAGTATGGCCTGTCTCCACATACCGCCACTTCACAAGTAGACTTTATTCTCTCTTTCCCCATCATTTTCCTCCTTCTTTTTATATGTAAATTACAACCAGCTATTCATTTAAGCGATGCATTTGGTAGGTTTATCCTTTGTTTCCTGTGCAGTACTGTTGAAGTAAAACATCATCACGGCTATTACATGCCAAAACTACAATATTGTTACGGTTGAATTAAAGGATATGTGGATTTATTTACAAAGTGAGGATGAAATTCGGCAGTCCCGGTAAAGATGGAGTCCTCAGGCCGCACCAGACAACGCCGTCTTCCTCTTCTACCTACCCGGCACATACTACAGCCCGGCTCATACCGTAGCAATCTCCGGTTCACAGACGAAGCCCGCTGGGTGAGTTTATGTCACTGGAGGGATGAAACTTCTTGAGGCGAGCCACGTGCACCAACTGCGTTCGATTTGACCGACGAGAAGGTGTCGTCAAGCATGCCACAACGTACGTCAAGTCAGTCAAGCGTTCTACAATGACGTAGGGGCCTGTGTACTGCGATAAAAACTTCTGACATAAACCAGGTTTTCGTTGGGAGGCCCACAACTACACGAATTAACCTTTGCGGAATGAAATGGCATCATGGCGTTGATCGTATTGTTGCTTGGAACGATCTTGTGATGCCAGTGTGCGCAAGCGAGCAATTTGGCAGGCTTCTTCAGCCCGGCACAATGTTTCGGCCACGGAATGATCGGTATGGAGCTTAAATGGGAGGATTGTATCAAGGGAGCTGCGTGGTAATCGAGCGTAGAACAGGTAGAAGGGCGTGAAGTCCGTGGTATCGTGCTTCGCTGTATTGTATGCATAAGTAATAAATGGTAAGATCTCATCCCAGTTTTTGTGATTGGACGCAACGTACATTGGGAGCATGTTAGTAAGAGTTCGATTGGTACGTTCTACAAGACCATTCGTCTGGGGATGGTATGGTGTCGAATGTCTGAACTGTGAAGTGCAGAGGCGAAGCAATTCTTCCACAGCGTCCGCGATGAATTGGCGACCACGGTCACTGATTATTACTTGAGGTGGACCATGTCGAAGAACAACGGAGCGTATCAAAAATGCAGCGACGTCATCGGCTATAGAAGATGGTATTGCAGCGGTTTCGGCGAATCTGGTAAGGTGGTCAACGCACACTATTATCCAGCGGCTGTTGTTCGAAGATCGCGGGAACGGGCCCAATAGGTCGATGCCCACTTGCTCTAACGGCGTAGTAGGCGGTTCTACGGGATGAAGAAGGCCGTGTGGTGCACTGGTAGGTCGTTTGTGGTGCTGGCAATTCTCGCAGCTCGAGACGTATCATTTCGTAAAATCTCGCATTCGGGGCCAGTAAAAACGCTGCTGCACTTGATGCAGGGTGCGAATGAACCCAAGGTGTTCTGACGTTGGATGATCGTGCATAGTACGAAAAACGTCGCATCAAAGACTTTGAGGTACAACCAGTAAATAACGTGCGCCGGTTGCTGAGTAATTCGTTTTGCACAACAGTCCATCACGAATGCGAAAGCGACCACTGCCTTTAAGATTCCGGGTGTCAACGAACAAAGGGTCTAAAGATAAATCATTCAATTGTTCTCGTTTGAAGATATTGGCACCAGGAAACGTGTGAGAGACCACAGCAAAGCAGATGTCAAGGGTATCTGCACTGTCCTCTGTCGTGGTCATAGGTAGGCGAGAAAGGCAATCAGCGTCCAATGACGTCGTCCACTTCTGTACGAAATGCTGAACTCAAATTCTTGAAGGCGTAAAGCCCATCGAGCAAGGCGGCCAGAAGGGTCTCGGAGGGTAACAAGCCAACATAATGAATGATGGTCTGTCACAATCCTGAATGAACGACCGTAGAGGTAACATCGAAACTTTTGAATGGCGAATACAGCCGCTAAACATTCTTGCTCTGTCACAGTATAATTCATTTCAGCCTTGCTTAGAGATCGACTCGTATAAGCAACAACATGCTCTGCATTATCATGGCGCTGAACAAGCACACCTCCGATGCCAATTCCAATTGCATCACTGTGCACTTCTGTAGGAGCAAAAGGATCAAAATGACGAAGAATCGGCTCAGATGTTAGTAGAAGTTTCAGTTCAGAAAACGTGGCATCACAATCAGGTGTCCATTCAAATGGGCTGTCTTTTCGCAACAAGCTCGTCAGTGGGTGTACTACGTCCGCGAATCGGGGCACAAAGCGGCGAAAGTAGGAACAGAAGCTGCGAAGTTCCTTCAGTGTCTGGGGTGATTTGAATGTGCCGACTGCTTCGATTTTGCGGGGATCCGTCCCGACGCCATCTTTGTCAACTAGGTGATTGAGGACTAAAGCTTGTCGTTCACCAAACCGGCACTTCTTAGAGTTCAAAATCAAGCCAGCCTTTCCGACACAGTCTAAAACAAGGCTTAAACGGACGTTGTGCTCTTTGAAGGTACGGCCAAAAATGACGACGTCATCCAGGTAGCATAAGCACACCTCCCATTTAAGACCACGAAGGACGGAGTCCATAAACCTTTCAAAAGTGGTGGGGGCGTTGCAAAGCCCAAACGGCATCACATTGAATTGGCACAGTCCATCAGGCATCACGAATGCGGTCTTCTCCTTGTCCGAAGGGTGCATAGGTATCTCCCAATATCCTGATTGTAGGTCTATTGAAGAAAAGTACGAAGCCGAGTGTAAGCAGTCAATAACATCGTCAATCCTAGGCAGCGGATATACATCTTTTTGGGTCACGGCGTTGAGTCTTCTGTAATCAACGCAGAACCGCTAGGCACCATCTTTCTTCTTAACCAAGATGACCGGTGCTGCTCACAAGCTACACGACTCTTCAATAGCACCCTTCTTCAGCATTTCCTGAACCTGGTCGGCAATAACTTTTCGTTCTGATGACGACACTCGGTAAGGCTTTTGTCGGACCAGATGGGCGTGCTGGTGTCAATCCTATGGTGAGCACGAAAACATGTAAAGGTAGTGGCTTCTCCTCTTGGCAAAAGTCAAACACAGAAGCATGTCGCCTGAACAGATGGCGTAACGTCTGCTGCTCGTGTGACTGCAAAGTGGCGCTAATCATGCCCAGGATCTGCGACTCGTAAGAGCAACTGCGCTTGCCAGAATTTGTACCTTTCTCGCTTTCATCGTTGTTAACGACCGCTACAGAACCTTCAGTGGAATCATCGAAGACGCCAAGCTTCATTCCTCGAGGGAGCACAACCGGCATTGGCGAACAGTTCAGTGCCCACAGAAAGGTTGCTCCTTCATCAACAGATATCAAACAACGAGGGACGAGTATGCCTTTCTTAGCACATTTAACGATGACAGGTTCAACGATGGCGTCAAAAGATGTGGCAGATTTTAGGGCGAACACCGCAACTGACCTCATTGACCAAGGCGGCACTGTCAGCTCATCGGAAACAATGAGAGCGTCCTTCGCGGCCTCCGGCGCCTCATCGACGAGGGCAGGAACAATGTCACCGCTGACGGAAAGTTCACCGCTTCTACAGTCGACGAAAGCACCACATCCTTGGAGAAAGTCAAGACCGAGAATCACATGGTGGGTACAACGTTGCAGCACAAGAAACTCTGTTGGGAACACCTTTCCTGCCAGTAAGACATTGACGGCACAAACTCCGACAGGATGAAGTACTTCCCCACCAACACCACGAAACCTTGTTGATTCGCCCCAAGAAAACATAACTTTATGGCCAATGCGACTTTTGAAAGAAAGACTCATAACTGATATCGTAGCACCAGTGTCCACCAAAGCACTTGTACAAAAGCCATTCATTTCCACACGTATCTTGTTCTTGGACATTATAACTGGCGGAGGCATCTGAGGCAAATCCTGTTGTGCGACCTCACCTCCATTGGTCGCGCTGCCTAGTTTCCCAGCGGCGGCGGTGATGACAGGCGTCGTCCCAGCGAAGGGGAACGATGCAGTCGGCCAGATGGAGGCGTCAAACTACGGTCAGAAGCGGGAAAACTGCCACGGTGATTTCCCCGCCGTGAGGTACTCCTGGAATAGGCGGGCCACTGACCGTTGTTGTGACCAGTGCCCGCTGGCGGAAACTCTGATGGGGAACGATATCGGGATGTCGGCTCTCTCTGTCGACGACAGAACCGAGCTATATGCCCGGCGATACCGCAGCGGTAGCACACAGGGCCTTGGCGGTATTCATTGTACTTCTGGAAGGCATTGCGCTGACGTGGTGGTGGTACGGGTACATCTTTGTTCGGGTCGTAATAGGTGTTGGCTGGCTGATGGTCTTCGTACCTCAGCAGCGGGTAGTTATTGCGCTGTGACCTCGGTGGTGAGGGTGGCCTGTAGTTGCAGTCATCGTTGCCTGCTGCGGCAATTGACACAGAAGGGCGAGAAGGAGGCGGTGCGGGTGTAGCTTCATCCGGCGTCGGGCGAGCGTGTCGAGTGAGCTCTTCTCGAATGACCTGGCGTATTATTGACGCGAGATCAAGCGGCGTGTATTTGTCAACACTTGCCACGGTGGTTACATTCGGTAGGCGACCGAACTTGGGGGTGATACGTCGCATCTTCAGGGTCTCGAATGCGCGACAGTGGCTTATGATGTCGGTTACCGTAGCAAGGCTGTCATTGCTGATGAGGAACTGACACACGTCCTCAGCAATACCGTTCAACAGGTGGCCAACTTTGTCTTCCTCTGACATAGAAGGGTTGACAATCTTGCAGAGCTTCAAGATTGCCTCGACGTAGGTCGTGCACGTCTCTCCTGGGATTTGAGCTCTCTGCAGTAACGTTTTTTCCGCCTGCTTTCTCTTAGCTACGGAGTCTCCGAAGCACGCTCTTATTTCGGAAACGAAGCGATCCCATGACGTGAGGGCATCTTCGTAGTTCTCGAACCACACGAGTGCTGTGTCCGTTAAGAAAAATGCTACATTGGTCAGCTGGGTCGCCGCGTCCCACTGGTAGTATTTGCTCACCCGTTTGTAGTGTGTAAGCCAAGCATCCACGTCCTCGCCAGATTCGCCACCGAATGTGCAAGGCACTATCAGATCCTGACGCAACCAGGGACCAGCCGCACGCGTACCTGGTACTAGCGGTGCTGCTGGGACTGGTAGAAGGTCTGCAGCTGCGGGGATCCAGTTTCCTTCTTCGCCGGGAGACATCTCAGCTGCCAGTGGTAACGGGGCAGTCCAGCAAGACGGCGGCTTCGTCGTAGATCAGGCGCTTGAAGCGTCGTGTTGCTTGGTTGATTACCCAGCGCCTCCACCACAAAAATGTTAAGGTTGAATTAAAGAATAGGTGGATTTATTTACAGGGTGAGAATGAAGTTCGGCAGTCGCGGTAAAGATGGAGTCCTCAGGCCGCACCAAACAACAACGTCTTCCTCTTCTACCTACCCGGCACATACTACAGCCCGGCTCATACCGTAGCAATATGATCATGAGCCACACTGCAGTGAAGGAGTCCAGAAATTTCGATTATCTTGTGTTCTTTAATATGCACTGACATTGTAAAGTTTCGCCTCCATTAAAATACGACTGCCATGGCCAGGGTCAAACCTGTGGCCTTTGGGTCAATGGCTGGGGACCGTATTCAGTAAGCCACCATGGCTGACACACTACCGCTGTAAATAAAGATTTAGAAAAGCATGAAAGCGTGTGAAGAACTCAGTGGAGATAGCGGTGGAGATAAAGTGAGCTAGTAAGTTGACACCCTATTTTTTTAAACTGAAAGTATAAATGAAGCAATAAAAAAGACATTCTGTTAATTAAAGGTGCTTGGCCAAAGATACACTGCTCTAATGCAAGAACTATAAAAAAAGTCACACAACACATACTTCGCACAGGCATTTTTACCAAGATTCATGCATGATGTGTCACCTTGATAGATTAGGTCCACAGTCAAGCACAACCGCACTGCAGAAATGAGTGTATGCAAAGAAATCAACATATACCATCATAACATACTGCACGCAAACTAATCAACAAAGTAGCTTGTAAGCATATCATACCCTGGGATACCTAGTTTTTTTTTTGCCAATTTCAGATAAAAAAATAAAAAAAAATTCACAGCTGCTGTATTTGTTCTGGTGCAACTCGACGTAATTTTGCAGTTTTAGAGAAGTTTAATGAAGGAACACTCTTCGTTCGAGTAAGTGCCGTCATTCTGTCTTTGATTATTGACAATGTCTATTATGACACTAAATATGACTGAGGTGCCATGAGAATGTGTGGCTATTACATTGTGTGACAATCTGTGGTTATTACAATATGTGACAATCTGTGCCATAATGCAATAAGTGGCTAGTGCTACACAAAAGAAAGCATGCCCAGTCAAAGTTCTGCCCATGTAGCTATTGAATATAGCAATCATAGTTTCCCTCGATAGTGTACCCCATTTCCCACCTGAAGCATCTGGCCGTCCAGTTCCGTGAAGGCCCGGATTGCATGCTCGGGAAAGAGAAAGCTGACAAAGGCAAATCCCTTTGGCTTGCGTGTTACCCGATCAATGGACAGGTGTACTTCTTCCAGAGGGCCTGTAAGATGAGCAGATAAAAAAAATTTGTATACTGTCAAAAGACTGCTGACTATAAATTAAATTCACATTGGCTCCAAGTCATCTATAAAACATAAAGCCCAAGTCTCAAGTGCCTTCAGACAATGCGCCGGCAATGAAAAGACAGCCATGGCATCCAAGGACCGAGCCAAACTAAGATCTGCTGTTGCATAAAAAAAAAAAAATTAAATGTATGCACACTCCTAATGTTGTGAATGTGCAGTTAAGCCTCTTTAAAATAAAGTGAGTCAAATTGGCAATTAACCTTGTTATACTGAAATTCATCCTTTTATGCAAAGCATAACTGCCGATAAACTCTTCAGTTTGTTCAATGGAAGGTGCCCCAAAAATTTCTGCATAACCAGGCTGGTTTTAATTTCAGAAAAGTCAGTTTTGTTGATACTTCAAGCTGATGATAATTTATGTTTTCGTGCCACATCGGCAATGTTCTCATCAAGTGGCAATATGACATATGAAAAACGAAAAAAATGCAGGTCTAATGCAATGAAAATCAGTGCGAGCAAAACAATCATGCCTAATCAGCTGCAAGGGCTTGCCATGAAAGCATTAGACATTGCCCAGAGTGGCATGACGCTGCTCAAAACATGTTCAATGAGCATGAAACGTCGAAATCCATTGAATGCTTTTCGTAAAAGCAGATGACATTCAGTGCAAAGTCACATGAAAGTGAAGGGACAACTTCAGTTACAGCCTACTTGTTTGGTGACTGTATTTTCTACGTTGCGTCAATGCACGTACGTATTTGAATCATGTCAAAAAAAAAAAAAAAAATGAGATCAAATATGGTGTCCCAAATCTTAATCGCCCCTATGTCTTGGTTTAAAAAGGAAGTATGCCAGTTTTATCAAAGAACACCCATATAATTTTATGCAGGTAGGTGGTGGTGTGGCTGATAAATGTGACCAACTTAAAAAAATTCACTCCGCTACTTAAAAACATGCGAAACACGTTACAGCAGCTCACTGGGCAAAAAACATTTTGTTTGTGGTAAAAAGTATGGTTAGTTCTGGTTGCTCATTGCTGGAAATTCACCCTTTTATTCAGAAAGTACAGGGTACCTTCTCTTGACTTGGGAACTATGAAGAGCAAGCTCAGTGATTCACTTATTTACACACTGCGACATTATTTATATTTGCATATGAATGAGCGAGATTGTTTTCAACATTACAGACAGATTGCTGAACTCAGCACAACAGCATTTATGGCTACTCATTCCTGGAACTTGCCATATGATGACAACAAAAACAGAAAATTGGGTGTCGGTGCAAGGAAAGCACAGAGCCATACACAAAATTACACCGCTATGTGCAGTGTGTCATAAACGACGCCGGTGGTGCACTAGGGCACCCATTTGCTCTACTTCACCACTACGACGACAAAGCAGAAAACACTCAGCCAACCCTTGCACTTGCAGGAAATGGTGGAAAAGATGCTCTCTATTTTGGCAGCTACTCTCCTGCACATACCATGCAGTTTGAATAATGCATTAGAAAAACAGAATGTAAAAGAAACATCTGACTGCTGGTACAAGCATAAGTTTGAATTTACTGCCTCTCTCTGTCATTGCAACAGCGGTGAAACTTTGTTATATTGAAACTGTAGCTAAGTTCACTTCAATACATTGAAGTTAAAAAAAGTCCCAGCATATCCACGGAGTGCATGATGAGTGGGGCGAAGCATCCGTCAGTCTGTTCGTCCGTGCATCCATCCATTCATCCATCCATGCGCAAGTCCGTGCATTTGTCTATCCGTCCATCTAGTGAGCATTCCGAGTATTGCCATCCAGCGGACATTCCAAGGACTAAACGTGAGGCGGCACGGCCTGACTAGAGGAGCGGCATGCACGCACTCTCTTACGGCCCGCGCTTCATGTCTAGTTCCCACCTTTCACTGCCTCTAATACATGGCACTGCGGCCCAACTCTCGCTAAACCTTGACCCTTTCTGGTCAGATAGTGCTCAAAGTACATCCTTGTGATACTAGTTTTTTTTTAGTAAGCATCAAACTCAAGGCAAATTTTATTGGAGCTTAAGCCACCGATACTCGTCTCTGTAGGTTATTTCAACAGAAACAACTATCTTTATATTTATGATTAACGTGAGCGGGTTTTCTCCTAAATTCAAAAGTGTGCACGCGTGCTACTCCTCTAGTCCAGCCGTGGAGGTGGCTACCTACTACTACTATGACGACTACCACATACATCGCGTACGCACGACCCACGGCTTAGAGAACTTCGCCCCAAAATACATGGTGCTTTGGGTGGGGAAGGAAGAATAAACCTTATTGCCAAATACCCTGTGCAGGGCCGGAAAGCCTATTAAACTACTCCCACATTGGAACTGCAAGGTAAAGCCTCCGCGCACTATCGTGGCCATACTGGACTGCTAGGACTAGCTGCTTGTGGTATTGTGACCAGATCATGTTTAAGAAGCTCTTATGAGTAATGCCAGGGCCAAGTGACCCACACTTTTGAAGCAAATTTTCCAATGTAGTCATTTACCTTGCATGCTTCCCATGAAGCATTCATGTCTTGAATGTTATGCTATTTCTTGTGCTGTACAGGTGGGTGATATGAACCTGTTTCTAGTTGTCTAAGTGTCTCGGCTTGTGCCCTGAGCGGTTTGATGTGTGGAACAGGAAATGGTTTCCTAGTTATGTAGTTACTAATATTGTTTTGCAATTTTATTGCATGTCATGGGTGTATTTCCAAGCATATTATCAAATCGAGCAGAGTCGAAGCCACTTGTAAAAGTGTAGGCTTGAACGAATATATTCGAATACTTGAACAAATACTACATACAGTATTCGAATTCACTTCATATTGAACTTAAATTGTTGAAAATTCAAAGTATTCGAAACAAATCAATAGGTGCATATTAGTCTGCATGTGATACCCTGGACATGTGGTTTCATTGCAGTAGAGCAGTGCTTAGCCGTGTAAGCACCTATTTAAATGTACATAAATTCACACGTAACTGCCTTGTAAAGGTGGTTTCACTGCAGTGAAGTAATGCTAAGCCATGAAAACACATATCCAAAGAAAATCAGCCCTGCTGCGAAGCCCACATTTCAAGGTTAAACGAGGATATTAGCCGTTTAAGAGCTTGTTATATTGACTTATATGCTCTAAGTATAGCAACTTTTAAGAAGTAAAATATTTGACAGGCTATCACTTGCATTCTGCCGAATGCGGAATCCTGCTACGATTCAAAGTTGTTTCGTTTTCTGTGATGCCAAAAAATGATATTTGGACAGGCCTTGTCTCAATTAAAAAAAATATATTGTGCATATTGTGCAGGGTAGTTGGGTCATGACAAATATGCACATTTTTCTTCATAGTATGCAACATATATGCTATTTGAATTTGATTCGAAATAATTCGAACAATATCACAATTCGCTCAGAATTCGATTTGGGCCTAAAATTCGCTATTCGCACAGGCCTATAAAAGTGCAGCTACAAAAAAAAAGGTAAATACATCACTACACATATCAAGAGTTTCATTTCATCAAAGCTTGTCCTGAACAAAATTTAGGACAGCAGTTTCTAAAACATGTGCAAAATATACATATAGGAACAGCTGGGTCGTACCATATTTTTTGAAGAGTTCCTCCAGCTCCTCTTCAGTGATTGTGTAGGACAGGTTTCTAATAAAAATTCGCCCAGTCTGCAATGTGCGAAAAAAAAAAAGTTTAAGAGAGCACTGACCAAGAGTGGCAGATCCCACGTACAGTGGGAATCGATGATATGCGAAGCACGAATAAGAAAGGTTGGTAGTCACTTGAAAATCAGCATAACATTATGAGGTGGAGGTAAATGATGCCGTTCATGACTTCCATGTCATGATTGTCATGTTTGAATGTGTCGTTTACCTTCACCATCTATTCAGGACATGTGATATCAAATTTAGTATATGTGGAGCAAGCAAAACGACCGCGAGCACCCTATTAGCATGGTATGTTGTCATGTTCATACATCACACGCATGTGAGGATTATAATGTTTACACCAGTCATACATTTTGTCATCTATTGACGCCACGTAACACCAAATTTGGTATATGTAGAGCTAGCAAAATGGCCATGAGCGCATCATGAAGGGCCCAATATACTTACTTCAATGTAGCGTTGACGCACGTGCACGCTGGGCACAGCAACGCTACGATAGCAAAATGCAAGCACTCTATAGTCTGATGCCAGGCGCCACCGGCGTCTGTGGACACGGCCCGACGGCAACGCGCATGCGTCAAAGCAACGCAGCGCAGCGCTCGGCTGCGAGTATACGGCAGGGCCGGTGCCTGGCGTGGCAACGTTGGCGTGACACGACAAAATGAACGTCGGCGGGCAAGCGCACCGCATCACATCGAAATGTATTGGCGCCTTGACTGTGGCATGTAGTCATGTTCTCACATGACACGCATCTCATGACTGTCATGCTTGCACCAGACGAAGGTATGCACCAGTCACATACCTTCGTCATCCATTGACGTCATGTAATACCGAGTTTGGTACATGTGAAGCTAAAGAAATGGCCGCCAGCGCATCATGAGCGCGGCATGCACTCATGTTGTTACATGACACGCATCTCATGATTATCATGTTTGCACCAGTCACATACCTTTGCCAACCAATCACGTACCGTAATACCAAGTTTGGTAAATGTGACGCTAGCAAAACGGCCGCGAGCGCATCATGAGCGTGGCATGTAGTCATGTTGTTACATGACACGCATGTTATTATTTTCATGTTAGGGTCTGTCGCTTGTGTAAACCATGCAATCATGCCATACCATACCAGTTTTGCAACATGTGATGTGAACGAAACCACCACAAGAGCTGCAGGACCATGAAATGTAAATCATGACATTCTTGACATACATGTCATGATTTTCATGTCATGACTAGTCAAACAGGTTCTTCATACAGTCATGCTATGCCATACGAAGATTGGTATAGATACCATTATCGAAACGGCCACGAGAGCTAAAAGTCGTAGGCGGCTAGTTAGGTAGATACTGGGTAGGTAGATAAATACATACGCTCAATGTCGCCGAAGTTCGCTAAGAAATGCTTCGCATTTAAAAATTTCTAAGGTAAAATGATGAATGAGATAGATTTATCTAGGGACATACCCAATATCAACAAAATATCAAGGGCAAATATAACCTAGAAGATACTAAGAATCAATTTAAAGTGCATGTCGCATGACTGCACGAGATGCGGAGCCCCTCACGACGTTGGCATCAACGCGGGAAAGAGTGTAAACAAATCTACGTCACAAGTTCGTGTTGGCTGTTTGCTGGCACGCATGCGCCCTGCGCTTGTGCCACCTGCAATTTTTTCCTCCCTGTTTGCAGTTCTGCATGTGCTGGCTGTCAGTGTGGTGCCCGCTCGCACATGGCACCAACATCACGGTTTTGCATGATCCCGTGGGCAGCTGTGTTTATCTTACTACCGGAACTGCTCCTGCTCAGCTCGGTGCTCTCTGAAACCGAAACTGCAGCTGGGCACTCTAAAATTGTCTCTAAATGAAAAACCGTCATGCCCTCGCGCACATGACGATTCCAGCTGAGATAAGTGAGTCACACGCTGCCTGTTGCAACAAGAAAAACAAGCTGCTAAATTTTTGTGTCGGTGCTTGTTTAAACTTAAAACATCTTTTGTTTCTATCCATTTTTTTCCACATAGACTGATGCTTTCTTTTAGTACCTAAATATACACATGTTAAAGAATATTAATCTCTTCAAGCCTGTATCTTCTCCTTAACTAAAGCTGGTCTAGTTTATACATGATCCTTTCCATGCATTTTTACACGTTCACTTTCTCTTAAAACTGAATTTTGATTAAGAAATTACACAGCTTACATCAAGCACATGTTATATTTTATGAACTTGCCTGTGCACTAATGAATGAATGAACTGGTAAATCGATCACATATTAGGCCGAATCACAGTTTCCCACAGTTTCCCCCAATATCCAAACCACTCATAACTCTTTCTGAAAGGACATCGTTACTTTGAAGAAACCGGAATATATTCTTCTTTAAAAGGCCACTCACTAGGTTTGATAATTTTGAGCTGACGAGCGCAATGTATAGAGGCGTTCATGATTATGTCTGCCAAAAGTTGGAACGCTATGCGCCGCGAAAATGAGTCAACTTTCAAGATGAACACTGCTTGCCCTTCCTTTCACGGGCGCGCGCCCAAAAAATGAGGGCATGGCGAAGACGTGGGAACTGCCCTAGGTAGACGAGTGTGCTCTGATGTCTCCAACAGTGCCCGTGACAGGGTGAAAATTATTTCATACCACATGTGTACCTTGTGTAATTTGTTGCTTGAATACATGGATAAAACTTGAGACAAATAATGAGACACAAAAAAAGAACGTGCACGTCTTTATGATATTTTTTTCCCCCCGTAAATCAAAATGACGTGTCGGGTTAATGTGCCTGCGTTTCCCTTGCACGTTCGTGTTCCCGCGGTTAGTGCATTGAGCGGATAAGCCCTGAATATGCTTATCTATTTTACTGCATCTGAGCCTGCATTTCCAAGGAGCGCGCCGAGGTATCTATCTCGCAGGAACAGACAAGAGAACACAAGATAACGCTGGTCAACACAACAACGCCACTCGCGTTCTCTGGCGTTGGTCTTGCTCAGAAATGGCATTGGCGCGTGACTGCTTGCTCGAATGTTGGAGAGAATAGAGAAAAGATTTGGCTTGCGAAGGCTACGTGGGGCAAGCGGCAAAAGTTTTAAGCTCGTCTCCTCTCATCATGGTTTTACGCCGCTTCAAAATGCTGGTTTCCTCACCTCGTAATAAACCGATTGAAAGAATTCTGGTGACATAATGCTCTTCTTCAAACAGTCAACTGCCAGCGTTTAACTAGAATTTGTTATGGGGCCTCGTAAGTGGCCCTTTAACAAGAAAACAAAAACACAAATGTGGGTCATTTATGGCATGCTGGCACAATATTAACATGTGCAATATTGATGCATGCAACATAAAGAGCCACGAATAGCAAGCGGTAGAACCTCGTTGATACATTCGCACTTAATGCAATCTCTTAGCTCCTAAGCTCTAAATTGCAAAAACTAAAAACTAGAAATGCCCCGATTAGATATGTGTTAATACTTTCTGCTTAGTACGTTCCCGGAAAATATGATTATTCGGCAGCAACGTTCGGCATTGTGGCAAACTGGGATTGTATGACACGTCTTGTGGGCGAAAATTCTTCTTCAGGCGTGCAAAAAAAAAAAAAAAAAAAAAAAAAACCTGCTCTCGCGTGCTTGTGAAGTGCCAAGTGGCAGACTGCTGACGCGCAGTGACGCCGGTTTCTTTGTTGGGCTTAATTATCACCCCCCCCCCCCCCCCCGTCTTCTACCTTACGTGCTTTCTTGGAATGGCCTGGTTGTCCACTCCATCACTGCCGCAGCTGTCAGTGAACCACACACAGGCCTGTCTTGGCTGTCAAAGTTTTCAAACAGTTTTCATAAAATGCCGTTATTTTATGTAGCATAATGGTTTTTTTTCTTAGCCGGCACCTTGGCACGATTTCGCTCAGCAGTGCAAAGCCTTAATCTGTAGCATGGTACTTGCGAATGCAATCGTCCCACACTACAGAGCTAACAAAGTTATACTTAGAATGGATGCACTGTTGGTCACCTCCACATTGCCACGATTCGGCACGAGACGCACGTCCTGCCTCCGCGACATAATGCACAACGCGCCTTGCAGTGGTAGCAATGCTTTAAATCACTATAATCTCACTTTTGCAACATCTGCCTCTTCTCACAACTCTATCTCACACACAGCTGGCGTTTTCCACAATATTCTTTCCTTAGAAGGTTTACAAAGCCACGTGCATTTAAGTATGTTAGCTGCGCACTTTTCAGTAGGAAAGATGCTGGAAACCAGCGCCCCCCATTAGTAATCGTTGGGGCCTCAGTGATTGTGACTATTTCAAGCAGAAAAAAAATTTAGCGAAATATAAGTCAGGCCCTGAGCGAGGCTGCACGTTGCTTATTAATTCATGATTACAGACAGTTGCATCGAGCTTGGCGTCAGGGAAGCGCAAGCTCTTGTCAATTAAGGAGAAGCTGAATATGCTTCGGCGGCATCTTGCATCGGAGGATACAGAGCGCAACAAAAATGACCCTGTGGCAGGCGCGTCTGACATCGACAACGAAATTGATGGGTCCGGATGCACCCTTCGCCGTGTTCGTCTCGATAGACGACAAAATCTTGACTTGCGAGCCAGAAAGTGTTGTTGAGATTGTCGCGTAGGTAGTGGTGGGAAATGCAGCGGAGCAGGTAGAGAACGAGGCACTGGAAGACAGCACGAGAATGAAAAAGTGCGCTGATCGCCTAACTTTGACGAAGGCCTTGCTGGACTGGAAACTTTTTTACGAAGCTTCTTTTGCACGAAAAACAACTAAAATGCGGACAAGGGTCTACAGTGTTCACAGAAAAACCTTTTCTTGTCCAAGGGTGAGGTAGCAACAGAAAATTACTGTTCCTTAAAAAATTAATGTTTTTTGCCCTTATACCTCTATATGGACTTGTCAGCCTCGATTTTCACTGGATCTGGATCGTACTTTTCCCCGTATGATATGTTTACCTTACGCATTTTTTTCTGAAAACCTATCAACAAACTTCTACTGCATGCAATCATGTCCTTGCTCACATCTGCCAGTGTCTCCTGGGGGTTACCCAAGTCTTCAAACTGCAAAGAACAGGAGGAGAAAAAAAAAAGACGGGTAAATTAGAAAAGTTCAGTGAAATAAATGTGAGCCTCAAGACAACCACGAAAAAGCCTACCGTCAATTATACAAGGATCTATTTACAAGGAACGAAAACACCATAAAGATTATTATACATTACATAAAGAGAAGGCAGTAGCACAGTTTCCAGGTTTCCGGTCAAAGAGAAATATGTGTATACAATACACTAGGCATGTGCAAACAGTGATTTCGGTCGAATAATTTCAAATCGAATAGCATATATGACATATAAATAAATATGAGCATATTTATAATTGACTAACCTGCACAATATTTTTTTTAATTGAAATACAGCCTATAGACAAATGCACTTTTTTTTCATTCAAAGGAAGTCGAAACAACTTTGAATAGTAGCAAGTTTGACTTTCAGTAGAATGCAAGTGATGACCTGTAAAATACTTGACGTTAGAAAATTTATTATACTTAGACCATATAAGCCGTCATAACAAACTTTTAAGCTTAATAAAATAATAAATTGATGTGAGGGTAATATGTTCATTCAAAGATTCTCTGCAAAACATCTTCAAGTATCAATTAATTAGATTCAATAAAGAAGCTTATTGCCTCATGAATTCACCGCAGCAAAAGTTTTTAGAATCTGTCCAATACGAACAGAGCTGTAAAGACCTCTTGCAAGCTGCAGTTGCATTCTCTCTTCTCGTCCTGACGAAAGCACTGGAGGCTAAGCAGGGAGCCATGGCACAGGGAAAGAAAATATGTCACGCATGCCCCATGACCTTGAGCACTTTTTCTCTTTTTTTTTTCTTTGGATATGTGGCGGCCCAGTAACAACCGGTGGCGGCACGTTGGCGGCCTCAGTAACAACCGCGCACCATGTTTCAAATCAGTACATGGCTGATACTATGGCTGTGACGAAAGATTCTTGAGCTAGTGGCGTCATTTTCCAATGAAAGAGAGCAATATTTAGCCGACTTCGATCATTTATTGTGAATTGCAGGCCGCTGCTGCCCTATAACATTTGGCTCGCGTGTTCTCGGTAGCCTCGACTACCCATCGGCCGCGTTTTCTGACTATGCTCAAAGGGTGTTGCAGGGCCCCTTTAAATTTAAAAGGAGGCTTTACGGCAGAGCGAACTTTCCTTGTATAGGTGCTTTCACGGCTTAACACTTCTACACCGCAGTGAAACTACACTTACAGGTGGTTACATGTGGAATAATATACATTTATTCGTTCCTTGCGAATACTTCAAAATTTTCAATAATTTAAATTTGGATCATAGCGAATTAGAATAGTCTACCATTCGTTCGAAGATTCGAATGTTCACGCAAACCTACAATGAACTAATATAAAATGCATTTGAGACAGCAAGCTCGCCTGTTGATCACAGCCATATGGAAGAAAAAGTGCGAGGGAGGGACAGGGGGATGACCGCATCTCCTATTTACCTAAAAAGGAGTGTGTAAAATCTGCCCTGTACTTCGACGTAGTAAGGGGAGGTGGCTGCAATGAACTTTTGCCCCCCTACCTTCGCTAAAGAGGACCCCTGTGTGCACTTATGGTTATGACTTATAAATACTAAGGAATTCGCAAATCAGTTTTACAAGCAGTGCAACCCTGTAACAGTTTAAACACAAAAAACTTGCCAGCTGGCAAAGTGAAACACCCAGATCAGTACTGTGCTGATACACAACATGTCAAGGCATAATAATTTTATGGCCAGTGCAATCGGTACCCAGTATGCTGCATTCACTGCCATGGAGACACTAAGACGAAACAAGTAAATACAGTCGAACCCCTTAATAAGAGACATTGACATAAGAGACGAATGGGTATAAGGGACACTAGTGAGCCTACAGTAAAATACGGGTTGATGAGAAAATGAATACGTGGTACCCTGCTTATAAGAGACATCTCAAATAAAAGACAGCAATTGCTAGCCCAAACATGCCTCTTATAAAGGGGTTTAACTGTACTGACAGATGAAGTATCTTTTGTAGGAATTCTAACCAGCTAGCTTGGCATTGCGCCTTAGCAAATTTCATGAGCAAAATGTTTAGCACTTTGTCACTCATCTGCTGATCATTGGAAGAAAAATGATGTTCAGAGCTCTGTTTCTTAAATTTTGGTTTAAGAGCCACAAAGTCAAAGTGATGCAACAAATTTATTTCTTTTTCGTTTTCCTTTCTTGCATTTGGCCCATTTGTGTGATACAGATATTCTCAACATTTGCCAAGTTTAATCTTCAGTTCTATTAGAACACAATGCAACTTATATTTTACTGCAAGAACATGATAAAGTAAGTCAGATAAAACGTCACGGCATCGGAGACAATATCCCAATGACGCGGAGTAGAAACCTCTACTATAGCATCAATAGCCATCCTTACTTCACGAGTCTTTTCTGTTTTACCCTGTTTTCATCATAATAACTTTGCCTTTTCTGGTACATACTGTAATTGCATAATTTAATTTTGAAGATATGTTTTCTGTTCAGAATTCCTATTGTATTGCATGAAGTGTTAATTATTCAATGCTTACCTGCCGCCATTTTTTCTCAGGGACCACTTGCTTTGTATATTTTGTGACATCTAACCTATGTCCAGCTACAATAAAAAAACAAATCAACCATAAGAAGGTGGGAAGGAAGGACAGAATATGGCAAGTTCAACTCTCCTGTCAAGTCTATACAACCGTGCTGTGTAATATACTAGCTGCAACAGTCTCAGCAGTAGGCGCAGCCCTATCCAAATCAAACATCTGGCTGCAGAAACATCTACAGCTTATGTATATTTACGTGCTGATGTCAAATATACAGTTCTTTCTCTAGTTCAATATATGCGGCTTTAAAAATATCAAGCACTTTATATGCCTTGCTACAAGTAACAAGGAAGATCTTTTCATAAAACTGCAACTGCTACAAAGCGTATCACAAAACCCTGGAATGAAAACTGTATATAATACAGCTGAACAACAATAGACACTCTAAGCCCGCCTGAGCAAAAGTCGTGATATGTTGAACTTTCGAGAGTCGAATCTTAGCTGGAAATAGAGCTACTCACAAGTGTTCAACACAGGCCCACAGCCAAGAATTTTTTTTAGGGGGGGGGGGGGGCACTTTATGAAAGTCTTGAAAAAGACCTAAAAAGACTGGAAAAAGTCCTCCCCCCCGCCTCTCATCAGAATTTCTGTCATAAATATGCTGTCGTTATTATGCTGCTAGCATGAAGCCACAAAGTAATTTTAAGCCTCACCCTTGCTCACAGTTAAGACAAACAAAACTTTGTAGCTGCCAACATGGCAGGTGAAGCTCATGACTACTAGAGCGCTTGAGTAAGACTTGTTGCTGATCGAGTTGGTTAACGTCAATGTAGTACATAGTAGCGCGAACTTAGGAAACACAGAGCGGAAAAAAGAAGTACAGTTAAACATTTTTATAAAAGGCATGCTCTGGGCAGCAGTTATTGACTTTTATATAGGATGTCTCTTATAAGCAGGGCACCATGTAGGCATTCTTTTATTAAGCCATATTTTACTGAAGACACACTGGTGTCTCTTATACCCATTTGTCTCATTATATCAGTGTATCTAATAAAAGGTTCGACTGTAGAACGGAGCAGGCCCCGACCGTTTCGCTTCCATCTACTTTTTTTCTCTGATTTGTGTTTTTCAAGTTTGTGCTACTATATACCCTATTAGAGGACTCCTTTTCCTTTTTGAGATAGTGCAATACTAATGAGATCTAACAGACAATGATGCCAAGAAAGGTATAAGGGATCTTATTAGAAGAAATTGTAATGAAAATGTGAAGAAAATTTAAATGTGAAAATGTCAGTCAGCGCGACTAGTAGCCATGACAGCAAATGTGAAACAAACTTTGTCTGCCTGCTGGCACCACATTGCCTATAATCTTATAATGAGCTGGCAGCTGACCAATAATCCCTTGCCTACTACCTGAAGGCATCAAGTCTGCTAAAACAAACCCTTGCTATCTAAGAAAGTAAGTAGAAATTTAAAGGTTCGTTTTTCATTGTTGAACTCAATATTTAATAATGACTGAATCATGAAACTGCCGAGCAAAATGAAAATAGTTTACATGTTCCAGCTTCAAGTAGCAACCTTTAAATGATTCCACAGTTAAATTATCTAAAATTAAACTTCAATGCATACTTTTGCATATGTCATGAATTCTCCATATGCCACAGAAGCAAGGACCTAGCAACAAAAAACTTATTTCTGAACTACGTAACATGTTGTGCACCACCTCTTGAGTGCGCACACACCAAGGAAACAAAATTATTGGAGATAGAACCTATGCCACAAAGGTGAGAAAAAATGAAGTAGTGAGAGTTGTTGCACATGCTTTGTGTTTTCTTTCATGAGCTCCAAAACAATTGGTTGGTCTGGCTTAAAATAGCTTGGACTAGACAGCACTAAATTTTTAATGCTGAGAGCTACATGCCAAGCGAGTACTTGAAAGCCAGCACGCATTTCGTGACTTACTTGCTTGAAGTTTATTGGTATGCCGCGAATTTGCGACATCTGACAGTAAAGGGTTAAAGGGGCCCTGAAACACTTTTTCAAGTAACTATAGACTTAATTCACCAGAAAATCTCATTGCCTCACCAGCTTAACACAGCAAAATTTTATGAATCCATCCAGTGCGAGTGGAGTTACAAAGATTTGTCGCATGCTAAAATTGCATTCTCTATTTTCCCGTCCAGAAGAAAGTGCTGGAAGCTAAGCAGGGAGGGATGGCAGGGGCAAAGAAAATACGTCACGCACGCCTCGTGATCTTGAGTACTTTTTTTCATTTTTTTTCTTCGAATGCACAACCTTTTCAGTGCGATCGCGCGCGCACGTGTGGACAAGTCGCGGCCTTTTGCAGCGATCTCTGTAACGACCGAGCGTGCCATGTTCACAATTAGCCAATGGCTGATAGATGGGCTTTCTACGAGTGGTTTTTGAGCTTCTTCCGCCACTTGACGAGAGTAAAAAAAGTCATTTTTAGCTGACCTTGATAATTTATTTTGAATTGAAGCCGTGTGCTGCGCTATAATATTTGGCTCGCATGTTGTTGGGAGCCTCTACTACCGATGCGCAGCATTTTCTGACCATGCTCAAAAAGTGTTGCGGGGCCACTCGAATGAGATCAAACAAACAATGATGCCAAGGAAAGTATAGTGTATGTTATTAGTGACAAATGTATAGTGAATGTAAAAAAAAAAAAAAAAGAAAAGTGAACCATTAGGTAACTTGCCACTTGCCCCTCAGTACATGCAAGTTATCTTTTCGTCTACTGTTTTTCTCACTGTAGTTCTTGTTGCCTTTTAAACACTGCGTTTACACAGTGGCATGCCAGGTGTGCATACACAAACAAGACTTTGTGCTCACCCATGAAGCTGTGATGCTTGTTTAGTGCCTGCTTCATGTCTTGTTCCTTCTTGAAACCCAGGTAGGCAATGCCTAGACAAAGTAAGGCACACCAAAATGATCACCTCTGCAATACCATCATGGCCCTTATAGATGACAAGCGCTACCATGTTTTATCCCGTGCCCGTAATTTGCCTTCACCCAGCCAGTTGCCTCAGCCAACGCAATGAAACAAGCGAAGTGGCCGTGGCCGTTCAGTGCCAGTAGCAGGGGTTAGAAGCCAACATGGCAGCACCTTTGTAGACGTGGCCACCCAATTCGATCCAAACTCCCTCTAGATACTACCACACTGCCTTCGCAGCAATAATTAAATGGCGAAATTAGCTATCCCTTCAAGTAATCTAATGCTGGGAACAAAGCATCAGGTATGTTCCGTCTTTATTGCCAATATTTGTGGTGTTTATTTAGGCATGCCTGCTAAGCCTCATCTGCGACCATTTCAGAATGAATCTAGAAAACACGGCAAAATATTGATGGGTACATTGCTCTCGAAGCTGCAGGACGTAAATAGAAAGCAAATAAATGCATTTGTTGCGAACCTATGGGCTGCACAGCGCAGAACAAGGACGTTATAAGTTCAAAGTGGAAGGAAACTGCACCTTCAGGTGCTGCCATGTCAACTTTTTTGGCGCTGCTCGCTTTTACTCTTGTGTGCAGACGCCGTGGTAAGGAGACCCTCAGGTGCGGTGATGCCATCTAGTTTGGATTTAACAAACTTGCTGTGGACGACTGCCTACTGTGTTATACCTGATTAGAGTGCTTTGCTGCTGCAATGACAGCCGCTAATGACTCTCATGGAGGGAAACCAAGTGAAACGACTTCGACCACGCGTCCTGAGAATGCAAAAGCACAGAGGACACAATAATCCAGGCACGCAAAATAGGAAAGCGATGCTCACATGTTTAGCTATGATGGCTCTGAGTGTTAGGCCAGAAAAATGGTCCACTTGAAGCAGGCTTTGCAAGGTACTTGGTTGGCTATCCACGTGAGCACTGTCTGCTTGCTTACTTGTTCTGCTGCACACGAGGCTGATGAAACTTTCTCAAACACTGCCATTAAATAAGCTTTCTGGAGCACATTAATGAGATGACAGTTTCACTCGGGATACTGATTCTTTATTTATAGAACTATATTAGAAGCATTACATTTACAACAAAGAAAAAAAAGTGCGAAGTCACTCAAAAGTGTATTTCCAAATAATGTACGATGCACAAAACTTAATCCTTTTTTAAGGCTGTGTAAAATATTCATAATAAAGCAGTTAATTCTGGTTTGTTTTAATGCTTGAGCTGTCTCAACGTCCTGCATTTACAAACTATGTTGCTATTGAGTAAATTTTGTTTTAAGAAAGTGATAACCATACTTCATCCCCTCACAGCACTCTTTTACAACTCATAAACTGAACCAGATGACATTCCCCCTAGAGTCACACTCGGCAATCTTTCAATAATTTTTGCGAATCCACACATCAACCACAGCTGACTTGCGAGTCAACGTGGATTACCAGCACAACACTCTGCCCTCATAAAGCTAAAAGAGATAATCAGATTCAAGAATGACAACACTAAACATGAAACTGAAGTTGCCAGAGCAAGAGTATCTTCCACGACTGTGGCAAAATAAAAACTGAACACTGTGTATTCTGTGCAGGTTTTACACACAGTATTCCATTCTGGTCAATATATTTTGCGCAGCTTATACGGTAGAAAACACAGGGTATCTCCAAAGAAATGCATGAGCTATAAAATGCACGAGTTCTTCAATGCTGGTTCAAAGCGTAGTAAACCAGCATTCCTACACTGCTCAAATGCGGCTACATATCACAATTTGGAACTGAATGCATGTTCTCAAGCACATAGAAATGTGCCATAGCCCCTTGGTCGGAAAGCTGGTGATTCAGGCAAGCAGCGACCACATTTCTGAGAGGTTTAAGGCAAAGACATAGTAGTCAGCAGGTAATGTCATACTGGTACCAGCCCTTTGCAGTTCACTTTGCAAGAGGCATTGCTGAGAACTCTCTCAAACTCTAATAGTACTTACAACAAACTTACAACAAAGGCATAAGCAGAGAACAACAAGCCACAACTTTTTGAAGCCACAGCCTATACATGATAGTGTGACTTCGAGCATCAACACCTCGAGAACACACTCACCTCTGACCTTCGGTGGAAGTCGCAAGCTGGCCACTTTGGCAGGTTTGAAGAAGTCCTTGATTTGTTTCTTCGGTGCAAAAGAGAAAAAAAAAAAGAACAAAGTAAACATATTTTCATGCTAGAATGTGTGCTCAAAGGTTGGGTGCCTTGCTCTTTCACTTACCTTTTTGCAATTGTATGGAAGTCCCTTGACCTTCAACGTGTAGGCAAACTCTTGTACTGGTAGCTTGGGCTGTATGCACAAATAAGGAGCAGAAAAAAAGTGAAAAGGTGGTGTGAAATGAAAAGGCAAGCATGTACAAGCACAGAAAGATGAGGGCACCTAGAACGAGTAGTACAGCTGAAGGGAGTAAAAGGGATAGCCCTATCTACTATATCATGTTATCGCCTCGACAAATGGCCACACAATAACAAGCAAAAGTTTTGGTGACCAAATAAAAGTTAGCTTTCAATTGTACCATGTTTTCACTGACAACGATGACAATGACATGTGCACTGATTGGCACAACCATAACAACACTACAACTAACACCAAGAATCCTAGGTGGGCAATAAATATGAACTTTTCAAATCAGGTGACTTTTTTTTCTGCATAGTGGTGATAATAAACATAAAATGAAAGCTGTAAAATGTACCTTAACAGGTACTGAATTTCAGAGCATGCAAGCAAAGAGAACAGAGTGAAATAATAAAAATTGTAAAGCTTGACAGGCACTCTTTTATAAGTGCTTTGATCTACTTAACAAGAACATGGACATAACTTTATATCAGCAAACACAAACACCAACTTCAGCACAAAAATCACGCAAACAAAATATAGATGCAAAGGTAAGAAAAACTGTATTCAGGAGGCTTGTCATCATCAAGCTCGGGCTTTGGTTCATCGGGTTGGGTGAACAAATAATTAAGATTTTAGTGTCCAAGTGCTAGTAAATTGTAGGATAAAATGAGCACATTAGCAAGGAGCTCTAGATTAAGTTCGATTACCTGCGGTTCTTTAGTTGCACTTAAATTCAGTCGCAGTGTCTAGAAATCAGACCAGCGACCTGTCACTCATTATCAGAATGCTATTGGCAGTTAGATACTATGCTGGTGCTTTGTTTAGGAAGGTGGTGAAGGAAATAGCAAGCTGTAGAAAAAAGAAGTTCGTCAAAAACAACGAAATGCATGAGAGTGTTATCCCATAAGAAAAATAAAGAGGAGAAAGGAGCGTAAGAGTCTACCTTTTGCTTCTGCTCCGGAACCTGTTGCTGCTTGTCATTCTTCTTAGTCTGAGAGAAAAAAGAAAGGTTAAACAAAGTTGAACAAAGAAAGCCAGAATGAAACGTCTTGCAATGCAAGGATGCTTGAATTATTCCTGACATTCCATTCCGCGAGCATGGAAAAAAAATCTATGAAGCTAAGCAACGCAGTCGATGCATGTAGGACTATCGTCCATAACATGTGGCACGGCTTGATAACTCCATGAATACCTTAATCTCTAATGGATGCTTGTTTGGGACGAACATTACGTTAGCATCAAGTTTTACTACCTGAGCAACACTTTTCATACTAAAATAACAACTTGAAAAAAAAAAACTAACAAAACATTTCAGTGAGAGGTGTCACAATAGTGAGAAAACTGACATTCCACGCTGCAAAAGTTAGCAAGAAGTGACCCACAAGAAAAATTTAAGTACATTACACTAGGCAGTAATGTAACATAGCAAGAGGCATTGCTATGCAGTTTTACAACAAACAAAGCCAAGTCAAGTTCCTCAATAAGAAGTCACAAAGTTGGTAATGCATAGTCTAGCTTATGGTCTCGCTTATCACTTGTTCTCGATAGCATTGGCAAACTTACCTTACTACTAGCTGGAGCCTTGTCGAAGTTATCTAAAGAAAAAAATTAAAAAAGCACAAGATCCTTTAAAACAAAGTTTAGTGAATATGATAGGATACAAATGTGACTCCAAATAAACCCTCAGCATTTGCTTCTTGGGGAGGGGTAACTTATTATGCAGAATATTATGAGTGCGGACAGAGTGTCCAACACATACACGCGAGTGAGGAAAACAAAACAAACAAAAAAAAAGCATATAAGACAGATGCTACCACGTTCAAGAATCGCAAAAATTTATTAGCGATCTTAAAATTATTTATGCTAATTAGTTTGGTTACTTACAACGCTTACTTACTAAAAAGCATGGACTCTGAGACTACTGAGCCAAAGCCATCACTTTCAGAGGGTCATGTTAAGAAGAGAGTCAAACAAATTAGCAGAGAAAGAGCTATAAAGCTTGTACTAGCGCAGTAGTATGTACGAAGCTTACAAAGACAAGTGGGAAACTATTCCCTGTAAAAGTTATGCTACGCAAATTCTACTGACAGCACTTGAGTTTAACTTAAAAACATACTAGACAGGCCAATGAAGACAACAGTGGTCAATTTTTCATGCACACTTTGCACGCTTAAACCCCAGCACCTTGCTGCTTGTGTGATGTCGCAGATTTGCAGGTCCTTTCTGTTTTGTATTTACAAACATCAACTAAATAAAATCTTTTAGAACACAATGCAATTTATTTTTTACAAGAAAGATTATGTAGAGCCTAGGATACACCTTCAAAAGGTTTTACATCATGATAAGTTATTGCAGGGATTTCAATGTGGCAACACAACTTGAAATTCCTTTTTTAGCACATTTTATGGCTCAGCAAACATCTCCTTAGAGCAAGAACATATTTTGTTTTGGTACTGCGTGATGGTAATTTATTAGTAGTATACAAACCAAATGATTTTTCTATTAGGTCAGTTAATAGAAGCAAGGAGAGCCGAAACCTTTAGGTTCCTCTTCATCAGCATCGTCTTCATCTTCTGATTTGGCAGGCGGAACTGCCTTGGCTGGCTTCGCTTTCTTCGCATCTCCGTCAGCATTCGGAGCGCGCGTGTCATTGTCCCAGGTGACCTTGTTGTGCGTTCCATGCACCTTGAGGAACTCTTCGAACTCCTCATTGCCTTCCAGCTGACAAAGCCCACACACGCATAAGAAAACATCAGAACACCATGCTCGGTTTGTCCTGGTCGACACACGATATAACTACAGTAGACTCTCGCTAAACAGAGCCTGAAGAGAGCAGGAAGATATGTTTTGGTTAACAGGAGCTCGATTTACCAAGAAGTGAACATGCGTGCAGAATTCAACCATTAAATTAATATTCTTATAGGCGGTTGTTCTATTTAAGTAGTAGTTTTGTTCAAGAGATTTCCTTTTACTGAGTGTAAACTATACATAGGCTTGAAGTAGAGGTGTGCGAATATTCAAAATTTCGAATATTTTTTAAATGGTGTTTGCTATTTGATTTGATGGGCACTGGAAATTTACTATTTTCGAGTATTAAAAAATGTAGCAGTGAAATTAGCTCGGTTATGCCTGGATATATGTAACGTGAGCTAAAAGGGCGCCACCTAACTCAACGTTTCACGCATGGCATTAATTACCAGCATCAAGTCTTTTACGTGCCAGTTTTTCACACAAGTTGGTCACATATCCAAACGAATTCAAAAAAATGCACGAAATCTCTGAAGCATAAACTAGAAGCTACAGTTTGTTTTGCTGAACCTGTCCAGTAGGCATGCATGTTTTTGACAGGTTTTAACATGAACAGGTTTTATGATGGTTGCCTCGAAAACTGCCAATACCAGGAATTAAAACATGTCCAATAACCATGTGTGTACACAAACACTCACATCTTTTAAGAACTCGTCAGCAAAGTTCTTTCTTGGTGACTTCTCCTTGACTGGCTGAAAAGAAAATTAAGAAGATGAAGGTTACTTCAAGCGCATCATCTTTGATTTGCATACTGTGTAACACCTGTCTGTGTTAGGTGTGTAAAAACAAAAGGAAGTGACTTTACTTAAAAGGGGGAGGTCCAATTACCATTTGTGCATGTGTTTGTATGTGCATATGTATATATACACATGCAGAATTAAAAATCTTTGGTAAAGAAGCCCCACACGGGTGCAGTAAAACGTAAAATGAGTGCATATTATACAACCCACTGTGCTGGTCATTTGTGCATTTTTGTTTGTCTAAGGATGTATGAACAGAAATGTGGAAACTACAGACTAGAGGAGTGCAGCTGTGACCTGTGCACCCCGTTACTATTGCACAAGTGCGTGCAGCTCTCACCTTGGGCTTCCTCGTCTCAGGGTGAAGCCGCTGGTAGGCCGAACTGTCGGCAGAGTACTTGCTCCACGAGCGGGGCTTCTGCTCATCACCCAGTGCTGCACAAATCTCCACCTGACCAACAAAACAAATTAACGCATCAAACGAAAGGCGCGCTAGAAATAATAAAACAAAGTGATACTTTCACCACAACAAGCTGACTATGAGTGACTGAGGGCGAATGCACTTTGACCTTGCTCGTATGCTGACTGTATTATCTGACCGGCCACGGTGGTCCAGTGGCTATGGAACTCGACTGCTGACCCGCAAGTCGCGGGATCGAATCACGGCCGCGGCTTCGATGGAGGTGAAAATGCTTGAAGCCCGTGTACTTAGGTTTAGGTGCACGCTGAAGAACCTCAGGTGGCTGAAATTTTCGGAGCACTATTACAGCGTTCTTCATATTGTTGTTTTGGGACGTTAAACCCCAACAGTTATTATTATATTATCCAGCGTAGTGCAGTGATTCCAGGGATTTCGTGAATGTTGCCTGTACGGTGACACATTTACCGCGACAGTTAACTACCTCGCCGATGGTATTCTACAGCTCGTGTGGTAGCTACAGTCAGGAAGCAATCCCATCTGAGCGTAAGGACACGGTTTCACATTCAAGCGCCAAGCACAGCTCAGCTGATCTTACGTTTTACAGGCCTTCATGTCATCCCAGCGATCTAGGTTTTGCAGAGACGTTGACCTCACGCTTTATGTTTCTCGGCCGAAAGAGCCGTGGTAGATATGATCACCGTGAACGCGTCATCATATGCCGGGAGCGAGACTGCCAAGCAACCCACCTGAAGCTTGGAAGTGTCTAGGTAAGAATTATTGAAGTACTCCTTGGCAGCAGCGGCCTGGGCCTCATCTTTGAATCCCACGAAGGCGAAGCGTCGGAAGACACCTTCTTTCGTGTACTTCAGCTGCAGATCGGTCACCGTCCCTTTCGTGGAGAAGAACTCCCGCAGCCGTTCTTCTTTGATCTGAGATCGAAAACAATGTGACGACACAATCTAGAAAAAGTCACGGGAAAGAACAGCACTTCTTACCTTTTTGGGAAGGTTTTTCACGACGATTCGCGACATCTTACGCGTGAATGTGACAGCGCTACTCAACCAAAACAAGTACGCATGCTGCAGCCACGCTCAATCGCTGGGGGCTGACATGTTAACGGCCCGCAGATTATAAAAATATTTAGGTTTAAATAGAAATACTACAATATAAAAACTAGTACAATAAATTAATCGCAAAAAATGTTTTCAAGTTTTTAATTATTGAAAATTTTGAACTTATTGTGCATTTGCTGCGTTATTTACTCGACGAGCGACGAGCCATCCGTCTGCACATCGCTTCGGTGACTTCAACTTCAGTTTGCGCCGCGTTTATGATTACCTCGCTCTGTTGCAAGTTTCGAAAGTGCTGAAAGCTGTCACCCCTTCTACAAGGGCGGAACAAACGCTTCGTATAAGACCAACCCTTCTCGTGCAATGCGCCCGGCTGACTTGACGTCCGCGGCAGGTCCGACGTGATCTCAGCTGAGCCACGACTCGCAGGTATGTTATGTAGTACGACGTCCGCTCTAGCGGCTGTTACCATGTAAATATTGACCCGCGGGTGACGGTAACGGAAGCAGCTGCAACCCCCGTGGCTCGTTGTCTGCATTCATATGGATTGAGACGCGTTTAATTATTTTTGACGACTACTTATCCGAATGTTGAAGGGGGTTTTCCCGCGCCGCTGAATCGAAACGATAAGCGAAAGCGGGGCGAACAACCATTTGACGTTGCCACACGCGCGCTTTGGGTCGCGCTCTTTATCGCCGATTCGCGAGATCGTATTCGACGTGCGGCGTTGTGTTCACGTGTTAGGAAAAAAAACCTAACGCGAGCCTGAAGCTTTCACCACGCAATTTTCTGTTGCGGCCAGCGATGCGTGCGAGGTGCGTGCCTCTATCACTAAAGCTTCAATAGGAAGGCTGTGCGCGGCCGTCCGTGTCGCAGAGAATAGCGGTAAGTGAAAACGATCCGATGCCTGTATTTGCCGACGAAAGTTTCACAACACCGCTGATGTCTTTAACACGCATAATGAGGCAAACTGGAAGGTCGTGCTTGCTGTGGTTCTTGTGTGCATTATACGTGGGTGCTTTTCCCGAGCACGCTCTGAACGCCAGCCGCGTGCACCAGGGACGTCGATAGATACATGACACCTCCGGTTTGCTTAGCTTAGGTGGCTTACGTATACTGTCTCGTGCCGTACGTCAACCTGTGTGTCGAGTGATTTGACTCGACATCCCTGTGTGATGTCTCATAAATCGTTGTGGTATCTCTAATCTTATCACACCTACCTTTGTTTCTTTAGATACAAAACTCAAAGTAACAATAAAACGCGAAATATGGCCCATCGATGCGTGCGGGTGCAGCAGGCAAATTGATTTTCATATGAAGTGTATTGTTATTTTTGCTTCAATTTAGAGGTAAGGCTTTTTGACTTCAGTTAATAGCAGAGATGCTTGTTAGATGCCGGAAGTCAGTGTTGTAAAAAAAAGAATTTTTTTGTTTTGATGTGAATATGCACTCAAAAATAAATTTCCATTCTTCTCTAACAACCTTTAATTCGCCAGCTTCAGGAGTGTGCAAATATTGGAAAATTTCGAATAGCGTTCTACTCGATTTGGTACTCTAACTGAATGGGGCATAATAGAAAACCTGAATAGTTCTCGAATTCATTTTAAGCAATAAACACAGATAAAAGAGACCTTGACGGGCCAAATGTTTCGAATAGAGAATGGTAACGTGTCCCGTTTTAATCGTAGAATTACCTAGATGCACACAGCCAAGGTTTTAATGGACTATCGATGCTACATTGATCACAGCATGAAAGCGTTTTTGCCGTAAACTTCAGTGTCACCCAAGCGACAGAGTTATCAATCCACTATCTTCATTATGGAGTTCATGATGATGCTGACTTATGAATATTGTATAATCGTCATATCTGAGCTTTATTTAAAATGTGTTGACAAAGTCCTACATTATGTACTGTAGTCGCTTCTGTATTTCAACCTGCACTTACAAAGCACTTCTAAGGCACTAACTGCTGCGGTATAGAGCTGAATTTGTTTATATAATTGTGGTACTTTTGCTAATTGAAAGTAATCATAATAGTCATTTCATAAAGCCTGCGAATATTAGCTTCAAATATAATGCCGTAGAATGCTAGGGCTCTTTCTATAATGGTTACATTGCCACTCTATGAATGCTTTGTATATGGTGACCCTGCTATTTCAAAACTATTCAAATAGTATTCGATTCGGTGTCATCGTTATTAGATTTTGTTTTACAATTCACTGTTCGCATACCCCTGTTGACTACATTGCAATAGCTGGCCTGTGATTATTGTCATGTCTTGAATGCATCCTGGTCAGACCTGCCTTGGTAGCCTAATTAGCAGGCTCAGTAGTGCTGCTCAGCTTGAGGATTGGAGCTTGATTCCTGGCCTCGGCGGCCACGTAAGAGTGGTGAAGAAGTGGGGAACAACCCTCATGCTTAGATTTAGGTGCACACTAAAAAACACCAGGTGGTACAAATTAACCCCATGTACCACACTACGGCATGCGTCATGATCATCTCGGGGTTTTGACAAGTAAAAAAAATATCTCTAATTGTCTTAATTATTGATGTGTACATCAAACAAGCAGTTTGAAGAAAAAAAAAAGCTTGTAAAAATATCTGATTTGCTTGACAAAACTGCACGATACCACTGCCAAAGATGCACTCGGTTATGCAATATTTCAGTCGAAGATTAGAACAAAGGCATGATTTTATTATGGGAGGTATAGGCTTGAAGAGCTAAAAGATCCAAAACCTTGCCTTCAGCAGCTCGTTTAGTCTACTTCAGGGCTTGAACTTATCATTGTGCTACACTTTTGCAAAGTATTCAATCTAGAGTATTGTTTATAATAATGATATCTGGGGTATTGCGTCCCAAAACTACAACATGATTATGAGAGATGCTGTAGTGGAGGGCTCTGAAAATTTTGACCATCTGGTGTTTTTTGATGTGCACTGGCATTGCACAGTACACAGGCCTCCATTTCGCCTTATTGAAATGCGACTGTTGTAGCAAGTTTTATACAAAGAACACTTGTGGGAAGAAATCGTAATTACAGGAAGTTTTTTTTTTTTCTGGGACCTAGTCTGTAAATGCAACACATCGCTTTATTTTTGCAGATGAGCGCAAGTTCTTGAAACTAAGTGAAAGCTGTCATTTGTAAAAGAGATGTTCTATCCGTTTAAGTGCATCTGCCTTGTGTGTCATTTCTGAAACGGCATCGTTTCCCATCTCATTGAAAATATCGTACCTTAAAAGCCAGCTGCTGCCAAATAAGTCCCTCCCACGTGTAGACTACAGGTGCCATTCTTTTACGTTTCAAAGTTGGCCTGACTTGTGTGCGGAATGGTGGCTGTTTTTCGTTTCGCATTGTTTTGTTCATTTTTCTGCACCCTAATGAACCTGTGCTTGTCCTACTGAATCTGTAACAGCATTCTCCCAAAAAGTTGCAGATATTTTCTTTCTGTTTTTTTTTTTATTATTTCTTCAGAACTGCAGAGCCTCTGACGTCAAGCTTTACCACTTTTATGTCTGCCCACCGAATTACTCCTCTGTGTCTAGTTTCAGAAGAAGGAACTTTCCGGAATTTAAAGCCACTGATTTGAAAGGAGACTTTTGAAATATATTTGTGCACATTTGTTGCAGCAGTACAGGCTTGACTTTGTTACAAAACTTGGTAGCAAAAGGAGCCTGGCTGCACTGCCCGATTTTCAGGTAGGGAAAGCGGATTAATATATCTTCGTAATATAGGGTCATTTACATTGTCACACGTGAGAATATCGAAGAGTCTTAAGAGCAGTCATCTGGTAAGGTCAAAGCATGTTGAATATTTAGTATTTATAGGATTAGGCTTTTTTCTCTACATCTGAATCTTTTTTACAGAACTTCTGTAATGAGCAAAAAAGCTTGAATATCAGTAGCAAAAATTATGATCTAAAATTCAGTTTATGGCTTTTAAAAGCTAAAGAGCTTTTCAGTCACTCTACTAATTAGTATTCAAATTATTATAAAGAATAACTGTTAATGGTAATTGGGCCAAATATTCTGACGAACTGATGTAAGCATAAGTAGTAAATAAGGGAGCATAGCTTAATTTACTTGTCTGCATTTAATCTTTTTTTAGTTGTAGCATTGAAATTTTGAAATATTTATGTACACTGTCATGCACTAAATTAGTCCAGCACCATTAATTTGCACTTATCCAATATGAATTACAGTAACTTTCTTAAGCATAACTAACCCTTCCCATTAATAACTGTAAAACAACAGAACATTATTTTGGAGGGCTGGGTAGAGGAGAATACAATAGTGAACTGGGGGTAGCCCGGGTCTAGCGCTCCGCTGGCTTGCGCTGCCAGGCAAACATGATTCAGGAGCGCGAACCACGGCTTTAAGTGTGAGCTTACAAGACGTGCCGAGAGCACCTTTATGAATGTCCTGTATGCAAGCAAGTGCATTCACAGGCTCCACAGGTTTCCCCCAATGACGATGGAAGCTTTTTTTGTGGAAGCCAACTCGTTAAGTCGCCTGGTGCATTTCAGTGCTATATGTGTAGGACACAGTGACAAACACTGGCAGCGGGCCTGTGACATGATTTTTTCCAACTGCACTGCACGAGTCGCAAAGTTATTGAATCAGTAAGTGCGACAAGATTGCTTAGAAAAGGGCAGATGGATGCTTTCTTTAATGAATAATGATGCTTCAGGCAGTTGTGGCGACAGTTATGAGATTTTATTAAGGCAGATGGGTGGGTGTGCAAGTCGCTCACTGCTAGTCCCTTCTTACTCATCAGTGGTATTTTTTTCACCGTCAGTGTGAATGTGCTCTGTCTCCATATCCCCCTCCCCCATTTAGTATTGGAGGGTCCACCATGTTTGCCGGCCAGCCCAAGGCTGCGACCAAGGAGCAGTTCCTGGAGCAGGCCAAGGCAGCCCGTATTGAGCGGGCTCAGGAGCGCCGGCGCGACCAGGCAGCATCTGTTATCCAGGTATGCACGTTTTAAATGTGCACCCTCTCTTCTGGATTTCAGCACGCCATGTCTTCTTCGACTCTGTCATCCTGTCACGCAATATACAATGACTGCGGCACATTGTCTTGTAACTTTTTTCATTTTGAGGATTTGAGCTCTGTATTCTTGCACATGTATTGGCAATGGTCAGGGCCTTTCAGATAATTTCTTACAGTACTTCATTTAGGAAGTAATTCATGAGATGGTTAGTTGACATTTCTTTCTAAAACTTTTTAGATAATACTGGGAAGTTAAAGGCAGGGAAATTTCAAACAGGGTGCTTGTGGGCAATTGAAGAATTCATTGAACAAGCTTCCCGTCAAATTGCCATAGAATTTATAGCCATCATCAGCAAAGCAGGAACGAAAATTCAAATGATGAATTGATTGTTCTAGGTAAAGAAGCGTCAAACTTTAAACCGAATATGCTCATTTGCTGAATGTAGAGATGACCTTGTCTTAATAGAAAGACAAAAGGATGGCAGATTCACGCATCAGTTTTTTTTCTGATGCACTGAGATCTCATGCAACGAACCCAAATGTATAACAAATCATTGGTTATAACAAAGTAACTGAAAAAAATAGTTTTCCCATAAGTACAGTGTTAAGAATGTATGGTTATAACGAATTTTGAAATATAAGGAGGTATTTTCACACCTGATCTAAGTTTGTTATAATGAGATTTGAGTGTATATAAGGCCCTTTCTGATTCTCATTTGTGCAATTTTTGCAAACTACATTACTTTCAATAAACGTAGAATAGCACCAGTGCATTCTGCAGGTGCTTGCTACGTGCAGTGGGCCTGACAGTTTTCCCAACACTTGTTCCTTTCAACATTCCTTCACAGTCCGCACTCATTAGTCCCATAGTGTTGACACGGCTAAATGAGATCACATATGCAATGCCGGAAATACATTTCATAAGCCTTTTTGCTGTGGTCAGTGGTACGTTAGGGGTCTTTCTACGTTTATACACGATGTATCAGTACTACTCTTTCCCCATCCTGTCCCTTGCTCTTTTTAGCTTCTAGGTGAGTAGGAGAACTTTCATCCTTTGAAGTTTGAGCTAGTTATGTGCTACACAAACTGCAGAAGAAAAAAAAAAAAGAGAAGACATAGTTATTGCTTTCTGTTGTACCTTATGCAACGTGTTAGTCCACTTCGATGTCCACCATACTTGTTCATTATGAACCCATAGTTTGCAAAAAAGATGTGTGCTGCATTGAACATTGCTAAACCTGCTATAGCTCAATGCCTTGAAACGTCTGGGATCACAAGGATATTAACATTAACAATAAAGAAACTTGATTTTAAAGAGTATAATTAGTTGTGGTTTGTAAGGGGGGGGGGGGTAACTGGTATGATTTAAAAAAAACTGGTTTATGGTGGCAGTGTCACTGCATATAGAGCATTTATCGAGAGCAACAGAAGCTGGTATGTTTATTTAATCGCAGACACTAGCAACTTCACATTTATTTTATTGCTCTGTGGGCCTTTCTTTTATGCATGCATTTCATTAATATACACTTTGATATGGGTGCAACAGTGTTTATGTAGGGACACTGAAGGAAGCAATTTAATTGTGAACTTAACTAGTTACTTAGTACAGTACTATTTCATGTATTCGCTCAGAAAAAGCAGAATAACTGTTTGGCACACTCTGCACTGACAATGCAAGAAAAAATAAGTCAGTTCAGTCATGGCAAGTTTTCTTTCATGCACAAGCGTCAGTGCGCTTTGTCAAATCTGCATTGTTGTGTGTGTTGGCACAAGTGGCAACATCCCTACTGCGTTTTATACATCAAGCTCAGCACTGTGGAAGCTGTGCTATTGAAGTTCTGCCAGCAAGATGTTGGAGTGTGTGTTTCTTTCGCTTGACTTTTGTTGTCGTATACACGCGTACAGCAAGCTGAAAATCACTCTATGCATGATGCGTCGCAACTGGCTGCAAGTGAAATGCCAAGAAGTGAAAACAAAGAGATGCTGACTCATCCAGAACAACTTATCGAAAACAGTGTAATGGTGTTTCTTTAGGTCTGAAGTACAAAACGCCTTCATTTATTACTCAGCCTAAAGACCCAAAGAAAGCATGCTATGGGTGGTGCAAATGCTTCTACTGCAAAAAGTCTCGCTAAATTCCACAGTGTTGCACCTGATGTAGGAAACACAGAATAGAGGTAGTGAAGTAGTGAAGGAAAATAATGAAGTGATGAAGCGTAATGAAAGAGACACTTGACAGCCATATTTACACATTAATACATCAACCCACTGTGGTGTCGCACAAGCCAACACAGAATAAACATCATGCAATGGCTACAGACATTTGGTTTCACACTGCTGCAGTCGAGAGGTAGGAGACTAACCTCTTTTATGCACAAGCATATATGTGTCATTCCTCAAATCACTGGTTTAATGTGTGTCAACACCATCCTGGTTAATCGAAAGAGATGTCTTACAAAAGTGCACTAGGAGATAGCACCAATTCGTTTGCACGTCGCCCGTGCTCACTACGTGAAATGTTCCTGTAACTTTTCCCTTCAAACCTTGTCTCAACAGGCAGTCATCAGAGGTTTCCTTCTTCGGCAGCGGCTTCGAAAGGAGTTTCGGCAGGAATTCGACTCAGTCCTCCGAGATGGCGATGGGGAAGATGCCAATACGCCTGTTGCCACCTCAGGTAAGGATCAAAATGTGTGCAGGTATGCGTTTCTTTGGTTGCATTAAAAACCTGATCAGTATATTGAAACAAAACTAAACTTAAAAACAATGATTTTCATCACTCCTAGTTGAAATCCAAAGACAATCTTTTCTTCATTCTTTATCCTTTCTAAGAGCGTCTTCACAAAAGGCTTGAACACACCGCTTGTTTCGCTTGTGCATGTCAGCTTGCTCTGGTTTTGGTAGCAGTCATACCCAATATGGCGGCTTTGTGTTGCCTTGGAGTGTACATAAGCTGACAGTTTGTTTGGAAATGTTTAAAAATCATGACTGTGTAATTCTTAGTTATAGACTGGTGGGACAATCACAAGACTGAGTAGAACTTTTTGCATCTAACTGGGTGATTTCGTTTCCCAGCTCTGGTTCATAAACTGTAGAATAATCGGTATAGGAATAAAGTGAGGTTTGTTTTTATTGTTGCAACATTTTACTTTTTCTTTAGCCCTTGCATACAGCTCATGAGCACCATCAAGTTCTTATACAAAATAATTTTGTTGTTTTCTGTAATTGTTCATTTATGCGAGCAAGTGCAAACTGGTTCCTACGCTTCATTTTTTTTTTTTTGCTCTGCTTCTAAACAAGAACTTCGCAGATTCTGTTTCCAGTGAATTGGGAAGAAATGTGTAACAGAATAGTCCGGTTTGACGTTGTACTTTGTTTTGGCACACTCTCATATCAAAGTGACATTTCCATAACCCGGTACTTCTTACAAATGATAGTGGTCATTTCATGGTGACTGTGATACATATGATAAACATGCCTCAAATTTTCTTTTCGATAACTTTACATGAGAAGTGTGGCAGCTTGGGCTAGTTGGTATGGCATGACGATAGTTATAGCGCGAGAAAATCTTTCGTGTCCTTCTTGTCTCTGTGTCGTCATTTTGTTCTCGCGCTATAACTATCGTCATTACATGAGAAGTTGAATTTCAGTTCAGCAAAAGTTTCTATATATTGAAGCCAATTGCCAATTTCAGTTACTTTATTATTATGAGACTTTAACAGTGCAATGGATGACTATGATGTATTCCTGCTAGAACATTCGAAAGAATATTACAGTTTTTGAATCTACACAAATTTAAAATTTCCAAAATTTCACTCATAGTAGTCAAAATTTCCCAATTGATAAATTATTATAATTTTGTTGTGTCCAACCTACCTCAAAAACGTGGTTCCACTTCAGCATGTGCCGGCTCTGTCGTGAAACGGTGTATTCATGAAACATCGGCACTGCTGCAAGACCACACGTCAAGGTTAAGTGTGCATACTATTACCTATACCCTGATCATTTTTTAAAGCACACAAGCATGTTATATATTGCTACAGTATGAGCCGGGCTGTAGTATGTGCCGGGTAGGTAGAAGAGGAAGACGTTGTTGTCTGGTGCGGCCTGAGGACTCCATCTTTACCGCGACTGCCGAACTTCATTCTCACCCTGTAAATAAATCCACCTATTCTTTAATTCAACCTTAACATTTTTGTGGTGGAGGCGCTGGGTAATCAACCAAGCAACACGACGCTTCAAGCGCCTGATCTACGACGAAGCCGCCGTCTTGCTGGACTGCCCCCGTTACCACTGGCAGCTGAGATGTCTCCCGGCGAAGAAGGAAACTGGATCCCCGCAGCTGCAGACCTTCTACCAGTCCCAGCAGCACCGCTAGTACCAGGTACGCGTGCGGCTGGTCCCTGGTTGCGTCAGGATCTGATAGTGCCTTGCACATTCGGTGGCGAATCTGGCGAGGACGTGGATGCTTGGCTCACACACTACAAACGGGTGAGCAAATACTACCAGTGGGACGCGGCGACCCAGCTGACCAATGTAGCATTTTTCTTAACGGACACAGCACTCGTGTGGTTCGAGAACTACGAAGATGCCCTCACGTCATGGGATCGCTTCGTTTCCGAAATAAGAGCGTGCTTCGGAGACTCCGTAGCTAAGAGAAAGCAGGCGGAACAAAAGTTACTGCAGAGAGCTCAGATCGCAGGAGAGACGTGCACGACCTATGTCGAAGCAATCTTGAACCTCTGCAAGATTGTCAACCCTTCTTTGTCAGAGGAAGACAAAGTTGGCCACCTGTTGAAGGGCATTGCCAAGGACGTGTATCAGTTCTTCATCAGCAAAGACAGCCTTGCTACGGTAACCGACGTCATAAGCCACTGTCGCACATTCGAGACCCTGAAGATGCGACGTATCACCCCCAAGTTCGGTCGCCTACCGAATGTAACCACTGTCGCAAGCGTCGACAAATACACGCCGCTTGATCTCGCGTCGATAATACGCCAGGTCGTTTGAGAAGAGCTCACTCGACACGCTCGCTCGACGCCGTACGAACCTACACCCGCACCGCCTCCCTCTCGCCCTTCCGTGTCTATTGCCGCAGCAGGCAACGATGACTGCAACTACAGGCTACTCTCACCACCGAGGTCACAGCGCAATAACTATCTGCTGCCGAGGTACGAAGACCGCTTCAGTTACTCCCATCAGCCAGCCAACACCTATTACGACCCGAACGAAGATGCACTCGTACCACCACCACGTCAGCGCAATGCCTTCCAGGAGTACAATGAATACCGCCAAGGCCCTGTGTGCTACCGCTGCGGTATCGCCGGGCATATAGCTCGGTTCTGTCGTCGACAGAGATAGCCGACATCCCGATATCGTTCCCCATCAGAGTTTCCGCCAGCGGGCACTGGTCACAACAACGGTCAGTGGCCCGCCTATTCCAGGAGTACCTCACGGCGGAAAAATCACCGTAGCGTTCTCCCGCTTCTGACCGTAGTTTGACGCCTCCATCTGGCCGACTGCATCGTTCCCCTTCGCTGGGACGACGCCTGTCATCACCGCCGCCGCCGGGAAACTAGCCAGCGCGACCGATGGAGGTGAGGTCGCACAACAGGATTTGCCTCAGATGCCTCCGCCAGTTATAATGTCCAAGAACAAGATACGTGTGGAAATAGATGGCTTTTGTACAGGTGCGTTGGTGGACACTGGTGCTGCGATATCAGTTATGAGTCTCTCTTTCAAAAGTCGCATTGGCCGCAAAGGTATGTTTTCTTGGGGCGAATCAACATGGTTTCGTGGTGTTGGTGGGGAAGTACTTCATCCTGTCCGAGTTTGTGCCGTCAATGTCTTATTGGCAGGAAAGGTGTTCCCAACAGAGTTTCTTGTGCTGCGACGTTGTACCCACGATGTGATTCTCGGTCTTGACTTTCTCCAAGGATGTGGCGCTTTCGTCGACTGTAGAAGCGGTGAACTTTCCGTCAGCGGTGACATTGTTCCTGCCCTCGTCGATGAGGCACCGCAGGCCGCGAAAGACGCTCTGATTGTTTCCGAGGAGCTGACAGTGCCGCCATGGTCAATGAGGTCAGTTGCGGTGTTCGCCCCAAAATGTACCGCATCTTTTGATGCCATTCGTTGAACCTGCCATCGTTCATTGTGCTAAGAAAGGCATACTCGTCCCTCGTTGTTTGGTGTCTGTTGATGAAGGAGCAACCTTTCTGTGGGCACTGAACTGTTCGCCAATGCCGGTTGTGCTCCCTCGAGGAATGAAGCTTGGCGTCTTCGATGATTCCACTGAAGGTTCTGTAGCGGTCGTTAACAACGATGAAAGCGAGAAAGGTACAGTCGCTGGCAAGCGCAGTTGCTCTTACAAGTCGCAGATTCTAGGCATGATTAGCGCCACTTTGCGGTCACACGAGCAGCAGACGTTACGCCATCTGTTGAGGCGACATGCTTCTGTGTTTGACTTTTGCCAAGAGGAGAAGCCTCTACCTTTACACCATAGGATTGACACCAGCACTGCCCATCCGATCCGACAAAAGCCTTACCGAGTGTCGTCATCAGAAAGAAAAGTTATTGCCGACTAGGTTCAGGAAATTCTGAAGAAGGGTGTTATTAAAGAGTCTTGTAGCCCGTGGGCACCACCGGTCATCTTGGTTAAGAAGAAAGATGGTGCCTGGCGGTTCTGCGTTGATTACAGAAGACTCAATGCTGTGACCAAAAAAGATGTATATTCGCTGCCTAGGATTGACGATGTTATTGACTGTTTACACTCGGCTTCGTACTTTTGTTCAATAGACCTACAATCAGGATGTTGGCAGATACCTATGCACCCTTCGGACAAGGAGAAGGCCGCATTCGTGACGCCTGATGGACTGTACCAATTCAATGTGATGCCGTTTGGGCTTTGCAACGCCCCCACCACTTTTGAAAGGTTTATGGACTCTGTCCTTCGTGGTCTTAAATGGGAAGTGTGCTTATGCTACCTGGATGACGTCGTAATTTTTGGGCGTACCTTCAAAGAGCACAACGCCCGTTGAAGCCTCGTTTTAGACTGTGTCGGAAAGGCTGGCTTGATTTTGAACTCTAAGAAGTGCCGGTTTGGTGAACGACTAGCTTTAGTCCTCGGTCACCTAGTTGACAAAGATGGCGTCTGGACGGATCCCCGCAAAATCGAAGCAGTCGGCTCATTCAAATCACCCCAGACACTGAAGGAACTTCTCAGCTTCTATTCCTACTTTCGCCGCTTTGTGCCCCAATTCGCGGACGTAGTACACCCACTGATGAGCTTGTTGCAAAAAGACAGCCTATTCGAATAGACACCTGATTGTGATGCCACGTTGTCTGAAATGAAAGTTCTACTAACATCTGAGCCTATTCTTCGCCATTTTGATCCTTCTGCTCTTACAGAAGTGCACAGTGACCGACGCTCCGACTTTCCGTCTTTTGCTGGCATGATTGGAGACGCTCGTTTTAAGAAGAAGACGTTTTAAGACGCGCTAAGCGTACGGCAAGAAACGGAGGCACCCATGGAACGCCCGCCAGAAGAAAGCAGCCGACAACATGCAGCCGATTTCGCCCGATGCCGCCGAAGCGACGCATTCCGCCGACGGCGCGCAGCCGCGGCCGCTTGTGTCCGAAGCGGTGCACTCTCCTGTGCCTTGCAGCAGCACCTCATCGGATTGTGTCGTCGTTGGCATCGTCATCGTGCATTTCCAGCAGCATCCTAGACCGCATTGACACGGCGTTTTATTCGGCGGACGAGTTTGCTGAGTGCGCGAGAAATGCAGCAGGCTTGAAGGCATAACTCCCATCGCAGTGCGCGACGAAGCGTAAGTTCGAGTTACTAGATATTGATCTGGAGGATGGTGGCAAAGAAAACGGGACAGAATATGTTATTGTTGATCTGGCGGCGATACGCTCGTTATTTGGACTTGTTCGCGTGCCCAGAATGCGGTGAAAGAAGCGTCACTATTTCAAAGGCCTAGAAAGAGTACTGGGCTGTGTTCGAAGCTCATAGTCACGTGCAGCGGTTGTGACTTTCGGAGTGAGCGTTTTTCGTCCCCACGTATAGTCGACGAGAGCGACGCCAAAATAAGGCTGTTTGAAGTTAATATGCGTGCCATGAAGGCCATCAACAGTATCGGCAAGGGGGCAACGGCTCTGTCGGACTTCTTTGCCGGGATGAATATTTCGCATCGAGGGCTTCACCACAAGAGTTGCCAAAGCCACATGAATATAATGAAAAAGGCCTGCTGTGCGACTGCTGCCGAATGCGAAGCGGCAAGCGTTGCTCGCGTCAAGGAGCTCTATGCGGAGTTCGGCAACGCGCCCGGAAACGTCGACGTCATTTATGACGGCACCTGGCTTACTCGTGGACATAGCTCGCATATATGTGTTGGCTGCATTGTTGAGATGTATAGTGGCTTCGTGATAGACCATATCGTGCTATCGAACTTTTGCCTGGCTTGCACCACAGGACCCAAGGAAGGAGAAGCAGGACATTCTGCCTGGCTCAATCAGCATGCCCCTCTGTGCCAGAAGAATGTTGATTGTAATGCTGGCCAGATGGAACTGGAGGCAGCACTACGCTTGTTTGAGCGGTCACTTGAAAAGCACAAGCTTCATCATACGACAATGCTGGCGGACGGCGACAGCAGGACATTCCATGCACTCACAGAAAAAGAGGTGTACGGCTTCATAAAGGTGGCCAAAAAGGACTGCATAAATCATGTACACAAGCGTATGGGAGCTGCCTTACGTACCCTTGTAGAGAAATAAAAAGCTCAAAATGGCTCACTTGGTGGAAAGGGCAGACATACGCAACAAAAGACAAAGAAGATCACCTCATACTATGGCTACGCATTGAGAAGCGACAGGAACGATGTTCCAGGTATGCAGAAGGCTGTTCTAGCAACTTTTAACCACATGTCTTCAACTGAGGAGGCACCAAAGCATGACCTTTGCCTTGAAGGCCCTGAATCCTGGTGCAAATTTCAGAGAGCTCTTGCGAAAAATGAGAAGCCGCCACCACACAAGGACAGCCTGCCTGATTTCGTAACTGAGGCATTGGAGCCTGTGTTTAGGCGGCTGAGCGACAATGCCCTCTTGGAAAGTTGCAGCGATGGGATCACCCAGAACCCAAGTGAGAGCCTGCACGCTATGATTTGGCAGCAGGCCCCCAAAACTCGGCATGCATCCTTGCGGAGCATAGAAAGGGCAGTTGCCGAAGCCATCAGCTGCTTTAACCAAAGCACAACCAAGAGCAACGTGGAAATTGCCGAGAAGCTGGGCTACAGCGCTGGCAATAACTTGGTGCGTCGCAGCCCTGAGAAGGACAAGGGCAGGCTGCGAAAATTGCGAAGAGAGCATCTCGACAGCAGTTCAATAAAAGAAAGACTTTCAAAGCGTCACAAGCCAGCAGGGGACTCTGCTTACAGCCCTGGTCTGCTGTAAACAGCCATGATGGCAAATAGTGAGAATTTTAGCAAAAATAAATATTCTTGGTTTTAGACCTAAACATTGTGTAAATCTATTGTCTATCCAAGGACAACATTATTACAGGATTTTTTTTGTGTTCCTTTCACTTGCAAGGCACTGGAACGACCACAAAGTAAAAAAATAATAATACTCATCCTGAGTCAATGACTATTTTATCAATCTAGAACAAGCTGTGAGCAGTATTCTGGGTGCGTACAGTGAAATTCAGCATGGCCATTTATCCTATAATATAGAGCTACAGAATGATGTCATTAATATCGCTGTAGCTTCACTTTAGCAAAAGTTGCTAGAAACTTCAAACGTGTTTTTCTCGGTTAGATGTTTTTGCACATTGCACTCAGCCTTACGGGGTTTTTCCTATGTTAAACTTGAGTGAATGCGACAAAGTTGGTATCATTTGATTCGTCTTGACATGATCTAGGGGGTGATGCTATTTCTATTTCTCTAGCATCACTTCGAAAATTACCATTGAAGATTTTACTGAGAGAAATTTATTGTAGTATAGTGACCATAAGTGTTTGTCCCTTTTCTTGCTTACCTATAAAATGCCTTCAAATGAATAAAAATAGCATCACACTCTACAGCAAGTCTCCAGCATTGGGATTATGCATTCACTTTTTGGATTTAGCAAGAATAAATTGCCAAGAAGTCCCGTAAGAAGTGCGCAATTAATTAATATTCAGACCTTCATATTTTCTAAACCACTTGAAATAATAAGAAACAAATTAGAGATTTGAAATCAGCATGAAAAACTAGCTTAGGTAGGGAAGTTTGGGTAAGATTGAGAAAAAATTAAAAAAAATTTTAGAACCCACGTCTCCCCTTAAGGTACTGTACAGAAACAGTCTCCTGTGGTTTATGTGGTATGTTCCTGTAGGAAATTCAACACAACCGTGTTCTGCATCGAGGCAGGCAGGCACAGATGAGAGGGCATGCAGGTATGCCAACACTGTCCCAGTGGTGACACTGTACGCAATACTAGTAGATCATTGACGTCCCTGAGCAGGCAGGCCCGATAGCGCGTGTCATTAGTATTTGGACACTAATAATACCTTGCATTCCGTGGAGAACCATAGTTGGGATGCGTGTAGCCAGGTATATTTTGCATATTGTTTTATGAAACTTTTTACCCATGAATGAATTACTGGGGAACCTTTCATCTGATCATGAAAATTAAATGTAGAACATTCAAATGAGATACTGTTGTGGGTTTATTTTATTCTCTGTGTTAAGTAGAAACATTTAAAAAGCAGTTCAATGTTTTACAATGGCTGGATCACTCTGAAATCAGTTCCATTCTGATGTCTGAGCAGAAAAAAAGAAAAAGTTTGTCCAGAATTTTTTTCTCCCGCTAAAAAGCTGTTGCGCTTTGCACTCGAGTGTAATATGGACAACAATTGTTGCAGCAGTCAATACACTTAGTCCTTTGCCTAAATTGAGCACTGTTCTTGATTTGGAGCATATTTTGTGCAAGTGTGTACTTGCTTGCATTTTCATACCTGTTTAAGATCGACCAACTTATTGGGCTGAAGCCATGATGCTAGTTGTGTGCAGGGTTTGTCTTTGTACCTAAGGCTTAAAAGGCCGTATTCACTGTTGTTAACACTTTTAGGAAACGACATATTAGTAATGAAATGCCCAGAGCAGCCTAATGTGGCCCAGAAAAAAAAATGTCTCGCTGTGTCCCCAGCCTGCAATTTTTTTCTCACTTGTACTGGTATCACTGCAGCCTCATGACAAGGTACTGTTGTCCTTTTCCATTCGATACAGCCCTGGATGTATTCTATGCTTCCAGAAAGTTTCTGTTTGCATTCCACCCCAAGCTCGACAAGGAGGTATGATCTGCAAGGAACTCAATTACTTAATTTGAAGTTTAACAGTTCTTGTCACAGTGGTCTCTCTGTTACGGTACTCGACTGCCGACTCAAAGGTCGAGAGTTTAAATCCTGGTCACAGCGGCCGCATTTCGGTGGGAGGCGAAACGCTAGAGGCCCATACACCAAGATTTGGAAGCACCCAAAGGAGCACCTAGACAGTGAAAATTTTCGGAGCCCTCCACTATGGCGTCCCTCTCTTACATTCATATCGTGCTCGAACCTTGATATACCGAACCTGGATTTAACAAAATATCGGTTTTAACGAAGTAAATGAGCGAATAGTCCTGCAATATATGTAATGTTAGGAATAACCCTTTATAACATATTGTAGGATATAACGAATGTAATTTTGTTTAACATTGCAATTTTGATAAACTGAGGTTTGAGTGTATTGTTTTTTGATGTAAAACCCCAGCAATTATTACTGTTAATTGTTAGGCTTTTACCTCCAGAGTCTACAATATGATTATGAGAGACTCCAAAGTAGGATGGCTCCGGAAATTTCTACAATATGTGTTTTTTTAGCGAGCTCCTAAATCCAGATACTCGCCTCTATAGCATTTCGCCTCCATCAAAATGCCAGTCGCCGTAGTGGAGATTCGATCCTGCAGTCCTTCATGTCAACAGTCAAGGCCTCTAACCATGAGATCACTGTGGCGGGTACTTTATATTTTGATCTGCATTGTGGGCATGTTTACATAGACTTTTGGACAATATGCTGTTCTTTGTTGGACCGTCTTATACAAGTATTGTTTTGTTCTGCATGAATTATTTTGGTCATCTTTGACTCAGCTGTTTTTTTTTTTTATCCATTCAGATACTTCAGCTAGTTCTTCATAAGGCTGAATGAGCATTTAAAAATTTATGACAAAACCTTGTGCAAGGTTTCATTAGTGTGCCTGAATAGGTTTTCTCGTGTTTTATAAAGATGGCTTCAAGGTTTCTGACACACCGTTAACAGTACTGTTGGGCCCAATAAGTAAAACGGATAACAACACACCTCTTGTGCTGTATTGTGGCACCACATTTTGAAGGAAGTGATCAGTTGACTATACCAGCAGCTTGCCCACTGGTTTAAAATATTTCTAATGAAAATGTTACAAACACTTATAACTGAAGTTTTGTTTTAAAATCAGTTAATACCGTATTTACTCGCTTAATCCTCGCACTTTTTTTTGCCAGAAAACCGATGCAATGTTGGGGGGTGCGAGAATTACGCGGGGAAAACTTTCTGCGAAAACGCAGAGAGCGAAAAAGAAAACGAAGTGGCCGCAAATCGGAATTCTCACAAAAGCACCTTACAGCAAGCTTTAAGAAGTACTAATTAGAACTTACCTCAACAATAAAAGCGGAGGTTCAACACAAGGCAAGATTTATTTGGGACACAAAAAGTGGAAGCAAATAGTCGAGAATTAAAATACCATACGCGAAGCTTGTTGGCGTTGCGGGCGTAGCGGTAGCGGTCGTCGCTCAAAAGGAGCCTTCAAAAAGTAAGCGTAGGACGTCAGTATTGGGCTGATGGCTATTTAACAGAATCGTCCGCAGTTCCCTTCTGAAGAAATAAAGTTTACCATCAATCCCAGTTTTAGGCACACGGCAGGCCCAACACGTCTTGGTGGCTTTCAGCTGTCGTCACCAGTAGCGAACACAAAACTCGTAGGCTCTGAAGGGCCTACCGGCGGCCCTGTTGCCGTTTTTTAGCGCATGATCTATCACTTGCAACTTGAAGCAGCGGTGTGGCTGCAGTATCGCCCCATAACGTGCCAAGATTACCGACACAACACACAAACACACCGCAACGCGCACTGGCTACTTCGTCTTGGCTTAGATCGAATCTCCGTGCAATAGTACGCTTGATGCTTACTTAAGAGATGGCGCCAGATGGTGCGCGCTATCATCATCAATGGTTGAAACGAGCAGACGACTTTATTGCGGCAGTTTTCGGGGGTGCGATAATTACTCGAGGAAAAAAAAAAATCTTTTTTTTGGGGGGGCGATGTGGGGGGTGCGAGAATTATGCAAGTGCGAGGATTACGCGAGTAAATACGGTATATTTTGAGTTTGAACCCAAAATAAAAAACAGCTTTAAATACGAAATTCTCTTACAAGTGTTCGTGTTTTTTTGTTTAGGGTGCAAAACAAAGGTTTATGGTTGCAGGCAGAAAGCTTGAACCTGTATGGGGAATGTAATTGCTTTTGCTGCCCTATGTTATATGCTATCACGAGTGATTAGGATGCAAGATATACGAGAACACCATGTTTTAAATATCATATTAAAATTAAAAATTACACTTCATTGACAGCTGATGGGAATGTCTTGTACATGTTAGTGGAATAGGTATTTTTGCTGTTTTTTATGCTGTGCTGATTTACCATTTCTGGCTGTGATGCAGCGGTTTGAAAGGTTATGCTGGTACATCATTGCCAGCATGGATGCAGAGACATTACAGGTAAGCTACTGGTGCATAGAGAATACAAGTGAATCGTGCATTTATATTTCGTCGAAGCATTTGTGAAATACATCTGCAAGAGCTCTCAGTAATTTGGGGATTGAATGACACCCGTTGCTGCATTTCAACAGCTGTTTTTTGTAGGGCCGGGTGTTTTGTGGCCTTGAAGGTACTTGAACAAAACTCAGGCCCACGCAGTCAGTGGCTGAGGAAATGGAAAGGCTAGGCTACATTCACAGGCATAACCAGAGAAAGTGTGTGTGGAGGTGGGGGTATTATGGAGGTGCGAACTGTTAGAATATTTAGTTCGTATGTGTATACTCTATGCAAGCAGACACGTAAATACAGGCACATAGGGCGGACTATTTCCTGTATTGTGTGCAAGTGTAAATTAAGCGTAGACTTGGGCAAAGCCACACTACTGGATGTTTTATAGCTGTTTGTCCGGACTAGGTATGGTAACCTTATGCTTTAGTTTTCTTCAGATAGATACAAATGTTCGGAGCTCACTTGTATATCTCTGAAGAAGCAAGCATGCACTTTGAGCAATACATTAGAGGTCCCAAAGCAAAACTGCCTAGGGGACCTTGTGTTTAACTGTGCACATAAGATAACTGTGTGCACAAAATGTCTATTTGCACAAGATAACAGTGTAAACAGCAGCAGGAAACATCTAGGAAAAGATTACTAGAGACCGCATGTTTTAGGTCAATTCCTATTTTGTCCTTAGGGCCCATATCACGCCAATTTGGTATACGAGCATGCATTGAAGGTTAACAAGGCTTTTTACAGCATTTTTCTAGGACCTGCAAATGCTTAGTTTTTGGCATTTCTGCCTCTATGCATGTTAATGCCTACAAATGCCCATGTCAAAATTTACACGCATATGAACAATGTTAGCCTCAAGTTTAACTTTGAAGTGCAATCTGAGATCATTAATCATTTGACGGGGCAACATGGAACATTCAAAACTGTATGGCGTTCAGCCTGCTCCTCTTGTTCAACCAACTCGCGCAAAACAAAAGCCGAAGGAAGTATTTTTTTATCGCATCCTCTGCCATGCTCTTGAGCGTTGCCAAGAGAACTTACCCTGCTAATCGGACCCACCAGAGCCCACTGTCACACTGTGAACACGGCTAGACGCTGTGGGGCAGTAGAACTGCAACTTTTTGAACGTTGGTTGGAATTAGTGGCTGTTCAGGGGACGAAAGTGCTACAGTAAGGAATGCTCGGGCAGTCCACTCTGTCAAAAACCTGCAAGGAGACCTCGTCTATGTGTGCATATACACCACCGTTCCTCGCAAACATCAACGGGAAACTTTAACGCTCATTGGAAAGTCCTAATTGTGAATATTTCTTTAATTATATATCTGCAGCAAGGATTCTCAAGTCATGAAGGACCGGTAGCTAAAAATGCACATGTTAAATCATAATAGGTATTGAACAAAAGAGAGAGTTTCTGCATTAAAGAAGTTTGAGTTGTTCTTGAGCATTCTAGGATCGTCGGTTAAGCTGTCAAATGTTCCAGAGTACAACTACACTCCAATAACATTCGTCAGCATCGAGTGTTTGTTCCTCAGCGTAAGACCTTATTCTCAGTTACAGGAGGTAAAATTTTGAAGCTGAATATTTATTTATTTATTTATTTATTTACAAGTACCTTACAGGCCTCGCAGATGCATTGTGTAAGGTGGGTGGATACAAAGTAATAACAAATCGGGTTAACAAGTCAGTAAGAACAATGTAGTACGTCAACAACAGCAAAAATATGTTCTAGTACATAAGTAGTTGTATGTATTCCACATGAATAAATAAGTTTAAAACGTAAAAGAAATGCAATAGCGTGTTGGACAGATCAAAATAAAGAGTAGTGAAACAGACTATGCAGTTTACCATGCTGGTTTGGGTTAATGAACAAAACCTTAAAAAACAGCTTCATTGTGATGATGACTTTAACGCTCATTGGAAAGTCCTAATTGTGAATATTTCTTTAATTATATATCTGCAGCAAGGATTCTCAAGTCATGAAGGACCGGTAGCTAAAAATGCACATGTTAAATCATAATAGGTATTGAACAAAAGAGAGAGTTTCTGCATTAAAGAAGTTTGAGTTGTTCTTGAGCATTCTAGGATCGCCGGTTAAGCTGTCAAATGTTCCAGGGTACAACTACACTCCAATAACATTCGTCAGCATCGAGTGTTTGTTCTTCAGCGTAAGACCTCATTCTCAGTTACAGGAGGTAAAATTTTGAATCTGAATATTTATTTATTTATTTATTTACAAGTACCTTACAGGCCTCGCAGATGCATTGTGTAAAGTGGGTCGATACAAAGTAATAACAAATCGGGTTAACAAGTCAGTAAGAACAATGTAGTACGTCAACAACAGCAAAAATATGTTCTAGTACATAAGTAGTTGTATGTATTCCACATGAATAAATAAGTTTAAAACGTAAAAGAAATGCAATAGCGTGTTGGACAGATCAAAATAAAGAGTAGTGAAACAGACTATGCAGTTTACCATGCTGGTTTGGGTTAATGAACAAAACCTTAAAAAACAGCTTCATTGTGATGATGAAATAAAAAGAAAAAGGGGATACATGAATCCCGGGAGTAAGTGGACCAGCTAAGCATTATCAGTGAAATGGTTGAGAAGATTCTCGCGAAATTTATTGCGATTACGCTGGAGGGCGATGCTGTTTGGAAGATCATTCCTCAGTCGTATGGCACGCGGGAGTGACGAGTAGTTAAAAGCATTAGTGGTGCCGTAGAGGCGGGTGTAGCTGAAGTCATTATGCAACCTGTGCGATAAGTGGGAGGAAAGTTGTAATTGCGCTAGCGGTGATCGAGTGGCGTAGGCATATTTATGAAGGAGAGACAAAAGCGCCATGCCACGACGAATTGCTAATGGATGGAGTAAAAGTTCGAGCTTTAGCTGGGTTGCACTGGACAAGTTGTTATAATTCCGCGTGGTAAAACGACAAGCCCTGTTCTGAATAGCTTCTAACTTCTGTATTAAATATTTTTGGTGAAGTTACCAATGGATAATGCGTACTCTAACTGGGGCCGGACAAATGTTTGGTAGGCCTGCTTACGTACGTGAGAAGTAGTAAATTTTAGGTTGCGACGAAGATACCCCAATGATCTTGAAGCATTAGCAGAAATGGTAGTTATATGGTCGACCCAGAAAAGATTTTGTGTGAGGTGAACACCTAAATACTTATACCCTGTAGTTCGAGGCAATTTGTTGTTACTGATGTTGTAAGTAAAGAGCGAACAAGCTGATTTACGGGTAAATGGGATAATTTTACATTTTAAAATGCTAAGAATCATTAGCCATGTTTTACACCAGCTGTTAATGCGATCCAGGTCACTTTGGAGGGATTGGTGATCGTCCACCCTTTTTCTAGAGCGATAAACAATGCTGTCATCAGCAAATGTACATATACTTGATGATATATTATTTGGCAGGTCATTAATGTAAATTAGGAAGAGTAAAGGACCAAGGACGCTACCTTGCGGTACCCCCTGATGTGACATCGGAAGAAGGAGAGAAATAATTATTAACAATGGTGAACTGCTGGCGCTTTGAAAGTTTCGTACCCATGACAAGGCTAGCTAATCTAATTTAAGCGCAGAAAGTTTTGATATTATTCGGCAATGTGCTACGCGATCAAATGTCTTAGGAAAGTCTAGAAAGGTGCAATCTATTTGTAAGTTAGCGTTTATATGGTGGTAGTTTGCTATTGTTTCCGCAATTCTCACAGTGATTGCTAGACTGCGCTCTGCATAGAGATTCTTGCGCACTGTAAACTGGCACAAGATCATTTGACAGTGTTGGGAAGCCTTGCCTGTACGATTCAGATAATGTCCCTGTGATGCAGGTTTACGGTTTAATAAATTGTTGCTCAGAGAGAAAGCCTCAGAGCTGAGAAATGACGAAGCCGTTTAAAGTAAGAAAAGAAAACTAGACATTTTAAGCATAATTAAGAGAAAAAAAGAGATGAAGTTGCAATTGACAGACACCGACTCTAAGCTGGCAAATAAAAACATGTCCTGTAAGTTGTCCAGCTATAATGTTTATAAAAATCAACAATCACCGGGGGCGTTGATGGTGGCGGTGGGTTGAGGGGGCGGACGCTAGCGATGTCTTAGCAGCTCGAGTCACGCGCTGACCAGCACGGCGACGCTTGGTGGAAAACGAGGTAGCCCCTGCCTTAGCAAGAACTGTGGCCGCTTGCCGATGCTGGCTCGTTTCGAGGAGATGATCACCACGCGGAAGGTTCCACCTTCCACGGGTGGTTCGGGATTGGAGTCCAAGCCCGGACACCTGGGACATGACCTTGAACAGTCACTGCCGGAACGAACACCTGGGACGTGACCTTGAACTGTCACGGCCGGAACTCTGGAAGGCCGCGTACCTTCAAGTACACCGTGGGCAGATGGAGCGTCCTGGCCTTGCCTGACTTCACGCGGTCGGGTCTGGAACCTGACACCGCAGTCGCGCGACACCCAGGATCTGCACTCCAGCCAGCTCGATCTCGTTCTGCCTCCGACTGGTCTTCCTCTTTTTCCCCTCGTGCATTGGCAGCGCAACCTTTCGCGCATACTTCCTCTTCCTTTTGGCGGGCCGCAGTTTCATGCGTGACATTTCGCACCAACGTCGTCATCGTCTTTCCGCCACTCAATCGAGAAGCACCGCTGCTGTCGCCTCCGAGCACGTTGTACATAACACCACGGTGCCACCACACTTCACAGACACCACCACGTCACTATACTACACCACAGTCCCCATGTATAAAGAAATTGCCAGATTTGCACCTAACAGTCCTCATGTAAGGATGCCTTGATTTCTTGGTAAATGGTTGTCTTTTTGGCAGTTATGATATGTTTGTTTCTGTTTCAATTTAATCGGGTCACTGAAACGTTCTCAGCTTTCAATCATTCTTTCTTGCGTATTTCACAGTTTGTGACGCTCAAGTAAGCGACAGTGGCTATAGAACATGACTGTGAGCACTGTGTTTGTTTAAAATTCTCTTGACCATCTTTATCTTTAGTAGAGCAGTGTTATAAGGAAATTGCTAAGAAGCATTCAACTGTTGCTGCCTTTGTGCCATCGTCAGCAGCGACATTTCTCTGTTTTCCTGTGTTGAATACAGGTCGAGCACGTCTTCGCTTGAAATTATTTTTATTTATATGAAAAATTTTTTCTGCCTCTATTTATGGCATTCGACGTCTAGAACGTTATTTTGCCTGCCTATTTCTGGGGCTGAAAACACTTTTTCAATGCCTAGAAATCTGGTTATTAGGGATTACACACAGAACAATGTTAAGTACCATGAATTATCCCAAGATAAAACAACAAAGTAATTAACTTCACTCTTAAGAAAACTTCACTCTTAAGAAGGTAATGAATATCATTTAATTAATAAGTTTTTAACAATATGATTTATAATAATTTGATGTGAAAAGCACGTGTGTGGATGTTTGTACAATGTCAAAATTACAAGAGAAGGACTATAATGCATGCTTACACAAAGAAGCTAGAGAAATGTAAGTAGTTTGCTGTTTCTGGTACTCTGTTGATTTGCTATTTTTCACTTTGACACAGTTGAAACATTACAACGTGATGCTGGCTGTTGGGTAGAATTCACACTTCATTGGCGAAGGAACGGAATGCTTACTGCATCCTCATCACTCTTCTCACTTCCGTTCCTCTTGTCTCCCCTTTTTTTCGTCTTCAAAGGAGAGCTACGTGTCGGTAGCCTTGAACAAGGATTACACAGTGCTGTGGATCCAGCAACTTAAGGGCATCCTAGGCAACTGCTGTGGCTACCTCAAGGAGGTTCGGGTAAGCATGGCCTTCCATGATATCTACAGACCACATTGAAAGTTAATGGGAACCCCGCCGCGGTGGTCTTGTGGCTAAGGTGCTCGGCTGCTGACCCGCAGGTCACGAGATCGAATACCAGCTGCAGCGGCTGCATTTCCGATGGAGGCGGAAAGGTTGTAGGCCCATGTGCTCAGATTTGGGTGCACGTTAAAGAACACCAGGTGGTCGAAATTTTTGGAGCCCTTTACTACGGCGTCTTTCATAATCATATGGTGGTTTTGGGACGTTAAGCCCCACAAATCAAAGTTAATGGGCCACAGGTTGCATTAAAAATAGTTAACTATTGATGTTTCTGCCTATAGCTGGTAAAAATGTGCATAAGTTTAATTGATAAAGATAAGCAGGGTGATCGATTCTTTGCTAATTAAAATAACAGTGTCAAAGAAGCAAATGAATTGAAAATACATGGCAATTTAATTACAGTGTAATTTATTTAGTGTGTACAAATGATTGTTTAGAGGAGTAGAGATTTAATTTTCAACTAGTAGGACCTTAATTTGGAATTAGAATTGTAATTTTATTGCTCACAATTTTTTCATCAAGTTTGCACACACTGTGTAGACCCTTAGCCATTGGCTAGTTTGGGTCCAAAAAGATACGTTTTATAAGGGCACTTTGAAAAAGCATAACTAAAGAAGTTATATAATATCAATAAAGAATCTGAAAAGAAGCAGAACAGTACATGAAATAACCACGCAAAGAGCAAAGAAAAAGAAAGAAAAATAATATCAACCTTTACTTTCATACTAAAATTAGGACAGCCATCACACTAAACATGACATTCCTTTAAATAGTGTTTTTCTGTTGTCTTAGTAAAATTTGAACACACTTTTATTTCAAAAGGTATAGCATTCCTGATCTTAATACCAGCAAACTTCAAAATCCATTCTCCGTATAGGTCATTAGTTCGTGGAATATATTCCATTTACCAAAGGTTAGTTGTCTGGTAGAACAGAAAAGGGCGGAGAACATTGACACATTTAAAGGGTGGCTGTAATTAATAACTGTGTGTACCTATTTGGCTAGTTTTAACTTCCGTAGCATATCGAAAGGCAAAATGATTAATCGGGAAAATAGAGGTTTACTGAGGTCATTATACTCGGAGTGAATAATAATTTTTACAGCCCATTTTTGAAGTCGTCTAACTGGGTCCAGGTAAGTTGTATACGGGCCGCCCCAAGAGTCAATGCAATGTGAGATATGACAATGAATGAAAGCATAATAAAGTATTCATAGAGTAGTGCTATTAAAATGTTGATGAGCCTGAGTAAGTGCATGACACCCTGAGGCTAATTTGGAACACACCTCTAAATCTGCATCTGCCAATGTAAGTTATTATCTATAGTGACACCAAGATATCTAATTGTGTTTACTTGCTCGATCACAGAATTGTCAATTTTAATGTGTATATCACTAACACTAATATATTTTAATCTAGATTGAAATGTTATTCGTATTTATAGATAGTTTACTATTTGATAACCAGTGAGTAACCTTATCTAATTCGATGTTAGACTTCAACTCAAGATCACTTAGATTTTGACCTGTTACTATGACACAAGTATCGTAAGTGTACATCAGTGTGTTAAAAGACTGTAATACTGTAATATTCGCGGAAGGTCATTTATATACAAGGAGAACAGCAATGGTCCCAGTACTGAACCCTGGGGAACACCAGTATTCAAGGCACTCATAGAGGACAAGAAATCATTAATTAATACAGCCTGTTGATGACGTTTCAGGTAGTTTGAAAAAAGTTCTAAAATGGTTTTACGGAAACAATAATGTGGTAATTTATTTAGCAGTATTCTGTGGTCTACGGTGTCAAATGCTTTTTTTAGGTCTAGAAAGATAACTGCTACTAACTTATTTTCATTCATTGCTGTGTTTATAAATCGCGTAAGGGTCAAAACAGCGGTGGACGTAGAATAGTTTGGTCTGAATTCGCGTTGCTGATAAGAGAGCATGTTATATTTCGCAATAAGTTTGTAGAAATAACTGGCAAGAATTTTTTCGAAAATATCAATAATTATGCTCAAAACAGAGATTGGCCTATAGTTGGATAGTTGAGAATAACGCCACTTTTATATATTGGAATAATCTTTGCAGTTTTTAAACAAGAAGGATAAAGGCTGCTTTCACAGAATGGTTAAAAAGGTGACACAAAACCAGTTCGAGGACGTCTAAATTTTCTTTAAAAAACCTTACAGTTATCCCATCTAGGTCTGCCGATTTATTAATTTGCATTCCTGATGCAATAGATCTGATTTCCTCAGGGTCGATGTCATACATGACATAAGAGTTCGGATTGGAATCTGAAAGAGCATGATCGAGCCTGGGTTCCTTGAATTTTTTAGCTAGCGTTGAACCAATGGAGGTGAAGTAAGTGTTAAACGATTCAACTGTATTGGAGTCGATGACATCTGTCGATGACACCTTAGAAGGCGGAGGGTGGCAGACGTCATTTACAATTTGCCAAAGTTTTTCCAAATTACCATTCACCTGCTCTATTTGTCGGGCATAATAATTCTTTTTACTCATTCTCATCAAAGCCACAGATCTATTATGCATTATTTTAAATTGGTGCAAAAAGAATTCATTGTGCTTATGTCGTTTCAATTAGTCGTGCCAGTAATCCTTGCTCGTTATGATCTCCAATATTTCTTTATTCAGCCAGGGATATAACGTTGTTTCCCGTGAATGAACCGAAACTTTTGGGCTGCTTATTTTGATAGCGTTTTTGAGAAGAGAAATAAAGTTAGAAAATTCAATACTAACATCATCATTGTACATTTGATGAAAACTACATCCAGGAAGAATATTTGTTAAAGCTACGTAGTCTATTTTCGTTACAAACTTCGGCTCATCACGTTTTTCATTCTCAACGAGATCAACAGAGACAAATATGGGTAAATGATCTGTAATAGGTTTGTCATACATTCCAGCACTAATATTTTTCTTGGAAATCGTCAGCACGTGGTCAATCATTGTAGCAGACCTTGCTCTTATTCGAGTTGGTGTGGTGATGACATTGCGAAAGCGATATGATTTTAGTAAGTACATGTAGTCATCGTACACTGAACTACGGGTATCAATGTTCATGTCACCAACAATAACAGTAGATTGTTTGACGTTGTTTATTAGGACTCTGAATCATTTCAAGAGTTTCAAGAAAGGATTCCACCCTGATTCCACCCTGACGAAAAGTGACTCGATGGCACGTGTACTGCACGATAGTGAAGGAAGAATTGTTTATGAATGCTCATTTTCAACAAAAAGAGCAACACGACCCCCTCGAGAACGAGAGTCACATGGCTGAGAGCATTGTGTAATCGGGAATAACAATGTTTTAATTTCTTTCTAGCTAAGTTTCAGTGACAGCGATTATGTCAAAGCATTGTGGTTACTGGAAATTATATGCGAGGAGCTGATTAAAGTTTTTTCATATGCTGCGAATGTTGCTATGAAATGTCGATATGCCTCTGCTAGTGTAGTTGTCTTGCTGATTTAGGTGAGACATTTTTTTTGAACTGAGTATGTGCGCTGGGTGTAGGCACACGCGTATGCTTAAGCTACAGCGCCAAGGTCGTCCTCGCATGTGACATGAAACACGCGGAAATTTTCACTTTTACGCATCAGGATTTTGCCATCAGCCACCCACACAAACTTCCAGTTTTTTTTTCTCATTTTAGCTGTATTGCCTTTCCAAGAAGAACCTTGTTGTCGGAACATGGGTGTTCGTTTACGAACACTGGCTCGTTTCCCTCAAAGCCAAGGGTCGACCTGTTCAGTCAGTGTTTTTTGGCGGTCCCTAAGGCTTTGTCTCAGGTCGATCTAGACAAAGACTTCACCACCACGTTTGGAGGGCCGCTAACACGCGTTGGTACATGATGAACAGCATCAAGTTCGGTGTTATCAAGCTTCAGTATCACCCCATAACGTCACAAGATTACCAACACAACATACAAAAAACGCCGCAACACGCATTTGCCACTTTGGCTTGGCTTGGATTAGATTGGATTTCTGTGCAATAATAGTGCTCTTGATGCTTAAGAGATGGCACCAGATGGCACACACTATCATCATCAGTGGCTGGAACGAGCAGACAACATTATTGCGGCAGTATTTTGGGGGGTGCGATAATTACACGAGGAAAGAAAATTGTATTTTTGTTGGGCGATGGGGGGAGGGGTTGTGCGAGAATTATGCGAGTGCGAGGATTACGCGAGTACACACAGTATGTGCCCCATTGACTTTGTGATACCTATCAATACGGCCTTCACAGCACTGACGAATGTGCCCTCATCCTTAATCGTTGCAGTAAGGTCAGACATAGCGTTAACAAACTGCGCAGTCATTTCCAACAATACCGTTGTGACTTCTTAATGCTGCCAGGAGGTTTGTTCACTAAAGACTCCGCAAAGTCAGACAAAGAATCTGTTGCATTTGACACGATTGCACAAGAAAGAAAGTGGGCAAATACATTTTTTAGAGCAATCCTGCAGCTATGAAATTTGTGAAATCGCTAATTAAGGTAGATGCGTATTTGCCTTCCTGAAATGACGCAAATTGGCGGTTTGGCAGACGTGAAGCACGGCTGCTAGGACTGCTCTGAAGTGTACTAGCCAGCTGCGTGGTTTCTTAAATAGGCAACAAAAATGCCGCCCCTCGATCAATTTAGAAATGGTAACATATGCTTGCTTGTTTGTTGAGTGCATTGACTGCCAGGATGCACAGGCGCCCGATGATGGCTTTCTGGCTGATGCCAACCCTCGAAGTATTCTTCACTTCACCAAGTAGTATCCAGGCAGAAATGGGCGCTCCTTTAACAGGGGCTTGTCCAAAGTGCCCTGAAATGGACCGCTTGCAATTGCCGATTCCCAATATTACAATTGTAATTGGCAATTACAATTGCCAGGGCAATTGCCAATTGCAATTGCCAATTCACATGATTAGGAACTGGTAGACTTGTGCAAATAGTAAATTTTAGGCTCAGAGTGAATTTGGCGGAAATAGTGATTTGGTTAAATAATTTTGAATTTAATAGTATATATCACATATTATGAAACAAAGTGAACATATTTGTCATGAACCAACTAACCTGCACAATATATATATTTTTAATTAAAAGAAGGTACATGCAAGTTTTATTCTTTTTTATTCAAATGTTTACTGTACCTGGAGCACATGAGTCAATATAACAAGCTTTTAAACTTAAAAAAAAATGAATTGTTGTGAGGGTTTTGTATTCATTTAGTTTTTAAGGTGGGGCTTCGTGGCAGTGTGGATTTCTTCTCAATAGGTGTATTCATATTCAAGGTACAGCACCATTTCACTGCAGTGAAACTATCTTTGCATGGAGTTACATACAGTTTACATGTGTTTATTTGTTCATTTCAAATACTTAAAATTTTGAATAATTGAAATTCGTGTTGAAGCACTAGAAAATTCGCTCATACCTAGTAATAGGCTTTAGTACTATTCAGCATCTTAAAGATGTCATTCCTTAAACTTTTTTTTGATTGCAACTTCATCTTTTAGATGTATGGCTGGGCAATAGTGGGATATTATAGAATGTCATTAGGCAATGCATGCTTTGAAAGTACATATGGAATAAATATTGACTGTTGTTTTTTTTCTTTCAGAAGTAATTTTTTCTCGCAACATGGGCTTTTTTTTTTTTTTCGAGTAGGTAGCCTGCGCATGAACGCCAGCATCGACTAGGCATGCGCCATTAGTTTTGTTGGTTGAAACAAAATGACAGGTGCGGACCAAGTAGCACCTAGTGTCAAACTCGCAATTGTTTCGCCCAAACAAAGGCGTAAATGCAGGCCTCCGAGATGGCCTACCAAACAGTTTTTTGAAGGCCAAGAGCCACCAGTTTTTATTTTGGCGACCTCCACTGGAGGTTCTGGTCGAACCTGGAAGAGGCCTCTTTCAGAATCCGAGGTGGCCAAAATAGTTGAGGTTACTCGCCTGCATTCTTTTGTTGCTTTGAGTTAAATATTACTAGTAACACTTGTGAGATCTCTGGATTCTGCATTTCATGACGACGGCCAATTCGGAGCTGCGCAGAGGCTACGTTATATACTAGTTTACGAGAACTATTGGCAATTCAAACTTCTCAAGTAAAAATTAGGGGCCCTCTTCAGTTTGAATTATCAAGAGCCTGTACTTGTATATTTTCTGACGATAAATTGTCAAGTCTTCTGTAAGAATAGGAAATCTGCGTATTAAGGCAAAAGCCTTAGACGCCTCAACAAACGTAAAATTTGACCGCCAATGTCCCACGTAGTTGGGGACAAGTGATGCAGAAAATCGTCATCACAAGAATATGCTAACACACGACGTCACGATTACGTCACAGGTCGCCACAGTTATGCCACCTGATATAATGTCACATAATGGAAGCCATCGCATCGGGAATCTCGCTGGCAGATCTGGAGTGGCCGCCGAAATCTTGGAGCGAGCACTCGGGTTGTGCCTAGCCAGGCCTGCGAGTGGAGCACGTGAATGCCCCGCGTGAGGTCGCTCTGCGAGTCATTAACAGATACGACATGAAACCGGTACCGAAACTTCTTCGAATAGCCGATAATTTCTGCCATATACACAGCAGGCCAGGAAACATTTCTTTTTACGGCTTTTCGTATGACACTTACATCTTGTCTCGCTGCTGCTACTGCTAGCAGAACTAGTGCTCTCGCTGTAGCTCAAAGGGAGAAGCAAACCAGCTGCAGCACGTTCAGCAGAGTCAAACGACATCATTTTAGGAATATAAACAAGTGCACAGAGAAACTAGACACCGCCTTAAAAAAAAAGGCTGAAAACAACCTAGCCGCCTGACTGTACCGGAAATGATGGCAACCCATTCTCAGAGTTCCGGCAAAATCCGTCTCTGCAAGACGCAGCACATGAAACGCTCCGTCGGGGAGTGGGTTGCTCAGAATCTGTATGCGGAAAATGCGAATTTGCTCCGAATACACCAGTGGAATAGATTTTCGGCCACGGAGCAAGAAAGTTTGCTCTCGCTCGACGAGTGGCATTCGCCATTAGTCGGCAGTAACTCTGATCGCTGTGGCAGTGCAGAAAACGTTCAGATGGGGGCTATAGAGCATGATTACAACAGCTGAGAATAGAAAGCTGATGGCTTTCGTTTTTGAGTCCTCTTAATTAAGTAAATCCATCAAGGGGCCCTGCGAGTTTTTGATGTTGCTTCACTGGTATCTACGAATTGCGTTTGGTGACATATTGAGCGGGTGAATGCTGGGCAGGAGCTGCAATACTGAAACTGCTTGGCTTCTGTTTTCCTTTTAGATTACTCGGTTTCTTTAAACGTACATGCAAGCACAAACATTTTAAAGAAGGCCTCGAACCATGCACCTGAAATTAAGCCTTCTGTCAAGTGATGCAGAGAAAAATGTGGTAGTACAGCGTAATAAAAGCAGTGGTATATTTGTACAGTCTATAACACTGTAGCACTACTTCTGAGCTGATTGAAGGTGAACTACATGAAAAGAAAAAGAGAAAAGTGAGGACCTGATGTGGTTGACATATGCAAATGTGATTCACAATAGACATTACCGACCTGAAGGTGTTCCCCACAACATGGAGTGCATGTGAGAAGATGAATTCGTGTATATATTTTTCATTATTCCTTTAACATGACGGCAACGTTGCATTGCAGCCGGAGTGCCCCCAAGATGCCAAGTCTTTGATGTTGCATCTGCATGTGCTCGTCACCTTCACAAGCACATCATCCTGGAAAGTGCTCAAGGACAAGACATGTGAGTGGCGTGGGTGTTCCTTTAAAGAGAGCTTTTTTCAAGCATGTTTTACAGTAATAGCTATTACAGGCCGACCAACTTGGCTGTTTTGATGAATGCCAGTGCCCGTTGATGGAATTTTAGTGTTTATTGGCAAAATTATCAAGAAACATTATTGTGACACGAGAATTTGAAGTTATTACGAAAACATTAGCAATCTAGGGTTCTCTGAGTTATGTAGCAGTGTTTATGATATTGCTACAGGCGAGATTGGTTAGCCTTGGCCGCTCTGTCGATGCTACAGTAATAGAGCACACTGATCATGGAGGAAACGATTGTGCCAAGAGCTTGACGCGATTGGCTAATGCATGCTTGGCACTTTGTTGTGTACTAGGTAGAGCATGGGTCTTTGCCTTCATGTCGTAGCGCATTGCTTTTGCCAATATTTTGTTCAATATTGACACCTTTTGGGTATGCATAAATGAGAATGATTCAGCTCATCAGTTTTATCTTCCTTAGCCGTCTTCTTCTAGCATTCTGCCTCTTTTCTTATCTACTGGATGCCTCTGATATCGAACTTTCTTCCTAGATTGTATCATGCGTGTCAAAGAGCAGCCAAAATGTGTTTGAGAAAAAGTCAATCAAGCCCGGTCCTGCCTTAGTGGTGCTGCAGTATGTAAAAATAAAGATAGGTTAATAGAGTCTTGCTTTATCAGATGTTTAACAGGCTCAATACAGATGGGCAAGTGCAGAAGGAAAATCAGAATCCCTTACTGTTCGAGGAAGTGGTAGCCTGTATAGCTGCCTTCATACGTGCCCTTGGCTCCAGCCGAAGCTTGCTTGTAGAGTGTGTGTATTGATAGTGCCAAGGCAGCATAATGGAGCATTCCCACGTCAGCTTTCTCACACCAAGGGCTCAAGACTGCAGCTCACAGGTTCGAACTTGTTCAACTCGCTCTGACCCAAATGCATAGGCATGCACAGGGTTGTACATTTGTTTCACACAGTAATAAAAAAAAGTATAGTAAATGTGAAGAAGCATTGACAATAGCAACGTGAATACATAGAGCAAAAGTAAAACCGTCCCAAAGTGGATAATGCATTGAAAGACCTTAAGTCCAAGGAGGAGCTTCACTGTCGGCTCTTGCACACACCACAGAAATCAGCGAACAAGCGTCTACAGCATAATTGCAGAGATACAGCTCTTCACTGGTAATCTTTCCTCATATGAATGTGGCAACCCAAAAAGAATTCTTGGCCATGTCAATGCAATATTGTGACAAATGTTAGGCAAACACTCGAATAGTAGAAGAGAAGATAGGCGGGCACCAACTGGCTGTGTACCCCGTCTGTGCTTTTTTCAGAGAAGGAGCTAACCTTCTTCCTAAAAATTATTTGCTCATGTGACACTGTAATAAATTGCAGTTAGAATGTGTTTTATTGAAAAGAATTCATTGTTGGTGGCCAGCACTCATTTGTCATCTCTCTGTCCACTAATTCGTGTTTGGTTCATCATTTGTCACTATAGTACTGGGTAACAGGATTCTCCTGTACTTTTCAGCTGCATGTTGATGATACAGCAGGGCAGTGTACTTATGCAGCTGCGGCCTCTTTACGATGTCTCACAGACGAGCCCCTGAGGCCTGTATTAAGCCAGCTGTGTGCCAGTGTGGGCTCCCACCTGATGGGCAAGGGCAGCCTGTACGGAGCCCTGCAGGCTCTGCTGCTCAGAGGCCTGGCCAGAGCCAAGCCCAGCCTCAAGAGGGCGCCATTGGTGGCCACCATCAATCTGACACTCAGGTAGGGGCACCTCGAAGAAAGTGAAGGTGTGACCTTGGATCTGGGATCATGCCTTGTTCTGTGTATTAGCAGTCTAAGTAGGCGTAAAGGCATTGGCACACTGTGTGAAGCTTTTGACTTGTGTGCAAAAACCGTTTGTAAGTTACTGTGTAGAGTATAACAATCTCGTGCAGTCCCACTGATTATCCTGCATACGGTAGACTCTCAGTAAGCGGATAAATCTGCCTCTGATATGATTGACTTTGTACTTGCATTCTGCACCCTTGTTCATCTTTCAGTAGACCGAATCCCTGTTAAATGGAACACATTTTGCTGGTCCCTTTAGGTTCTGTTTAATGGCAGTCTACTATGCTCTCCTAATGGCTGCAGGTTTCTTCTCGAAATATGGGGTTAAAGTTGCGGTTGTGGCGGTTACACGGAAAAAAAAAGCACTTTTGTTCTTTTTTTGTAAATTTCTTCAGCACTGGTAGCCTCGATTGAGCTGCAGTACTCTCTTGTACTGGGACAAATGAAAAACAACTGCTGTGGCAAGATTGTTATTCCTAGGCGCCTTCCTCCTCTACACTATTTAATGCAACTTGCAGTTGGTGGTGCATGAGTAGGTAGTTTTATTTCGTATTTTGCGGGCTTTCCTCAAACGCTGGACATCATCAGTATGCAGCATGTGCGTTGCCACTGCAAGTTGGATTAGTAATTTTGGAATGCACTTGGCCCTAAAGTGTATAATAAGTGTTTGCCTAACTGTTTTTTGTCAATAAACTGAGCATAATATAAAAATACCTTAAGTGGCATGTGAGGATAAACCATATATCAGTAATTTCGTTCAGCAGTGGTTATCCACGTTTTAAAAGATACTTTGTCCTAGTTACACGAAGCACCTTGTATATTAAACACTAAGCACACATGAAATCAATACTTGTGGGTGTAGGTGAACGATAACGGTACACTTCAGCAACTGTGCAATTGAGGACAGTGTGGTGAAGCATTTTCTTCAGGCTTCTGCAAATATTCGAACGAATATTGTAGTATTCGAATTCGCTTTAATCTGAATTTAATTTATAGGAAGTTTTGAAGTATTTAGAACAAACTATTTAAATATATACTTTCCACATAAAACCCTCTGTAAAGGTCATTTCACTATGGTAGAGAGTTGGTAAACACCTATGCAGGGGAAATCGGCATTGCCTAGAAGTATTACTTCAAAAATAAATGAACATGTCACCCCATCATTGATTCGTCATTTCTGAGGTTCATATTCTTGCTATACCAGCTTATACTATGCTACAGTATACCGTATTTACTCGCATAATCCTCGCACTTTTTTTGCCAAAAAAGCGATGCTAAGTGTGGGGGTGCGAGAATTACGCGGGGAGAACTTTTCACGAGAACGTACCGAGCGAGAAAAAAAAAAAAAAAAGTGGCCGCAAATCAGGATTCTCACACCAGCAACTAACAGCAAGCTTTGAGAAGTACTAATTAAGAGTTACCTCAACAATAAAAGGAGAGGTTCAACACAAGGCAAGATTTATATGAGACGCAAAAAGTGCAAACAAATAGTCGAGAATTAGAATACCATACGCAAAGCTTGTGGGCGTTGCGGGCGTAATGATAGCGTTCGTCGCTCACCAGGAGCCCTCAAAAGGTAAGCGTAGGACGTCAGTATTGGGCTTATGGCTATTTAACAGAATCGTCCGCAGTTTCCTTCTGACGAAATAAAGTTTACCATCAATCCCAGTTTTAGGCCCACGGCAGGCCCAACGCGTCTTGGTGGCTTTCAGCTGCCGTCACCAGTAGCGATCACAAAACTCGTAGACTCCGAAGGGCCTACCGGCGGCCCTGTTGTCGTCGTTTAGTGCCATTGTCATCTATCACTTGCAACTTGAAGGAGCCGTGTAGCTTCAGTATCACACCACAACGTGCCAAGATTACTGACACAGCATACAAAACACGCCGCAACGCGCACTGGCCACTTCGGCTTGGCTTGGATTGGATTGAATTTGCGTGCAATAGTATGCTTGATGCTTAAGAGATGGCGCCAAATGGCGTGCGCTATCATCACAGGTGGCTGGAACGAGCAGACGACATTATTGCGGCAGTTTTCTGGGGTGCGATAATTACTCGAGGAAAAAAGAAATCGTATTTTTCTTGGGCGATGTGGGGGGTGCGAGAATTATGCGAGTGCGAGGATTACGCGAGTAAATACGGTAGTTTAGGTATATAAGCTTATACTATGCTACAGTATAGTATAAAGTATAGTACATTTTAAAACTTAACATATTTTACAGGTTATAACTTGCATTCTACTGAAAGTCTAATTCTGCTACTATTCAAAGTAACATCCGCTTCCTTTGAACCAAAAAGAATTGCATTAGTACAGCCCTAGCTTCAAATTAAAAAAAAAAAAGGTATTGTGTATGTTTGTTGGTCATGACAAATATGCTCATTATTCTTTATAATGTGGGATATATACTACAGTCCAGCCCACATATAACGGCCGCACTTAAAACGAACTTTCGTTTAAAACGAACAATATCCATGGGACCGTCAAAATATACATTGTTTCAATGGCACAAAATCGCACTTACAACGAACGTCTCGGAGCGTCGCTGATCGGTTACAGTGAACGGAGTCAGCGGTCTGCCGACTTCCCGGGGAACCAATTTCGACCACCGATCAGGCATCGGCGAAATGCCCATACATTCTTATTGTTAAATGCCGATTCTGCCTCCGCGCCTTTCTAGTTGCTGCTCTCCTCGACCGCTTTTTGTTATGCACCCCTCCGTCCTATGTCCCTCCGCTACTCTGAGCACCCTGCATCGCCAGACGAGGCCCGTGTTTTCACACTGCCACCGATCTTTCGAAGGCTTGTTGGCCGCGTACCCCGTTTTTGATCGCTGGTACTGTCGTTGGCGTCACCGGCCTGGAATGACCAGACCATTTGCCAACATCGTCGGCCACCGACTGTATCCGATAGTCTGCGTCTATTGCACGCACGTACGCTACCCCACCGACTATGACAATTTGCGATTCGTTTCGTGTTTAGGACTTGTTCTTGCTCACTTCGCACTCGGCTCAGCATGCTTTCTCCGCGCGTGCGGAAGCGCGGAAACGGCTGTTAATTTGCGCGGAACGAATCGCGAAATATCCACGTTCATGAGGCCACGGAAACCCGCCGACGCAACAAGACGATTTTTTTTATCAAGGCTGCCGATTCTTCGAATGCCGCCGCGCGCACCGAACGAGGTGGCCATGCTTTGATTTCTGCGCGCGCTGGCACTCTTTCTAAGTTTTTCTACGTGCGAGTTTCGCGAACCTTTCAAGCAAGCTACCCACCTTCCCGTGTGTTTTGGTTTTCAAGGTCGCCCTCTTGCCGCATCCTCCCCTCTCTTTATCGCACGGAGAAAGGAATCTTTCATTCCCCCGTGCTTTATCGCAACTCCTTGCCCTTCTCTCGCAAGTTTGCTCTCCTGTCTTGATCACAACCCCTTCGCCTGTCTCCACCGCTCTGCGACGCCCGCCACGCTGGCTCGAATTAGCTTCGTTTTCCGACTGGAAACGTGCCCAGAGCTGCTCCACGCGTGTGAGTGTCTTGCTCGCTCTTAGTGTATGTGTGTGGTCATGATGGCCGACGGGAGGACTAGCACGCTTTTTCGTGCCGCTTAACAAAACGTCGAAAGTGTGACCGCTTCGCTTGAGCGTAATCCGTGTGTTAGGTGCCGCGTTGCGGAGCGCTTGCTCATAGCTGTTGACCACCTGGCAGCCAACTTGCCGATTCAGGCGCCCCGGTATTCAGCTGTGGAGATGTTGAATATTTCGTGGGCGGCGGTGATGGCTACATGTGCGCGAAACTATTTTCACGAGGCCGACTTCGTCCATTGTCGGGCCCGATGCCGAGCCTGAAGCTTCCGAACAGGACCGCTGCGGCGGTGATTTGTGGCAGCACGTCGTCGACTCTGACCTGGGAGAGCGCGTGGGACATGTGTTGCGATGATTTTATTACGGCCGATGATGATGCCGACACTGCGGAACCGTGCACGGATTGGGGCATTGTGAATGAAGTACGTGGCGAGAGCGATTTGGAGGAATCGGATTGCGAGAACGACGAAGCTTTGGAGCCAGCGCCTCATGCAGCTTATGCCATGGGCCTCGGCGAACGAGCATCCTGCCATTTTAATTGAACTTGAGACCGCCCTTATCGTTTCTGTTCTTCGAAACACGTGCATCACAGACTTTTTTGGGCAAAAAAAGTTTGTGTTTTTACTCGCAACTTTTTTAAAAGCTGTGTTTCATTTACAACGAACTTCGAGATACAGCGAACCGATGCCGCGTCACGCTCAGGTTTGTTATAAGCGGGCTCGACTGTACTTGAATTCGATTTGAATTTATTCAAACCAAATCACTGTGTGCTTTAAACCTGAAATTCGCACAAGCCTAGTTTTTTTAATACAGTAAACCCTCATTATAACAAAATCAGTGGGATGGCCAAAAATTTGATATTCGCTCCTGTCCCATAAAAGCTCAGCAAGTGCAGCTAAATTAGCCATGGCAATTTCCCAGAACTGGTATTCAGTGAAGCAACAAACTACTTTTATTCACGCACGAAAAAGTGAGTCAGCTGGCTTTGTCAGGTGCTGCGGCTGGGCACCACGAATGCCGGCTCCAGTTTGTAACTTGATGCTGTGTCTCTTGTTGGCATCATACGCAACGAGCATCCGTCGTAAAACACTTTCCTGCTATTACTTTCGTGTTGTCTCAATAACGCCTTGGTCTATGGGCTGCAATATCGTGGTCGTATCTGCTGGTAGAAGTTCCAAAGGGATGGCTTGCAGATTTTCAGTTGTGCCATGGCTGGGGCAATCAACGATAACAGAAAACACATGCCTTTGCTTTGCCATGAACTTTCAATCTAGCAGGCACAGATACTTTTCAAAAAAGGCTGCGGTCTTCCAAGCTCATATGTTGCAGTTTTTGGGTATCGTGTTGCGAAAGCACCTGGGCTTTGCCCAATTCTCTAGTATCAGCAAAGTAGGCTTGTCCTCCCCCGCTGCGCTAGCATTGAACTGCACTGTAACCTGTACTTTTGCTTTGTTTACATTCTGTTGAGGTTCTGCTCGGCGTAGTGTACATGCACATCGGCAATAGTTTTTAAAAGAATGCCACCTCATTCAAGTTGTAAATGTCTCGCATCTTCATACTGCAGAAGTAGAGCACTCAGCCGATGCTGGCGCCATTCGTTCATGACCTTGTGGTCTACGGCTGCACTTTCACCAGCAATCGGTTTTTAAGACGCACCGTGCCGTGTCTTCAAACATTCACCCCATTCGTTCTGCACGTAATAAAATCTTGCTTGCCCGTTTGGGCAGCTAAGGCTTCAGCTTTTACACTCACTGCAGGCCTATTTACACGAGTGTTCGCACTACTAGCATTTTTCAGTCATTCGAGAAGCATTCTTTCCACTTCTCCACTTGCGTTTGGCTGAGAAACTCTTCTCAAAGCCATCTAGTCTGGCATCCTTATTTTTCAGAATAGTCGATAATGTGGACAGTGGTATTCAAAAATTGTCTTGCAATTTCAGACTTCTGCCGACCTCTTTTTTCCATCTCATATATCAGTTGAACTTTCTGCTCCAATGTTGGACACTTCCGCTCGGGCACTGGCAGTGCCATGTTCACTTTACGGCAACTAAAATAAAAGCACTCACGATGTGCACACACAACATCCCGGGTTCACAGAGACTTCATGCAACACATGCGCACGTGTGTCTTCCAACCACGAATGGAAAAAGTCGGGGAGCATGCCGAGGCTCCGTACTGGTCACGTGACAACACCGTCATAGCCAGTGCTGTAGCCGCGGGGAGCAGCCAACACGTTTCAAGCGCCTTCGTACTGGATAGTACCAGAGTGGGGCGCGAAGGAGGACAGTAAAATTCCCGCTGCGGAGACTCTCTCGTCGTCTGCACTGGCGCGCTTTAGCCTGATGATGCTAGTGCAAACATCGCGCGCTCAGCACAGAAAAGGTTGCCAGAAAAGGTTCAACGCTCCGAGACGTTGAAAAAAGTGTTTCGGCATTTCGGCGGTGTGGGCATTGTGCACCCGTCTGGCACTGCACGAATCTGCCACTTGTTACTTCACTCTAAGCAAGCTATTGACATGCTTCGACTAATCCAGTCTAAAATACGCGCATTTGGGTCAGAACTGCGTGACACTTAGATAAAAGCAATAATAAAGTGACTTCACTGGAATGAGAGTTTATTGCAAGTAAATATACCAACACGCACTCATTACAGTTATCCAACCAAAGGAGTTCAACTTGAGATGAAATAGATGAAAAATTCTTGAAACATGGGGTTTTCCCAGGATTTACTGTAGCTGGGGCTTCTGTGCTTCCCACTGCAGGCCGCTACTAATAGGGCAGTTCTCGGAAGATCTGATGAACCTGTTCCTGTTGCACATACTCTCGGTGCCTGCACTTGTTCACCACTTGCTGAGCATAGCACCCGAGGTAAGTGGAAGCCACTTGCTCACATTTTGTTGGTAAAACGCGTTGTGCTTTGGATTGTGTCAAAATAGTCTAATGAAACTCTCTGCTGGGCTACTGGCTGCACAGTTTTGTAGAGGGAAGTGGTGCAACACGGAACAAAGACTAAGATGAGGGAACAAGTACAGCTGCACCATTTTCACTTTACTAGTAGAACTTGTGCTTTACTCTCTTGACGGTGTTTTGCAGGTTATTTGAGAACAGCAGCGTGGATTCGTGATCGTATTCTGCGTTGCTGTAGCTGTGCGAGTCTTGTTTCATCATCTCCCGCTTTGGCCTGCTTTGCGCTACTTGCTTCTATGTGTCAAATATCTCCGACAAAAATTTAGTGCTTAGCGCCCAAACTTTACTGACTCATGGTGGATTCCACAGGCCATTTAAGGATAGCAGCATACATTTGTGAGCGTATTCTGAGGTGCGTTGGCTTTGCTAGTCTTCTGAAAAAGAAAACGTAGTTTACTGCGCTAAATCGTAGCGGGGTTCTTGATACCTGTCAAAAGGCATGGCGTCCTTGCATGCTCTTGATGGCTTTTTACGTGACTAGGGGTCAAGTACGCATTGAGCAGTTTCATTAAATGTGACCGTGCTCTGCCATGTAATGAGTGAAAGCAAGGTGATGGGTTGATTAGTGAAACTCATATTTGGTATCTTATACACATGTCCTGAAAGAGTTGGCTCACTCCAGCTAAATAGTGAAAACTGAAGTGGGGTACTAATGTAAACTAAGATATTTTTTATGTTTGTCTACTTTTGTGACACTGTTTGCTAGCTTCAGGCTCGAATATGGGTTGTTTCCTTTTGTATCTCTTTTCAAGGTCCAAGTACGTGCTAACTATTGTTTAATAAACACTGCATTGGTGAGTCAGTGCTTGTCTACTACACTGTTTTTTCCTAATGTTAGGAGGGTCAAAAAAAAAAAAGAAAAGGTGTGCGATTGGCTACAGCTATGAAGTCAGTATTTGCATAGAAGTTACAGGGTAGGTCAGGAAACACACATAGAAATATATACGTAAGTGAGAATAAATCATGTGAATTGAAGTAAAACCTAGACAGGAAGTAGGCCCTATTAGTCAATCTGAAGTGGAAGTATGTGCAGAAAGTGAGCTTGTATGAAATTGTTTGAAAAAGCCATATGATGATGAGTTGTAATCACAGTTAGTCATGACTAGAGCCCGGATTTTCAGGCACTAAAAAAGTGTGTTTTAGGCGCCAAAGACAGGCAGGTAAAACATCGTTTTAGGCCCTCAAAATCATAATTATTGGCACAATTACTTACTACAAAATTGAAATATCCCAAAACAACGACGTCGGTGACTTGGATCTAAGCCAAGAAGCATAAAAAATATTTAAGATAGCAGATAGGTACCAACGATTGAACCTAGACATGCGTTTCCCGAGTGATTCGCAGTATGTGGTCTTTTGTTTTATTATCTAGCATTGTGCGTCAAGTGTCCACCATTCAATTAACACTCTCATGAGTCTCTTTCGTTTCATTTTGGCTGGGAAGGGCAGCACAGGAAAAAAATAACCAGACCAGTGATAACCCAGAAGAGAGGCTTGCTAGGTCGTATAGGACCAATTTCTACTTTATTGGTGAACACCTGAAAGGACCCCTCATTAGGTTTGGGCTTTTCGAGCTGTCAAGTGTAATAGTGCACAGGGCACTCCGGATTATTCCTGTTAAGATTTGCAAAATTACATGTCGCGAAAAAACGCTAAATTTCTATTGAATGTCACTTGCCCTTCTCGCGGGTGTGCGCCCCAAGATCTAGGGAATGACGTACAGCAAGGAATAGTCCTGTCTTTACATCGCTCCTTTAGGTTGACATTCGTAGGCTCACGTCGCATACCGTGCGCTCTTCATCAGAACTTCGTTAAATGCTAGCTATATCTATAAAAACAGAAGAAAAATGTTCCGTCTTCTCCTGCGTTTTAAACGGTACCTCATTAAGAGTGTTGCACGTGACACGATTCTACTTGGCATATGTAATTTGTCTGTTCTGTTGCGTAGCATGAATGAGGAGTACTTTGGTTTGGGCTAGCTGCGTCATATCAGCTTTGCTTCAAAGGCAAAGCAATGAAGTCAATAGCAACAAATTGGGAGGTCACGTGCAGAATGGCAAGCAGATTGAAACATGCGCCGCGTTTCTCACGCACAAAGGACGCACAAAATATACTCACAGGCACAGATTAACGCGAACAAGTGTGTTAGTTGTTACTTCGCCGTGTTTGAAAAGCACGGCCTTTTCGCAAACAGAGGCTGTGTAACGATTGCAGTGACCTTTGTGCACCCGGTAACTATAACATAATTGTTCCGATGAAACTCAAAAGCTAGCCAAGACGTACGATTCTCCCCACTGCATGGTAAGGGCGCGCGATCGAGCGTACACCCCCTTATTCTCTACACACGCCAAAGTACGCGTGAGAGATGAGAGCCGCAGCGCGCTCACTGAGCCATCTTGCTGATAATGCTAAAAACACGATAGTCCGGGGGCACGTCATGACACGAGTAGGCTGGGGCACGTCATGCGCCCATGACCTTGCTTTCGCATGTTGTTCTTGGTGCGTATGTGTCGTGTGGTTTTCCAGCCCCAATACCGAAGGGAACACAGAAGGAATGAGGCTCGCGATGGTTACATGGTATGAGAGGCAAGGCACTCAAGCTTGCTTCTTCGCATAATGCTTTGGTGGCTCGTATCGAACCAATTTGAAAAATCACTATAGTCGAACACTTTTCACTAGGCACGCAAAAACTTCAAATGTGTAACTAGGTACAAATTATTATGTCACCTAGAGAGAGACGCTTAAAAAGCAAATTACAAACAAAACAAAAGTTGTGTGCACATCACATATTTTACCTGAAGGTGCTGCAGCAGATGGTTACAATGTCAAAGAAAACGTGCTTTCATTGAAACGCCACAATTCGTTCTCTTTGTAATCCATTTCAATCTGTCATAAAACTAACAAAAAATGAATTATTAAAAAGATTATATCTGATACAACATTCTAAAATTTTAATTACGATTGCTCAGAGGACTGTTTAGATACATTCATTTTCAAGTGTGAGTTTTACCATGAAGTGCTTGACATAGAAGCTTTAGTCGCAGTTTAATTCGACGCGATGATAGTAATTCCCATTCTAGTTCATTTTTCATATTGTTGCAGCTGTTATTTTTGAGTAATGGCTTAGGAGACACCATGAAGCACTGTTCTTTATTTTTTCATGTTTGTAACTTAGTAATTGACAAGGGATCTCATATAGAACAAGCATATTCAAGCTTACGTTAAATCTATGCTAAATACACCGTTGATTGTAAACATGCAGGCGCCTGTCTCAGACTTCGCTGTATAAAGTATAACGATTTGGCGACCTTCGCCCCACTGAATCAACAAGAGCATTTCATGAGTGGCCCTCCATGGTTTTTCATTTGTTCGCCAGCTACCCGTGGCTGCCCAGAAAAACCTGCTCTTCCTTTCCCACTGCCATACCCAGGTTTTCAGGGCGGTTTTTCAGTTCCCTCAGGGCACTAGACAGCTATCTGTAGAAAGCGGTCGCCACGTCCTCGGCCCTAGACGTCACTTTTATTTTCGTACCCCATCTTTAATTCTCTCTCCTCCTTCCCCTGCAGACGCTGAGACGTTCTTCTACTTAGGGCTGCAGAAATAGCGTCTTTTACACTCATCATGCTCCTCCTCCAATCGCTCGCAACATGTCAGCTTTCTCTTCGTTGAACGTTATAGTGTTTCGAAATATCAATGTTGCCTTTTTTACATGAATAACAGTTACAGAGTAGAAAACAAAACTTCGGCATGAATAGCGCTCATATAGGTGCTCCTTTGGAAAATAGGCATTTATAGGCACTTATAGGGATTTAGGCATGAACGCTCAAAGTAGGCATTTATAGGCACTATAAAAACACCATAAAAGCCCTTATTAACCTCTAATTCATGCTCATATATCAAAATGGCACGATAGGAACACAAGGAACAAAATAGGCGTTTGCCTATAATCTGGTCTCTAATTATGACTTGTAAACTAGACTTAAGTCATTAACAGAATTCACATGACGGAAGTACGTGAGAGCGTCAAGGTAAAGAGGGAAGATAAAGGGACGTAAAGTCAAAGCAGTGTCAGCACAACTGCCCGCATTTACCACTAAATCACTGCTTGCATTTACCACTAAATCACCGAAATAGTTATGTTTATTTGGCTTACGTTATTACTTTGCAGTTGCTTCTTTGAAATTTAGTTTTTGTTTTACACTTAAGAAGAACTTGTTAGTTTTGCCAGGCAGTGAAGCTGGAATAATCGTGTTTCAAATGCTGGGGAGAGCTGTGCGCACTATGTGTTTGGTGTGGTTTGCCCACTGCAGGCGGTGACACTGTTGAATTCGCACGGCCTGTTCCGCCGTAGCCTGGACATCTTGGTGGTGGAGCAAAACATGCGCATCCTCTTCAACGCCCTCGAGGGGAACTACGCCTTGTGCCTGTTGGCCAATCTCGTGCACCTTGCCTACCTCAACATCGAGGCACGTATTGCTCATCACTCGTGCCTGGCAACTAAGCATCTCATGTTTCAGAATAAATTTGTTGGCCCCCCTAATACTTAGCATGATATGTTATCTCTAGATCGGTTCAAATATTTCAGTTCTCTGAATATTTGAACGAAGTATTACTACAGTATCTAAATTTTCTTGTACCAAACTATCTAAATTTGGGAACATTTAAAAGGAATTGGTAGGCATGTATTCTACTGCATGTAACTCATCTGTGAAAGTGCTTTGGCTGCAGTGTGAGGCCACTATGCCATAAAGCTGCTTGTCTGAGCATATTGTCGCTGTAGCGAAGCCACATTTGAAGGTTATGTGCGCATATTACTTGCACCCTGATTAGTTTTCTTTCTAGATATAAAGGCGCAATATACAAACTTACGCTGCCCAGGTGGAGCAAATTTTAAAATATAACGGGTTTTAGCAACCTTAACTTGCTCCTTACTCGCACTGAAATTCTGCAACTGTTCAAATTGGCTTAAGTTGCTTGATACTACTACTATTCAAACTTCTCTTTGAAGCAGAAAAGTGACATTCGCACAAACTTGGTAGTTGCCTCTGAAAAAAAAAAAGACTCAATTGAACAAATCGTGTGAAATAAAAGAATCTGGAATTTCATGTTCATAGTTTTCTTTTGTGTTAGTTTTTGCACGCATGTGTTTAATGCAAGTTTTGTATGACTTCCTCTTCCTCTATGTTATCATGGTTGCTCAAGCTCTCTCTAATCACATTGGAAAATGTCAAGTCAATACCTATCCAAGGTCCCTCTATTCACTATGGTTAGCCATGAAATCAGATTGTCGTTTTGGTGCATAAAACGTGAAATTTAGAACTTATTCTCTTCTGTCATTCCTATACGGTTAGATGCAGGAACGGGTTGCCTTAGTGATAAGAAGGGTGGTGCCATAGCGGCGTCTATTCAGTTAACAAGCAATACTAGTTAATGATACTAAAGATGCAAGACAACTTACTAACTGTGGTTACCCATGTAGGCTTTTATTGATGTTGCATACATTTACCAAATACATTCATTGCAAGAAATCAAATTTAATAACTTAGCTTGAGAAACAGCATGTTCACAGCTATACATACCTTACTGTGAATAAAGCTGTTTACTAACAGTGTAGTGAAACATTGTGAAATTTAATTGAGCTGTATTTTTTTCCTTTTTCCCTGTCTCTTAGAACCTGAATTCAAGGCTGCTCGATTTTGTGGTATGTTTACACTTTATGTTATGCATCATTTTTATTTATATATAGCCCTATATTGTGGCAGAGTCTAGATCAGTAAATGATTTTTTAATGGTCCGCTAGCTCTGTTGGCTAAGAAACTCAATCCTAGTAGATAACACAAGCTGGCATTCTTATAGATTGAATATTAATTTCGTTAAACTTGTGTATGAACCAGGCGCTATGTTTCTCAGTGGCAGGACCAGCTCAATTGAATCTACATTTCTTAGCTAAACTTCTGCACCTTCAGCGGAATCAAAATGTGTCTATTGGTTATTACGAATTTAACCGAAGTTTTAACCCGATTACAAAAGGAACACCTGATGTAGTGGTCTTGTGGTTACAGTGCTTGACTGCTGACTCGCAGTTCGCAGAATTGAATCCGGACCACGGTGATCGCATTTTTCAGCGGAGGCAAAAAAGCTCGAGGCCCATGTACTTAGATTTAGGCGCGCATTGAAGAACCCCCGGCCAGCGGCGAACTTTCTGGAGCCTTCCACTACGGCGTCTCTCATAATTGTATTATGGTTTCAGGATGCATCATTGCAATATATGAACGAAGTAACTCAAAAAACACCTGTGTATTTCACACATAAGCATCATTCTAGATACCCGATTGTAAGAGTGAGGCTGGATTCGATGAACTGCTTAATACTAACTGTATGGGAATCATGAAGACGGTATATTGGGACAGTTTGGCTTGTTTTTGGCAATTAGGCAAGACCACTAAGTGTGGTGGATTTCCTTTGCAGCATAAGTGTATGGCCACTGAAACACAACGCTATGAGGAAAACCCCCAAGTGCAACGTGCAAAACAAACTTCCAAGGAAACCTGTGTAGGTTGTCATGAAGACCAGTGCGCCATTCGTCGCATAGGCATTGAGGAACCTTCGTAGGGGCAGTTTTTTGTCGACTTCTGCCTCCCTTGACACCAGCAGGGACAAAAATAAAATTTCATTTTTCTCTCTCTTTATTGTGGTTTAAATTAATTTAAACATCTTGCCTGGTTGGCGTCATGCTTGAATCCTAACTTTAAAGCATAAAGCCAGGAATTTCTTGCACGCATCCATTGTCTATTGCGCGCATTACAAATGTAGTGCATCGCTCTCTTTTTCTGCTGTCAGCATGTGTCTACCAAACTGCTGGAAAGTTGCCAGAAGTACGTGGTGAACAAGCGCTCGAACCTGACCCACTGGCACCCCATCCTGGGATGGTTTGCCCAGAGCATCGACCATGGGTGAGGGTCTTAGTTTCCCCGCCTACCCCACTGCCATGCTTCTTTAAGAGCAATAGGCACATTGAAGGGGCCCTGAAACATTTTTTAAAGTAACCATGGAAGGGATTCAATAAAATAACTTATTGCCTCATGAATTCAACGCCGCAAATATTTTAAGAATTCGTCTAGTACAAGTGGAGCTACAAAGATTCGCCACACGTGGCAATCGCATTCTCTCTGTCTCTCGTAACGACGAAAGTGCTGGAAGCTAAGCGAAGAGAGATGGCAGGGGCAAAAAAAAAAAAAGTCACACATGCCTCGTGACCTTGAGCACTTTTTGCTTTTTTTTTAAATAGGGTGCGCAGCTTTTTCTCCGGGATCACGCGTGCCTGTGGGGACAAGCCAAAGCATCCCACGGCGATCCCTGTAGCGATCACGCGTGCCATGTTCAAATCAATCAATGGCCGATAGATAGCCTTCTAGGAGCAATTTTTGAGCGTCTTCTGTCATTTGTCGAGAAAGAGAAAATCATTTTAGCTAACTTTGATGATTTATTGTGGATTCCAAGCCGCGTGCTATGCTGTAATACTTGGCTCACATGTTCTCGGGAGCCTCTACTATCGATCGGCAGCGTTTTCTTTCCATGCTCGAGAAGTGTTGCAGGGCTTCTTTAAGGAGTTTGAGCCCACTGTAGCTGGTGAGGTGAGTTTGTGAAAAACTTGACAGTTATAAAGTAAAGTGACTTCCGGTGGGAGATTATGGAGCGCGCTCTACATGCTCCAACCCTGAGACAGTGCCATGAGAACCTGCACGTAAGCTCGCGCTTGCTGATGTCCGGAAGAGATGGTGGTGGTGGTGGTGGTGGCGGTGGTGTTGCAGCAGGCGGGGTTAGCCTGGCCTGCATGGCCGGCAATTGTTCCGCCTGAGCATCTCCTTAATTTGGAAAATGTCACCACGTGTCAGACAGCCCAGTGTCTCGCAGGAAGACCAACAAAGTTCGTTGCGCGTTCCTCCTAGTTGCCGCGGGTCCTTCAGGAAAGATGATGTCATCAACTGTCTGGTGCCTATGGCAGCCTTTTCGCAAGGTGCGGATCATCGCTGCTCTTTGGGCATCAAACTGTGGGCAAAGCCAAATGAAATGTTCAATATCCCCGATGTCACCACAGAAGGCACAGAACGGGGAAGCGTATCTCCCAGTCTTGAATGACCAGGCCGGGGTGTATGCGGAGCCGGTTCTAATGCGGTACAACAGCGTCGCTTCTTCACGAGAAAGTCCATGAATTACACATGCTTGGTGTGGAAACCTGTAGATCGCCTTGAAATGATTGCGTATCACATCTTTGTTGTTCTGGTAAGTCTTGGGAGTTCTTACTTTTGGAAACGATGTACGTGCTTCGCATGCAAGGGCATCAGCCTTTTCATTGCCCTCAATGCCAACGTGGGATGGGATCCACTGGAACTGTATATTAAAACTCTTGCCATTTAGGTGTTTGATTAGTGCCAGAGATTGCCTGGTGAACTTTTCTTGAGGTAGGCCACGATGCAGTCTTTGTAGCGCCGATTTGGAGTCCGTCAGCACTACAACATCTCGTGCAGAAAAGGATCGCAGTTTTCGCAAAGCCGCCGTAATTGCAGCGCTTTCTACTGTTGTGGACGAAACCACGCGATCCAGGCGGCCCGACCATGACACGCCCAGGCTGGGTATGCAGAAAGCCGCTGCGCAGCTATCAGTCTGTGTGCACACTGATCCGTCGGTGTACACTTGTAGGTGGCCACGGTACATGGTGCTCAAGTGGTCCAGCGCAAGAAAGTTTGCTTCCGCGGCTGGAATGGTGCGCTTCGCTGGTAGATTGGGTACGCTGAAGTTGCACGCAACATCCACAAAAGACCATGGCGGGTCCATAGGGCGCCGTTTAGGCAGTTTCAAGCCTAAATATTGAAATGTGTTTAGTGCCGCGTTGAAATGTGAGCCAGTTCTTGCTCTTAGCCGCCGGAGAAGCGCCGTGCCTGCGAAGGACTCGCCCAGTCTTGACAGCTGCGTCAATAAGGCCTGAGACGCCAAAAGGCGGAGCGGAAGAGACTCGGCTTCATTGGTAACCTTCGTGTTTGAAGCCGCCTGAGGGACTCCCATCGCCAAGCGAAGACCCTTTCTGTGCACTGCCTCTAGGCGTTCGAACTGGCTTGGTGATGGTGATATCAGGGGCAGCTGATAAAGAATGCGGCTTGTTATAAGCGCATCATTCAATTTAAGCATGGACTTAGGATTGTTGCCCCAACGGACCCCTGCCATGCGACGAAGAGCGTTGATCCTTTGCACTGATGCAGTTACCATACCATCAACCGCACGTCGCCATAATAGCTTGTTGTCGACGGTAATGCCCAGGAAGCGAACACTTGTTGCACAACGAATTGAGTGGCCTCGAATATTCAGCGACAGACGTGTTGACTTCCGTCGCACTCCCGGGAAGAGCATGAAGGCCGACTTTTCCGCTGATAAAGATAGGCCAAGTGTCAACAAGTGACGCTCAATGATTGAAATAGCGCTCTGTGCTATCCGGGCCAAACGTTTGTGCTGGTACCCTGAGATCCAAATGCAGATGTCATCGGCGTAGATGGATATTTTGACTGCTTTCAGAGCTGAGTGCAGAGTGTCGGGAAGCCTGGCCATGGCAGCGTTAAAAAGCAAGGGAGATAGAACACTTCCTTGTGGGACGCCGAGGGAAACGCGTCTCTCTTCGCTCGTTACATTTCCAAGCTTAACACGGACACAACGGTCTCTGAGAAATTCATGTACGAACCGAAGAGCATTTCCCGACACACCCATGGCTTGGAGCCCGTTCACGATGCCTGCCTGAAGCACACAATCATATGCCTTGGCAACGTCCATGAAGACGGCGAGTGTCGAGAGTCCGCTGACGCGGTGGTGTTCGATGTGGCTTAATAGGTCAAAAACACTGTCCTGGGCACTCAGTCGTGGGCGAAATCCGGTCATACACGGTGGCCATCGTCTTCCTTGTTCAAGGTACCAAGTTAATCTTGTACATATTAATCTTTCCATCAACTTAGATACGCATGATGTTAGAGATACCGGTCGATATGACGCGAGGCTCGCAGGATCCTTTCCGGACTTTAGGACTGGCACCACCCATGCTGTCTTCCAAACAAGTGGGATCTCTCCCGTGCTCCAGACATGATTAAATATGTCCAAAAGAGCCCTTTTTCGCTCATATGGTAGATTTGTCAGCATTTGATTGCTGATCAAATCGGGACCCACGGCACAGCGTCTTCTTAATTTGCTAAGTGCCATATCCAGCTCTCGGAAGGTGAATGGCGTATCCATCGTGTGGAAAAACTGGGGTGACAGAGGAATCGCCGCTCCTGCTGATCTACCAGGTATGTACACGTCTGCGAAATCCTCTGCAAGGGTTTGCAAATCTATCCCTTGTTTCAAAGCGAGTGCTTCGAATGGCCTGTTTGTTCGGATCTTCCCAGAAAGACTATTTATTACTGCCCATATCTTTGTCAAGGGCGTAAACGTTGATAAACTCTCACAGAAAGCGGCCCATTGATTTCGTCTTAATTTTTTTGTATGGCGGCGAATTGCAGCATTGATCCTGTTATATTCGGTTTTCGCAGACGGATTTCCTTTTGTTCTCATTATTTTCCGCTCCGCTCGTCTACGTGCTGCGCAGAGGTTCTTCAATTTCAAGTCTGGAGCAGGAAAATGGTCAGGCAGTTTCAGCAATGAAGTTGCTGATCGCTTGCTTTGCAACATATCTGCGAACAGCTCACCAGTGGATTTGTCCAACACTTCTCTGTAGGTGTCCCAGCGTGTTACCTTGCAGAATTGCCGACCAGCAGTTCGAAATCCCAGGATATTGGTGAAGATGGGGAAATGGTCGCTGCTCATCTTGTCTGGAGCCGTGGTCGATGATACCAGAAGGTCCGTGGAGTGAAGTACAAGGTCTATTGCACTCCATGAATCAGGTGGCCTGAAAAATGTAGGTTTACCATCGTTTGCCACACATAAGTCGGCAGCATCTGCAGCTGCTAGAAGTTCCCTGCCTCGAAAATCTACACTCTTATCTCCCCAGAGTGGATGGTGCGCGTTAAAATCACCACAGATTATTCGAGGAGCGGGACATCGAGTGCAGAGGTCCTTTAGGAAAGTCTCCATAGAGACCTTTTTTCGTGGGCTTATGTACACCGATACCACACTCAGTTTTCGGTTTCCCAGACACACTTGCACAGCAGCGACTTCCAGTGAGTTGGAACAGAGGTCTTGCACTGGTAGGGTGACTTGAGGTATTTCCCGCCTTATGTATATCATTGCGCTTCCATTTGCAAACGACGTTATGCTCGGGTTGCCGTGTCGGATGTACCCTGGGAGCGTCCTTGCATTCGGTAGACCGGCTTCGGAGAGGGCTAGAATCGGTATTGGAATGTCGCGCAGGAAAAGGTTGAGTTCGCACAGGCGTTTTAGAAGACCGGCGCAGTTCCATTGCATTATTAAGGGCACTTTTGAAGGACGAAATAGACCAGGTGGGCGAGGCAGCGCCATTATTCTACTGTGTGTTTGTGGAAGCAGAGCAAAGTAACACTGACTCTAGAGCCAGGACTGCTCCCAACATATCCTTCGTTGAACTCGCAGGCATCTTAGCGACGTGTGAATGCAGTGCTGTGAACAGAGCGCGAATAACGTGCTCGAGGTTTTCTTGCTGTTGGCTTCCAGATGGTACTTGAGATGGGCTCAGTGCATCAGCGTAGGTGCGCTTGGCGGACTCTTTCGTGATACATTTCTCACCAGCGTTGAGCACTTGCGTTGACTCAGTACCAGCTCTTGTCGGATTTAGGCGTGGAAAATTTCCTGCGCACTCGTTATCCGAAACGCCAAGTTGTGGCGCGCCGGAAGTCTTCTTTGTGAGCGATGGTTCGTTCACAGTCTTCGGGCCGAGGACAAACATCTTATTTTTTCGCTGAGCAGCTGTTCGTGCTGGACATCGGCCGTAGCTAGCTGGGTGGTCGCCGCCACAGTTTGCACACACAAGTTTTTCTTTACTTGTACACGTCTTAAAGTCATGAGGCCCCCCACAGCGCTTACACCTTTGTTCCCCACGACAGTGCTTGGCTACATGTCCAAAACGCTGACATTTAAAACAGCGTGGTGGCGTCTCCACGTAGTCTACCAGCTCGTGTCTGGTGAAGCCAAGGTTGATTTTCTCTGGACGTTCCGAATTGGGAGCGAATGTGAGAACTACAAAGTCAGTGCGACTTGATTCCCATTCGGTGGATGAGGTTTGGACTCGTCGTATGATCCTTCTTGCGTGGTATACTCCCTGAGGTCTCAGGTAGGTTAACAGCTCTTCGTCCGAGTACCATCTTGGGACCCCTTTTATAATGCAGGTATTTTTCATGTAGCTGTGTGGTACACGGGCAGATATGGCCAGGCCGCAGATAGTGTTGGTCTCTAGAAGCATATTAGCTTGATGTTCTGTCTCTATATCCAAAAGCAGGGCTCCCTGTGCTGTGAAACGGCTCTTAACTGGGGCTCCACCGAGAATTGTTTCAATTTCCGAGTATAGGTGAATAGGATTCACTTGCCTCAAGTTAGCTCCTTCGGATGTTGGAGCAATTAAGACAGGAATGCCCACCGTCCTGTCTTTGCGATGTCGTACAAGGCGGAAACCGCCCTCGTCCATGTCTTGATCTGTGAGGTTCGCCCCGTTGTGGTCCCCGACGACAGTTGATTCGTCCTCTGATTCAGCGCTGTGTTGTCGCTTGCAGTCAGGTATGCTTGCGCAGACCAGCTGGTGCTTCTGACCTTGTGTCACACCTTGGGAGGTCATGGCGGCGCTCTCCCTGATGCTTGTCTCGTTTCTTCTAGCACCTTTCGACGCGGCGGGCTGCGCAGCACCCGTCGGTCGCCGATACGGCAGGTACCTTTTCGAGTCGTCCGACGTCTTGAGCGGTGCTGAGCCGTAATATAAACAAAAGTAAACGATAAAAGCAGACAGAGCTACTTAGCCAAGCAGCAACAGCTTCGTCGTCTTCTTCCTCTTCTCGTCCGGAAGAGACAACATGTTTCCGACTTTCTGCTTCAATAAAGTGTGTTCTTCACCACTTGCTCCCACTGTGGAAGCAACGTAACATTCACCATGTAACACCTTCGAGCCTGTGAAAGTAGTCGGTGGAAATCACTGTTAAGCTAACCTATGAAGGTGTTGCACTCAAGCACATTCAAGTGTGCTCCTTTGGAGTTCTGAGGGTTCTAGCTCAATGTGCCCAGTATCCTGCTTGGTGAATCGGCCCAATGTTTCTCTATTGTGTATTACGTATTGCCTCTCTTGTGAGTCACCAGTGTAGGCTGTGCAGAACAAAAATATGTGCCAGTGTCAAAGATAGGCCTGTTACTGGTGCTCCTAGTGGTATCTGGACCAGTGATATGATAAGTATCTGGGCCAGTGATATCTGTATTCTTTAGTAGAGGCAGCGCTTTTGTCCTCCCCTGATAACACCTAATGTTTTGGGACATCGTTACTGAAGCACTTTCTCTATGGACATGGTAGACTTAAGTGAGACTCCATCACAAAATACATTGACTGATGTTTCAGAGTATAAGCTCTGCAAAAATGTAGCAAACAAGAACTTGTCAGTAAGTCTGTCCTAAAAAGAAGTACAAAGACTGAGACGATGCACACAAAAAAGTATGGATGCAAATATATGCAAATACAGTAGAGTCTGATGTCTGAGTAAACGGAAATTTGTTAAACGGAACTAATGCTTAAACAGAACGTTTGTCTCTGCAATGCTTGGTTTCAGGCTTGTATTCTACACTCATACTCACCTCTCATCTCAGTAAACGGAACTCCTGTTAAATCGAACATATTTTTCCAGTTCCTTCAGGTTCCGTTTACTGAGAGTCTACTGTATATACAAAGAGTCCATATAGCAGATTAAAGTATATTGCACTTTGTTATTGCACATTACCACAAGAGTTTGTATATATTTTTGTTGTTTTGTCTCGGGCCCACCTTACATTGGTAATCAATCAGGTTTTACTGCTCTGAATCGACGCACAATGCACTGTGCAACTAATAGAGTGGTCACCTTGCAATTGTTCTGCAGCCTACACGAGTCCCTAACCTTTGTCAAGCAGCAGCTGCAACTGCTGTGGTGTGGCCCCCTGGTCAAGGTCCTGTTCAGCCCGCTGGCAGAGCTGCTGGCACAGAACGACAATTCCAATTCCTCCTCGAGCGAAGCACCAACGTCGCAGAGTCCACAGCCCGATGTGCCCACTGGTGTCCTCAGCTCTCCTGCAAGCGCCAGTGCCGCCAGTGAGTTCTTAGCTGCAATGACACCTCATGGATAATATTATTTTTTTAGTATAATCGGTACCAGAAAACGGGAAAGTGTGCTTAACACGTTCACTGTGGTGTGGGTCACAGGAAGCTCCACGGCCTGTGCTGTCCTACGTACGTTACAGGCATGCATCTGCTATGATGTGATCACTTCATCAAACATGAACACAGAGGTACAATTCGTGTTGCTAGAGGTTATAGATACTAATCGGAAGCATTTTTTTTCTGGTGTTATATGCCATGACCTGCCAGTCAGTGGGTCACAGCGCACCTGGAAGATATGCCGAGTGGCCCAGTGGTGGGTCATTCCACACGTGAAGTGAGAATTCAAGAAAGCTTGCCACAGGGAACGTGCTGAAAAGTGGGGTGTGCATGGGTTTCGGCAGAAGTTTGTCTTGAGGGGTGCAAAGTCATGTTGCATTGCATTGGGGATAAGGGTAGTGCTGGTGTAGTAGGGACTGGGGAGTAGGGGGAAGGGATCAAGTGCTGGTGTGGCTTGAGGGAGCAAGTGCCCCCTTTTGCACCCCTCTGCTGATACTCACAGGTGTGGGTTATATAGGTAGGGGTTGCATGCATGTCTTTTTTTTTTTCTTCTTTTTTCAAAATTCAAGGCAGGGTTACTTATATGCTGGCGCTGTTTATATGCAAGAAAATGGAGTAATATGTTGTGCACTTTAGGGCAGAACAGTGCAGAAAACTAGACAAAAATAGCTGTGTCCCATGTGCTCTTCATCCCGTTTTCTGCGCTGTTCTGCCGCAACGTGCACGAACCAGCTAGGTCACATAAGAACACGTATGTCATGCACTTGTTTTCAGCAGTGGATGTTGTAGATTCTTTCGATTTTTTATTGGTTCGTATGCCCACTCACTGGTGTACCTAAAGTACAATATCTCCTTAGGGGGTGGTGGCTATGTTTGTGTTTGCAACTTGTATGTTTTAGTCATGTCAACTTGTGGCCAAAGGGAGTGAGACACATCAGTCATTGAACAAATTAAACTTTCTGCATAGTCGTCATGCCTTGACCTAACCTCAGTGTGCTGCATATGACCATAGCTGATCGCTCTGGTGGAAGCCCTACACGGCTCGACGAGTTGATCAATGTGGCACATTCCAGGACCAACGTCTAAAGTAATATTTTTTTTACAGTGAAAGCTGTTATGCGATTATAACTCGGGTCACACGCAGTTGTCCGCCACAGCCGCCGCCACCACTGGTGTCTGTAACCACATCACGCGAAATTAAGAAAAAAAACCTAGCACCAATGACCCAGTGGGGCTCGAACCCAGGTCTGCTGGGTGCCAGCCCAGTATTCTACCACTGAGCTACGCCAGTGCTTGTGACTTGTTGGCAAACTTGCCTTAGGCAGGCTTGATGTTGGGAAAGCAATCGTGTTAATACGACTTTAAAGCATTTTAAAACAGCGAAAGAACAACCAGCCGTCTCACATTGCGAATAGCGTAACGAGTGGGCCACCCAATGCTCCAACCCCACGACAAGGTTGTTCTTGTTCCCCTATTAACTCTGGCACATACCCACTTCAGCCATAATTCCTCATCGTCGTCGGTCACTGCATGAACAATTGGCACAAAATTTCTTGCAAGTGTTTAGCGGATGCCACACTTCTCAGAAGAATGATGAAGGATAGCATAGCGAATGCAGGCCTACTACACAAAAATTTTGAATGCCCTAGTGGGTATCAAGCAAGTGGGCTTGCAGTAGTTACCCCAGGAGTGTTTAGAAAAGGTTCTGAAAGGCCGCTCTTCTAGTTTTTGCTGTGACTGTGTTGCGCTTTCTGCGCAGGCCTGGCATTTTTTTGTCGAAATGAATGCAATCAAAAACCCGTATTGCATTCATTTGAAGCCCATGATTTCATTCTTTTCATTTCAAGATGTAGAACTGACTGTAGAATAATTAAACAGAGCAGACTCGCAGTAAATGGGAATCTATCTTGACTGCTGCTTAATTGGAACAACTGCCTATAACATGTTTGGTTTCACACTTAGCCGCTGTCTCCCTGTTCACCTGGTAAACGGTACTGCTAAATAGAACTCATTTTCTTGGTTCCTTCAGTAGCCGTCTAATAAATCTGCTGTATTTATTTAAATGCTAATTGTAAAACTTATATTCACACAAACCGACACATTGCTTCATTTTCTTTTTTGCATTGTAATGGTGAGGGCCTTGAAGTTATGGTATGTGAATTTGACAAATTTTTAGACAGTGCTAGGCTTGGATGAATATTTGAAGAAACATTACTGTATTAGAATTCACTTTAGTTGAAATTTAAATTGCTGAGAATTTCAAGGTATTCGAATTGAACAAATAGGTGTGCATGTAACCTTCTCTGAGGGTGACTTCGCTGCGGTGGAGGGGTGCTAAGCCATCAAAGCACCATCCCAAACGTTACATTCAGCACAAAAGCTCCTTTGCCATATTCAGTGCAAGCACGCATACCACCAAAATTATAGGCTAGAAATCGCAGTGCAAATATATTCAAAAGGGAGGTGTGTGCCGTGACTACAAAAAGCTATTTAATACCGTCTGTCAATCTTCACAACATTTAATCAGCTTCCTATTCGGAAATGTGGCACTGGAACATATTGCAGGCATTTCGTTATTATGCTACAATGCTTGCCACTGTGATTACGTGGGATATGGCATCAAGCCTAGTTCCTGGAGTTAAAGCGATTTGTCACGTCAAGTTGCTTCTTCTGAATACTTTTTTTCGAGTAAAAGGGTGCTTGCTTAGGAATGGGCAAATAGCAAGTGGGACGTTCAGAGTCAATTCAAAGTGAATAGCAATTTCGTCGAATAATTTCTGATTAAATAGTTTGATTGGTATATGTCACACGTTAAGAAAAATGAGCATTTGTATCATGAGCCTCGGACAATATTTTTTAGAAATATAACTAGGCACGTGGGAATGCCACTTTTCTTTTTTGTTGTAAGTGAAGTAGAAGCAGCATAGTGGCAAAACTTGTATAGCAGTAAAGTGCAATTTATTAACTAGTACAATTCTTTACATCGTGCATATAGGCTTGTACTATACAATTTTAAACTTTAAAAGTTCAGTGATTGAGGCAATGATAATATGGACAGACGACCCGGGTCCACTGTTGAAGGGAACACTTGCATGCTGTACTTGTCCAGATATTACTGTCTTGCAAATACAGAGGCTGAGATTTGCATGAGACTACTGGTGGTTGACAGTTGTGACTCGTTTTGACATAATAGTGGCATACACGAACAACATTTCCACATCCACTTGCCGTTAGGGGGCCAGCAATATGAACGGGAATCACTTGAATGTTTCCTTTAAAGCAGACCGTACTGTACATTAACATTGAAGTGTGGCTTCGTGTTGGTGCAGATTAATCTTGGACGGGGGGTTTCACGCCATAGCACCTGAACGCTGCAGTGAAACCACCAACAAAGGGGAGTTACATGCACTCAAATATACACGCATTCGTTCATTTCGAATACTTAAAAATTTTGAATAAACTGAATGCGTCTCGAGGTGAATTTGGATACTGTAATATTTGCACGAATATTCGAAGTGGCCAAATATTTGCCCCTCCCTATAACATGCTTCACTATAACATAACGATCCCGCAGGTCGCTAGATTAAATCCCGACTGCGGCGGCTGCTTTTTGGTGGAGGCAAAAATGTTGTAGGCCCGTGTGCTCAGATTTGGGTGCACATATAAAGAACTCCAGGTGGTCAACGTTTCCTGAGCCCTCCACTACGGCATTTCTCGTAATCATATGGTTGTTTTGGGATGTTAGACTCTACATATCACTCAATCAACTGTAACATATGCTGTGGTGTACTTAGGTATGATACAGGCTGCTATACACCTTGCATCCTTAGGGGTTATTATGTTTAACGGGAGGCACATCCAAAAAAGTTTAGTAGTATTATGTTATTGTGTTTATTTACATTGGCTATGCGGATCCTCGACTGAACCACTAAGGTATCTGCTAAGTTCAGCTTAAGAGCTCTTAAATTTTTTTAATGGTTTAACACACCATCATGCTACACTGGTTGCCCTCATGCTTCATTTTGTGTGCACCGCTTGTCAGTGTGTCGTTTTTTTGCTGTATGGCTGCAGGCCTGCTGAAAAAAGCCCTGGAGCGGGCGTCATCTGGTCGGACAGTGCAGTGTGCAATACCGACGGCTGGGAAGCCCCGAGGTCACTGCGGTGGCCCTAACCTGCGCCCTCTTTGAGACTGCCCTGGCCGGTCTCACTCAACTACGCTTGGACATTCTGACTGGTGCGTTACAGGGTTTTCGGCACATGCGCAAGTGCAAATGTGTGTGTGTGACTTGTTGCACGGTTCCCTACGAAGATTGCTGTAAAATGGTTTTCTGTAGCTTTCAGTAAAGCTAATGTATTGGCACAAAAGTGGTATGAGGCTTCTGGATTTGCGCAAAAGGGGTCCTTCGCTGCAAATTGTCCATGTTGTTTTTGTTCTGCTTTTGGCGCAATAGCATGGCATTTAAAGTATATACAAATAAAGATATGAGTCGGGGGGCATTAGGTCTTGGTGGCTTTCCTTGTAACACAGTCAAGGTCTCCACCAAGAAGCAAAGGCATGCTAGCAAATGGAAGGTGATAATGTGTGTACATGTGTGTGTCGGCATGCATGCATGCAGGGCCGTCCATTTTTTTTTGCTTTCGATTGGGGCTTGGCAATGCTTCACCAGCGGTGCGTGTACCATAATGAGCATATTTGATATATTAAACTTGCTCCAGGAATCATTTTACATGCCACAGTAGCATTGCACAGGGACAGTTATCAGTAGCAGAAGTAGTGCTGGAGAAACATGGAACACAGGTTTATCTAGTTTGTTCTCTTCAATTGGGCACAAAGGTCTGAATGAACACAATAGCAGCTCACATGTAGTCATTGCCTTGTAGCATTGAAATGCATCGTTTCGCATTAAAAAAAATTGTCCGAAGTTGTCAGAAGCGTTGTATTGTGCTAGGCCTAGTTGTAGCTGATTGCGCTGTCGATGTCACTGGATGTTAGTTACAGCATGTAAAAATAACATTGAAGCAGTTAACATCTACTTTTCTACTAGTGCTATGGCAGTGGTAGCAACAATCAATTAACATATACTCACTTATACATACTTTTTGTCTTTTTAAAACAGCACCGCAAATATTTAGTTAGAAGAAATCCTCAGAATTACGAGTGCTATTCATTAATTCAGGTAAGATTTACGTCGCTACCAGGTGGAGGTAAGTTGTTTATCAGAAAGCATAGTTATGGGTTGTTGCAGAAAGTCCACAGTAGATGGATCGTTATCTTTGTTTATTTAGAAAATGCTGCATTTCGACTGTAAGCAGGAGCTAGCATATGTACTTTGATTTAGGTGCACATTCAGTAACATCAAGTGGTTGCGATTTCCTGGGCCCGCCACTATGACGTCGTGCTTATAGTCATATTGTGGTTTCGGGATGGTAAACCCTAACACTTATTATGTAATAATATGACTTGAGACAGCATTAATTCTATCTGGATACGGAAAATTGAAAATGCATGCCTATTTTCGTTGTTTGCTCTTATTTTTAAATTGTAACCCTAAAGATACATTTTTTTTGCTTGCATTTTATTTTATTTTTATTTTGGGATGACACAAGGAAGATGTAAAACCAAGCTCGGCAATGAAATATGGACGCATGGACCCTTTAAAAAAATAAAGCGGCAATTTTATGAATAGGGGACCCTTCCACAATACCGAAAATGCTCTCTTGATGTAAGAGGGTGCTTCGCAAGTTGCTAGATGTGCTAGATGCAGGTGGTGGCACTACCCTAGTGTTCTCATGCCAGCTTGCTGTGATGTCGTAGATGTTTTTGGCATTTTCTGGGGCATGTACGTGTAATGCGGCTAGAATCGTGATGTGACAAGTTTTCAAGACATGTATGCAGCTTACATTCTAAAAATGAGAATAGTCTGAAATCTGGGATGTGAGACTGACATATGAGCATTGAAGTGCTGGTGGAAAATTTTCATGGGCACCCTTTGATCTTCATTTTCTTTACCAATGATGAACTTGACTATTCAGTCAGCAACAATAAAGTTCTTGAAGAATAATTGGTCCATCTAAACTGATCTAGTGTTTTTTTTTCTGTGTCTGTTTCGCATGGTTGTTAAACTGTTTTTTTTTATTCCGTCTTTATTTTGTGATATAAAGGCCTAATTTAACATGTTTTCGATCGTCAACGGCACTGGTTGTCATACCGAAATACTATTAATGGATATATTAAAAATAATTTTTTTCTCTTTTCAATGACCAAGTTGGGGGGGGTAGGTTCATTATGCAAGTGGGTGCATTACGCGAGTAAATACGGTATTTCTTGATAAAGGTGGCTATATTGCCTCGCATTCAGCATTCTCAAGATTGTAGACAATCGTGACCTTTGTTTAGCATAAAATGTTGATGATTCGGGGGGCTGTTTTATGCGCTGCATGCTGTCCTCGTTCTCTCGCAGGGCTCTGCCACCACGAGTGGGTGCTGTGCCAGCTGTGGCAGCTCATCCGCAGTGTTGGATCGGCGAGCGGTGTGCGTGCCTTCCTTGACCTGCTCGCATTCACTACCAAGCCCACTGGGCCCGAGTTCCGGCTGCTCGTCCTCTTTTGCGACTGTGCCACCCACCTTGTCACGTGAGTGCTGGGATCATGGTTTTACATGTGTTCTCACTCTACTGTATTTTATTGCAAAGCAGATTGCTGTCTCGTTTTGAATCTCTCAAAATGTGACCATTTTGTTACTCTGTTGTTTATCGCTTTCCAGGGTGCAATTGTTTTTGCCGAGGCACTGACTTGCACAAATGGGGCCGCCGAGGTTGTGTTTTCTGTTTCTGGGACTCTCAAAAATCACTTCCGTCTCTTTGGCAATAAGGCGAAAGGCTATTATTAGTTTCTCACTCATTCGTGGTTTCCGGACGAGCGCAGAACGATGCAATTCTCTTCAGTGCGCTTATTCATGCTGTTCGCTTTTGCTGTGGAAGTGTGCGCCTGTTTCTCTGATGCAAGTGAGTTAAGCGATGACTTCCTCAAATCGCCGCTCAACTACCGAATCAGAATATATTCATTGGATGTCAGCCTGTCATATGAGAAATTACATTAGAGTTCACAATCAAATGTTGAGGAGTGATTGAGATCCCAAAAGCGTGCACAGTGAGATGACGACTTGACCTCCATGTTTCCACTATCACCACTTCATGTCCCTCATTTGATATGTGTACAATTACACATACCTTTATTGTGAAGGATAATTGTCTAACAGTCGCATAAGGTTTCTGTAGAATTTATCTTTCATGGATAAGGCATGTCTGTTTTAATAATACAATTTTTTTGTCATTTTATACTATACTTACTAGAATCTAGGTCGACCTCTAAATGTCCGAAGCCCGGAAAAAACAACAAAACAAACCTACCTTTATTATTGGACGAACGAAACAGCAAAGACAGAGTTTACAAAGAGAAAAGCATTTATTGAACATGAAGATTAAACAAAACAGTTGGTTCGTGATGCAAATAACTTGAGAAGCACAAACACTGGTCCTGTTGTGTGTGTTTCTTTGTCGTTATTTTTTTCACGCTGCTTGCATCAGAAATATGCTGTGTTTGTCAATACCGCGCTCGTTCCGAGTGGTCGCTGACTTCTTCGTCACTGTCTGCAAACAGTGCACCATCCTCAGTGCCATCAAGGGCATTGTATATGCCGCATTTTATAAAAGAGTGCACAATCAAGTTCCTGGGTTGTTGTCCCATGCTGCAGCTTCTCCAGCGAAGCACATTTTCTTCGTCCACTCCAAAGTCCAACCCGACTTGAATGTGGACGACGACTTCGCGACTTGGAGCAACTTTCCTTTTATTTTCCTTTTATTTTATTTTATTTTTTCCTTTTTTTTTAGCAGCACTGTAATGAGCTTGAGCTGTTAGGCACTATTGAGCTACGCCACACACAAAGCACTAGAAGCACGACTTGAAATGACTAACGACTCTCCTCAACACTCGCCACTAAGATCAAAATGACAGCCTCATGTGTGTACTTAAGCCAGGTGTTGGCTTGGCTACTACTGGCTATAATTCTGTCTCGCTGGTGCCAGTTGTGCACTATTTTGTTCAATGAAAAATGTTGAGTTTTTCGAAATTCTTGAATCTAAGTCGACCCTGGAGTTTGATGCAAAGAAATTAGGAAAAACCTATAGGCCTAGACTCGAATAAATACGATAGTCACTCCATAAAATTACAAAAATGGAAATTACTATATCTTTCTTAAATAGATTTCAAGTCAGCATTAAAAAAAATTGCAAAGAATGGAAGTACAATATCTTTCTTAAATAGATTTCAAGTCAGCACTAGAAAAAATTTACCTGAACATGAAAATTTAACCCTGTCATTAATCCCGCTAAAATAGGGAGGCAATTGCCAGGCAGATTCCAAAGGCTGACATATAGGCCACTTGAAACGTACCACGACAGCACGGACAATTTAGGGTATGCCCTTTTAGTGCACCAGCGAATGCCGGTTGTAGTACAAAGACCGAGAGAGAGCTAAGAGTCGACAGACGACATCACACCAGACATGCACACTCGGTAGGTATCAATCTCAATATAAGTCACAATATGACTTAGATTGTGTTTCAAACAACCTGGAACAATCAAATTGCGCTCTCAATGAAGTGTCATACACCACAAACAATTCAAGAACACTTAGTCGAATATTTAGCAAACGTATCCAGTCCACATTACTCACAATGCATCTCGAGTATTTCTCTTCCAGGAAACACTCGCACACACTCCCGCAATGATCGTCGTTGTTCCGATCTGTTGTTGGCCTGTCTCCTCAGCGACACTTTTCAAAACTTTCACCGTTCTCTCGCCATCATCACTTTATTCTTTCACATCAACTGACTGCACTTTATCAAGACACCTTCCTCACTGGCTTCCCCACTATCTTTCGCCATACTTGCTCACTATTCTGACACTCTGTCGCCACCTGCTTATGTTCCCTGGCTCTTGGATTTGTTCATATCTCACGTGATTTATCTGTGTATAGCGCAGCCAAAGCTAAGAAAAGGGCTGAGATCCTTTTGTCCGGTTCTACTCGTGGCTTTACTTCGCATTGCATCATACTTTGTTTTGCGATGTTTCGAGACTGCGCCCAGCGTTTGACGCGAGACTAGTACGTGGCAGCATCCTGTGGCAGGCCACGGTGACTACTCAGCTCATGATGCTCAAATCAGCCAACGGCAGAGGACATGTGTATATGGCGCAGAAATTTGGGTATATGACATCATTTATAGAGAGGAGGAGCATTTTTAGCTGACTTTGAGAAATCATTGTAAATTCTAGTCAGGGTGCTGCGCCATAATGTTTTGCTTGCACGTTCTCAGGAGCCTTGACTACCGATCAACAGCGTTTTCTGACCATGCTAGGAACTGAGAGAGTGTTCCAGGGCCCCTTTAAAATATTATTGGGGTTTTTTAGAATATATGCAGGATGTATTTACCTAGTAAAATAGTGACAATTCAAGGAGGCTGACCAACCCAATTGTATGCCAGTTAACTTTTTCTGGCTCCTTATCTCCGTTTACTTCATCTCTTGGTAAGTATGTTTTGCACTGTTATCAGCCTTTATAAGAATGAGGCTTCGATATGGTGGGCTCTTTATACATTTATTGTGCACTTGAGATTGCCAGTCACTGGTTACATTCTTTAAGTTTGTCTTTATATGTGCAAGTAAACACAGTTCAAACATACCAAGGGCAAAATAGAGAATTATAGGGGACCCAGCATTGCGTTGGCCCTGATGTCCCCTGAAACTGGGCCTATAAAATGTGTGTGGTGTGTTGTTTCCATCAAACCTAGTGGATGAATTGAGTGAGTATATACTGATGGCTGTCACTTCTGCAGTATCCTGGATGACCTGGAGTTATATGAGCAGCAGCGACCTTTCACCCTGGATGACCTGGTGGCCATCTCAACATTCCTCAACACCTTTGTCTTCCGCCTTGTCTGGAATGGACTCATTGGTGGGAGTGGCGCTTATTCTCGCTTTCATTTCTGGTCAATATTGGGCCAGAGGGCATTTTAAAAATGTTCTAGTTGGAAAAAGGCAGAGAGAGAATATGAGCCATTAGCAAAACTCTAGGGAAGACGTTTCTCACGGTGAAAGTCGGTGATAATGTGTCTTTGCCGTCATAATAATATCTAGGATTTTATGTCCGAAATCACGAAATGATTACGAGGAATGTTGTTGTGTTGGGCTCCAAAAATTTTGACCACACACATCACACAGTGCACAGGTTTCTAGCATTTCGTCTCCGTCAAAATACGACCGCTGCAACTGGGATCGAACTCGCATCCTTTAGGTCGGCAGCTGAGCACCGTAGCTGCTACGCCATTGTGGCAGACAATGTGTCTGCTCTCGCCACTAACTCTGAATATTTACAAATGTAACACTGTCACAGTGCAACCATGGGTTCCCATGCACTCCAGAATAACTGGTCAGGCAGATACTCTTTGTCTAGTAATTTACTACTGTCTGTTTATTTATCATTGCAATAACAATATATGGGCACTCTCAGGAGGTTTTCGCAGTTGGTATTGGTATATCCATCCTTTTTTATATTGTAAAGTTCAAATTTATAACATTACTGTGCATCGGATGTTCTACCTGCGAGTAAAAGCTCGCGAGTTCTGGGGACGAAACGCGGCTGAAGCAGAGATAAACTGAGCCAGCCATCTCCATCCCCCAGAGGCTGCATTCAATAACGTCACCCCCATGTGTGAGCCCTGTTGTCAATTGCTCCTCAAGCAGAGAGAAAATGTCACGCCCATTTTTTGCAAGGAGCATGAAGGGTGTGCCAGTGAAGTGTTGTGCTGCGACTCTTGAAGGGCGCGGTCGCAAGCGCTGTTTTGGCATACTTCAGGAAATGGCTCGTACAGCCTTCTATATGCTGTGTGGAGTCAGCTCCATGCAATGCCTTGCGTGAAGATGACAGACCGCAGAAAAACCGCTTCTCTCTCTAGAGCGTCCAAATGCTCTTACACCAGCGTTCTGAAGAGTAATGCGAGATCACATCCAAAAGAGTTCGCTGCTATCAGTACTTCATGTGACATGACAATTTGTTGCTATTGCATTCATTGATTCAGTTTCAAGCAAAACAGTGCGTTTCTTTATTCCTTCAATGCAGTGGTCAGAGTAACAGCCTGTCATTGTAGTCGCAGAGGCGCAGCCAAGGAAGGCATTGGGGTAGTTTAAGCCCCTCGCCCCCTAATTCAAGCCCCCCGACCCCCTATTTGGCTACACTCCGGGCTCGTAGTCAAAAGTACTCGTGAAATTGTGCAAGGCTACTGTTTATCCTTGCGAGCTTCATTTTTTGTGCTCGCTGTGTCACCTGGAACAGCTACAGCCTTTGTGAACTTCTTTATAAAGCTCTATTGTTTCTGCCTGTGCAGATTTGAAGACGGTGAATACCAACCAGCTGTTCTGCTCATGTCACACGTTACTGATGTTGCTGTACAAACGGGACTGTCGGCGCAGTTACACTCCGCCGGACCACTGGCTCATCAAGTAGGTGCCACTTGAGCGACAGAGCACGTCCTGGCGTGCTTACTGTTCGTGAGCACAATATGCCTGTGGACTCCATGTCCATCACTTTACTGCTCGTGGATGTGGAATCATTGTCATCTTGTTTAGCCTGTGCTGCAGAAGTTCTTTTTCCAGCATTTGAAACTACTCAAATGAAATAATTATGTGAAAACGTCTTCAACACATTTCGTTGACTGGCTAGTTAGTGCTTGTCGACAGCGAAACCACATGACATGGGACATACAGGACATGGTGCCCCATTCTCTCATCTTTTTTGTGTCATTTTGTTGGCTAAAAGCTGTTAAGAACAACTATGTAGCGAAAATGACCAGGCAAAAAGTTTCAAAGGAATCTGGCCACCTTGTACACAAGGCAGCTGTGTTGTAGTTAAAAAGTTGTTGGTTTCGTACTTGTTGGGCTTTGCAACCATCTATTCAAGGGATATCTGCATTGCTGTGCAGCTAGACTTTCAGGTTAAGTTTGGATGTGAACTGCACCTCGATCGATCTTTTATGAGGAGGTCCCGCCTGCGGTTTGTAACCTTGGGACCTCCCCCTGCATTATTACCTGCAAAGTATTGCATTTTTGACGCCACTAATCAAATTAATTGACTGATTAATTGATTGACTGAAAAGGCAGTGTAAAAACATATTGTGTACATAATGCATTGTAGCATACTACAACACACAAAAAGACACTCATCAACCACTCGCACAATGAAATTCACATCCAGGACCCATGATTATGTGGGTGTTACGTGAGGGGGTCAGAAAAATCCGTGTATTTAGAAATAATCTGGACCTTCCTACTGCTGCGTGCCTTGTAACAATGTGAGAGCTTTGCTGATCTCCAATTGTTGTAGTTTAGTTAATCTCCATTGGCTTTTGCAGGGACGTCAAGGTGAGCACGTTCATGAGTGACCTCGAGAAGGGCAAGAAGGCAGCGCAGGTCCTGCTGCAGAAGGTGCCCCACATCATTCCGCACAAGAGGTCAGAGCTTGTTTGGAATGGCACGTTTTGAGCATTCATTTCGTTGGCTTCATTGAGATTGTCTTGCCTTTTTGTTGTAACAATACCTCGTTGCCTATACAAGAATTGAGCATAGCACTGATAACTTTCTCGAGTGTAGTTGCCGTACTGTGTTGGCTATTGGGAAGGTGGTGGCACTCAGCACGATGTCAAGTTTGCTCATATGGCGTACTGTCATCAAGCAAACAAATTTTTTCTTTCGCTGTAGAAATTGCAAGAAGTTTTTTTAATGACACTTTCTTCTGAAACTGTTGCCTCTATGGGTTAATAAAATGTTTGCACTTGCATACCTCTGTTATGTTGAAGTTAACGTGGACCACCAGTAATTGAAAGTATCTGAAGTTTTCAGTTGCATGAAACCGAACAACTGTTGCTAATTTGATTTGTTGGGTAATAAGAAAGGAATCCTTTATTTATTATAAATAATGTCTCTGTCACTAATTTGATTTGTTGGGTAATAAGAAAGGAATCCTTTATTTATTATAAATAATGTCTCTGTCACTTCGTGAATGGTAACTTTTATAATGTTGAGCACTTTTGAGATGCACGATCAATGGTGCAAGCCTTAAAAGATAATCTTGTTGAATACAAAGTGGGATTTAATGCCATCACCACATGGCACTTTTGATTGCGATCAGACTTGGGGTCTGGGTCGGTTTCCTTGATTGCAATCAACGATCGTCGCTGTAGTGCAGTCCAAATTTATCCGTATCAAGTGTGACGTAAGCGTTGATCAAATTGCGATCTGGGATCCAGATGTAACTATATAGGACCATGTAGAAGCACCTGATCTGGATCGAGCTTAGTCCAGATTGGCGATCAGTACTTTCAAAATTATGAAGTATTCAAAACAAACAACTTGACACTTTTTAGCACGTGTAGCCTGCTGAAAAGGTGGTTTCGCTGCAGTGCAGGGTGGTTATACTGTGAAACCATCTAATCAAGGGACATTAGCATCCTTGAGCAACGGCATCAGCAACGGCATCCTGACCCATTTTTTTTAATATATTGCACAGCCTTATAGGATGTAAACAATGGAAATTTTAAGCCCAAAACACATATTACTGCTTATAAGTGACATCCTTCTGTTATTCAAATACTGCTAGTATGAAGCTGATTGATTGGACTACTGCACGAGTTGGTGCAGATTCACTGAGGCTAACAGCACGATTAATGCGGATGAAGACGAGAAGTGGACACTGCACAGCACTCTTCCGTGTGTATTCAAATTCAATTGAGAAATTTTTCTAGACTGACCATCGTTTGTTCTGACTACTTCGATCTAAGATTCAGTGTTTATTCAGTGTTTATTCAATCAACGTAATACAAAAAACATGGTTACAAAAGTATTTGGACCATTAGCCTGTGTGGCTAGTCAGTGGTCCAATCTATTACATGATTATTTTATTACATGTCAGGAGCAGAGGTGCAGTTAATATGATTATGAATCTATACACAAATTCAATGACAGGGTAGCTTTTAAGGTATATTTTATCGAATTAAATACACATGACAATAAATGCTAAATTGCTGCAAATACTTTAGTACACAAGTGATAAAGAACTAAAGGCATACATTGTAACAATACAGAAGATAGTGATACCACAAAATATTTAGCACAATTTGTGCACAAAATTAACTGCGTTGAAGAAATCAATACAATCGAACTCACTTCAGAATTAGAAACAAAAAGAAGGAAAGAAAAAGAACTATGCCAGATGAGTCGTAAAAAAGTGTGGACGTGAGCTTAACTTTGGTTAAGAACATGAAAAACTTACAAAATGCATTTTACAAGTGAATTTAAAGTTGCGGGCAAGTTTCATTTCAAGTGGAATTGTGTTCCAGATTTTAACACCAGTGAATTGTATTAACCGTTCGCCATATACATTCCTACAAGTAGGGAGGTTGAAGTTGCCGTTGCCTGCATGCCTTGTGTTACGGGGTCGGTGTAGAAAACGCACTCACAGGTAGTGGAAAATTGGTGTTAATGATAGAATTTATCAAAACCGCGGTTTTATAATTTCGCTGAGACGTGAAAGGCAGTATCTGAGTAGATGAAAACAAATCTGAGCTTGGGCAACAAGAGGACGATGCCGTAATAATTCTTAAGGCGCGTTTTTGCAATCGTATGATCGGTGCTATATACGTTAGATAAGTAAAGCCCCATATTTCGCTACAATAACTGAGTTGAGAGTGAAATATAGAGAAGTATAATGATCGTAGCACGTTATATGGAAAGTAACATTTGGCTTTAATGAGCGTGAAGCATGCGAAAGCAAGCTTTTTGGATATGTAATTAACCTCATCTTTCCAATTCAGGTTTTCATCTATTAGAACTCCTAAGTATTTAAACGCGGAAACGCGCTCAATGGGCGCGTCGTTAATTTCTAAGTCCAGCTGACTATAATCGAGGTTTTTTCTTCTGGAATGAAATATGATATATTTAGTTTTGGCTACATTTAATGCGAGCTTGTTGTGGGCGAACCATGCGGAAATCTGTGCCAACTCTGCCGTGATTTCTTCTTTTAGCGTGCACAGAGAGTTACCTCGAAAAAGCAATGCAGTGTCATCAGCGTACATTATGGTTTTGCGTGAAAGTGCAGATGGTAGGTCATTTATGTATAGTGAAAACAACATAGGACCTAGCACGGTTCCCTGGGGTATTCCACATGTTATTTTTCTAAATCCTGAAGATATACGGTCAAACACGACGCATTGTTTTCTATCTGCCAGATAACTAGAAAATAACCGAAGTGTCTTCTCGGTGAAGCCATAATAAGATTCTAATTTCTTTAATAAAATGGAATGCGAAACAGTATCGAATGCTTTTTTTATATCCAAGAAAACGCTGACGGCGATTTCGTTATCATGAAGTACTGAGTTGACGAACTGTGCTAGTGTAAAAACAGCTGTGCTCGTTGACCTATTTGTGATGAAACCATGTTGTTCAGGGCAGATTATGTCGTTTGAGCTTAGAAATCGACAGAGACGGGACCTAATTACCTTTTCAAAAAGCGTGTTAACAATGCTGAGCACCGAGATGGGACAGTAACTGCTGGGATTTTCTCGATCCCCGGATTTGTAAATAGGTACGACTCTCGCTATCTTTAGGATATTTGGGTAAGTTCCATTTTGCAGGCAGTTATTCATGATGCGGGAAAGAGGCTCCGAAAGAAGGTCTACATTTACCTTCAGTAGTTTTGTAGTAATCCCATCATGACCAACGGCTTTATTGCATGGGAGTTTTAGGATTTCTGACCTAATTTCCTCAGTGGTTACGCTTGCAAGCTGAAAGTCTTCCTCAAATATTTTGTTTTGGCAGGAATGTAGAGGATCTGCTTGAGATTGAGCAGGAAAGTTGTTACCAACATTGGTAAAAAAATTATTGAAGTTATCAGCGGTATTTGTTGTAGGATTATCCGGAGCAATGCGCTTTTTTTCGCCTATTCCCGTAACTTCACGCACTAGCTTCCATACCTGCTTGATGTCACCGCTCTGTTGGACTATTTTAGCACTGTAATACTGCTTCTTGGCTTTCCTTAACATCCCGACTGATTTGTTTCTGAAGTGTTTAAACTGCTTTTCATAGTATTCATTTGTTTTGTTTTGTTTCCATCTAGTGAAGTATGTATCTTTTTTCTTTATAACATTCAGTATGTCCCGCGTCACCCAAGGACATATTGCTTCCTTGTGTCTTCGGCCTGTGTATTCTTGGGTTGATTGGCTAATTGCCTCCATTATTTGGCAAATAAAGTTTTCCCATTCAGTGTGAACATTACTGTGGTACAAGGCTTCAAAATCCGTACGCTCAAGTAATTTGCGCACTACAGCGTAGTTTGTCCGCTTAACTTGTTTTGAGTTATGGCATGGAGGTCCTAAATTAGCATTAGGCACAAACAGAAAAGTGGGGCAGTGATCAGCAATAGTAACGTCATACACTCCGGCGAAAACACTCATATCAGTTCCACAAATAATATGATCAATAAGTGAGGAACAGTTATCACTTATTCGTGTAGGGGCATTAATAACGTTCATTAGATTATATGACTGGAGCATCAATACATAGTCAGGGTATTCATCTTTAAGTAGATCGACGTTAAAATCACCACATATAACCAGTAGGCGGTTGTAGGCTATCAAAGGGTCTAGGACAGTTTCCATAGTAGAAATGAATGCTGCTACAGACGAGCTAGGTGGACGATAAACAGCTCCGAGTATAACGCCACATTTCAAATGCACAAACAAGGCTTCACATTCAGGTTGGCTAGTAGAGTGGTTAGGCATGCACTGGTAATCGATGCTTTTTTTAAGGAACAGAGCAACGCCCCCACCTCGCGAACTGCTCTTCCTAGGTAGCGATAATAATGTGTATCCTGGAACATGCGCAGATTCTCCATCTTTCAACCAGGTTTCAGTAAGAGCGATAACGTCGTATACAAATGAATGACGCGACAAATGAGCGCAGAATTGGTCTAAGTTTCTTCGCGCACTTCGAATATTGCAATGAACAACAGACAAGTTTTCGTACTCATGCCAAACTTGGTCGATACTTGAAAAATCAAACATCATTGCTCAGGAAATTTGCGATAGATCTTCTGCGCATGTTATGTGCAATACTCGCGAATTTTCTGTCTTTCTCATGAGAATTTTTCCGCCGGATACCCAAGTGAATTTCCAGTTATTTTCGCGCTTCGCCTTTAATGCCTTGCCCAGCAGTACCTTGTTAGCTGGACATAGGTGGTCATTAATATAGAGCGGGGTGGAACCTTCAAAGCCTATGATTGCAGTGGTCAATCTTTGCTTCTTCGTGGCATTCATGAACTTATCTCTGGGGATGCGGGAGATGAACTTAGCAATGATGTTCGATTGTGACTTTTCCCTGGTTGGAACACGATGTACAACCTCGAGATCAGATTCATTTATATCCACTTTCAAATAGGTTGATATGCTCTTGATCACTGCTACAAGGTTCTCTTTTTCTTGCACGGGGACACCTTTAATTTCCACATTGTTACGTCGGCTGTACTGTTGTAGCTCTGTTAGCTCTTTTCTTGTTTCCTTTAGCTCAGTCGTGAGCCTGCTGAAGTCATTCTTGATTGCCCTGTTTTCCGTTCTGACGATTGCAATTTCATTTTTCAAGTCACCGATTTCCGATTTAAATTCCTCAAATTGCTTATTAATGAATTCCATTGCTTCTTTGAGGGGTTTGAGCTCTTTTTCAATTAGCTTAGGCAGCTCTTTCTTTAGTGCAGCATGCTTATGCTCAATTGACTGTCTTATCGGTTGTATCTCTACTTCAATTATTGCCTTTAAATCTTCCTTCAGTTGGTCATTTTTAGCATCAAGTCGAGCACTCAAGTCCGCTAGTGCTACGTTAAGTTCCTTGACGGTTGTGGGAGTTTTGTTACTCATATCTCTGGCAGCAAAAAAAAAAAGAAAGAAAGAAAAAAGAAAAACGCGGAGCAGTTTAGACAACACTAATTCTTAGGTTTTAGGCGTGAAACAAACGTAGCTTGTACGCACCTGCAGATACAGAAGAGACGATTAGTTGTTGCGCGACCCAGCGGCTGCCTGGACTGCTCCGAACAAAATGCCGGCTTTCTTTCGATGAACTGGCTTTATAGCCCATCCATGACGTCGACCACGGCGAGGGACGCAGGCGCAGTCGATTCGGTCATCGAGGGCGTATACTTTTAGCTGATCCGTTTTCAGAACCAGCAGATTCCACCGGTCCGCGAAGCAGCACACTCGTTGAAAAGCCCAGATTGCGGTCAACTCCGATGTGCTGAACCAGTAGCGGTAGATACCGTTGTGCTGCAGATACAGAAGAGACGATTAGTTGTTGCGCGACCCAGCGGCTGCCTGGACTGCTCCGAACAAAATGCCGGCTTTCTTTCGATGAACTGGCTTTATAGCCCATCCATGACGTCGACCACGGCGAGGGACGCAGGCGCAGTCGATTCGGTCATCGAGGGCGTATACTTTTAGCTGATCCGTTTTCAGAACCAGCAGATTCCACCGGTCCGCGAAGCAGCACACTCGTTGAAAAGCCCAGATTGCGGTCAACTCCGATGTGCTGAACCAGTAGCGGTAGATACCGTTGTGCTGCAGATACAGAAGACACGATTAGTTGTTGCGCGACCCAGCGGCTGCCTGGACTGCTCCGAACAAAATCGATAGTGGTGCTTACACAGACCTAGCAATTTCTTTCTTTTTTTATCATTACATTGTTTGAACACGCTGAAAAGGGACTTTATGTGTTTGCCTCAGTAGAATGTTGGCTCATGCTGAACTTCTTGTGAATGTGCATGCAGAGGGTGGTCCTATTCCGAAAATACGTGACCAACGAGAAGACTGTGCTGGGCCTGACCGAGTCTGCGTGTGCGCTTTCCCAGTCCACGCTCATCACCGTGCACAGGACACGCATTGTTGAGGTTAGTAGGCCACAGTTCGCTATGCATGCTTGAGCCACAAAGACCTTGCTTGCCTCATCTTTTAGCATTGTCATGGTTGTTGGTGTTGATGCATGCCTGAACTGTGGCTTGTCTGTTAGTACACTCACACCTCGATACAAGGAACTTGGATATAACAAAATACTGGTTATAACATAGTAAATGAAAAATAGCCTTGCAATACATGTAGTATTAAGAATATATACATGTAGAAGAATATTTATCTGTGTTGTTGTTTTTATGTTTTTATCAGGAAAGACAGTCAGTGTGCCTTTGTAGACACTTTTTAAGTTTTTCAGGTATAGAAATTTAAAAATGATAATTTAGAGAATGAAAAATGTATAAAACACTTGAAGTCAGACATAACGAGGCAAGCAAGTTGCTTTCGTATCCAGGTATACTGTGAACTGTTATCTGTATTCTTTATTCTTGTTTTCTTTTCGCCTCTCAGGATGGTTATCAGCAGTTGGCCATGTTGCCCACGCAAGGTCTCAAAGGTGTCATCAGGGTGCGCTTCATCAATGAACAGGTCAGTAGCAGAGCAAACATGCATTAAAAAAAAAAAGGACTCCGTAGGACACTTTTCCTCAATCCGATATTGTGCCTATATTAATTATGAATGTAGGATAATTATAGTGAATATATGGTAATGTATTTAATGACATCAGAGCTCTCGGAGGGGAACTTATCAGTCTCAACTGATTTATTGTTACACTGTAGCATCCTTTTATGAGAGTGCTTCTGCCCTTGCATCTCAAGTTTTTGGGGACTATCTTTTTTTTTAGTGTTCCAGGCACTTTTGTACCTTATCCTGCCAGCAGCAGTCTAATTATAAAGAGCAAAAAAAGAGAGACAGAGAAGAAAAAGAACAAACTGCTCAAAATGCCTGTTACAAAATAAATAACCACAATGACCCATGATCCACAGTAACCTTGTGTATTAATTCTTAGCGTGGTTGTGCCCTCTCTTATTTATTTCATGCATTATGTGTACAGTATGCTTCTTATTGACTGCTGTGAAGCTTTCCGGTCTATCAGGTGGCCAGGTTCCCCTCAAGCTGCTCAATGCAATTTTTTTTCCCTAGTCATCCTTGCAACTTTGTTGTAAATAAACTCAGTTCAATCAAAACAATTTTTTTTTAGTACGATACCAGCATGCAAGTGTAACAGCTGCTGCAGTACACTGCTCTGAATTTGATTGCGACAATGCCAAGTACATTTTTGCACTGATGTATATAGACCGCTTATAATGCAAGTCGCGGGAGTCGGGGTATCAGCACTATCAGCGGTAACACACTATAACCAAAACAGTTTACCTTTTTCAAGGGCTGCACTCACGCAAAATGTGTTGAACATGCAGCTTCGCATGTTTGAAAATAGAAACGTGTGATGCATGGTTGCTAACATTTAAATTTCCGAATGTCGAAAGAATTTAACGTCCAAAAACAGGCGTTGCCAATGAAATGAATGTGAAATGGTGAGGGGGGGGGGGGGGGGGCATGGTTTAACGAATGAAAGCACCATTGCGGAAATTCGCCGACTACTAGATCACCTGGATTATGCACATTACACAGAAACTATGTCGAATCACTTCCAGAATTTCACGCGTTGAAAGACGCCAACCGTTCGATTTAATGGGCGCACACTCCATTTAAGATTTAAGACATCCCAATTGAATCGTGAACCACTATTTGAGCGCTACAGGTGCCACCCTCATTTTCATTAACGATATGTATCCCTTCCCGTCAAGTGCGACCACCGCAAAGAGTTTCGTTGATTTGGTACCATACCGCAACTTAGATTCGCGCGACCGCTACCGACTGAAGCGCAACCAACTCCGATTAGGCCTAGCTTGCAGATTGGTATTTTGTCGCAGAAAGTTTGTCTAAAATACGAAGATTCGGCATCAAAAAGATCGCACTAGTAGTGAACCAAGAACAGCGTGCGTGATACGAAGTTCGCGTTCGTGGCCGGGAGATCAGCAACGATGCCAACTCGCTAAGCTTACCTACGACAGCACACTGGCAGCAAAAGTGAAAGCTCGTGTCATGAAACCGTAAAAGGTTTTCAGTTTACTGACGAGGAAGCAAATGTAGATATTTGTTGCTAGCTCGATAACAGGGACGTCTTTCCTGACAGGAAACAGTTAAGCGCATGCAGTTGATAAGGACAGGATCGCACGTGCCACAATGAGCGGTGCGCAGTCGAAGCCATGCTAGCGGCGTGGTACGCTGTAGCCGCCTCGATGCCGGTGCCAAGGCTTATCGGTCACTGAGGCAATCGTCCACCTCCCTTACTCGGCGAACTCGCGCAGTGTCGCGCGTGCTTTTTTTTTTCATTTTTTTCTTCTCTTCGCTTTACATTCGTTCACTCCATGTCCCCTCCTCCTCCGTAACGACCTCGTCGTTCACTCCCCAGCGGCGCACCCAGCGCGCGCCTCCTTATGGAAGCACACTCGCTACCGCATTTGTCACAAACAATTTCCGGCAAACGCATTATAACTGGTATTTCATCTTGTGGGACTGCACAATTAGCGGTATGCGTATACGTGGGGTTATATGGGAGGGTAAACAGGAGTAGAAAAAGACCACATTGTAAGCAGTTCTGCACTATAAGCGATCACCTTATAAGTGGCCTACACTGCATTGTATTTACACGCATAATTTGGGCACTTCTTTTCACGATCTTGGGGCTCTGAGAAGAGGGTGTGCAAATTATGCGGGGATTTCCCGAACGCACACGAAATAATGGGCGATAGTCCTGATGCGTGCAGCATACACATTAAAGAAAATTAAATAAATTGGAGCGTGGATAAGGTAGTATACTTGTTTATTTAACAAAATTAGCATGTACTTTAACCAGTCAGATTCGGTCAGGTCGGTCTACTCGAAATCATCAATCAAGAGTTCCGATTGAGAATCATCGTTGCAGCCGTTGTCACCGCCCTCCCAAAGAGCATCGCCTTCGGTCCTGTCCAGCGCATCTGAATTTTTCATTTTCTTGAAGCTCTTTAGCAATGCTGGAAGAAACTAGGTTTCACAACATGTTGATCCTGGAGGACGTGAGCTTTCGCACATAATTGACAAGGCCTTCTTCAGCGGAAAGAAACTTGTATCAAGAAGTACACACATTTTTGTGCTTTCTCCCGTCCCGATTGCGCCTGTCGTCACACATCGTAACAACGTTATGAAGTTTTCTTTAGAAAACTTCACGACGGCGAGCTTGAATTTCGCCATATATATAATTACTGTAGCCCTTTGTAAGCGAACACTAAGAACACGACGAATCAATGGGGAAACCTAAACTTTCTTAATCAACCAAGCTTGCGTTGCAGCGCGGATGCAGGAAACTAGGGGAGCTGTTGGCGCAGCAGGCCCAACAGGCCCTCACACACCTTCGGTGCCGAAAGTTAGTGCCGTGACGTGAACGTGCATTCTCACAATGGTAGAGATGGAGAGATAGAAGGAGGCAAATGCTCGAGCAGCTTCGGCGATCTGTAAACAGTTTTGAGTGTTCTTGCACGGTATTCTGTGGAACCCTAGCTTGGGGCAAGTCCTCGGAAGAAGGGACTACGCACTTGCAACCCATTTGGCTGCCCTTGCTTGATCGGCAGGCCGCCTGTCCTAAGATCCAAAGTCTCTCCGTGCGCGCGCTGGCGAGTTGGCTCGGTCAGATCGGGGAGCGCAATGAGTAAATTTTTTTTGTCGTAAAGCTGACAAAATACTGGGGGCCCACGAACTATGCAAGTAAGTATGGCAAAAATCATTAAATTGTTATCAGCCTGCTATGTATCTAGGTCAGAGAAAGGGTAGAACCAAATGTGCCGCTACTATACAGGTGATTCGAAGGCTGAGATGGGAAGCACAACAGTGCATTGCCTTTTGAAAGCAAAAAAAGTGTGCAGGCACCAAGGAATGGCACACATTCCACTGTGGTCGTGGCTGGCATCATGGTGACCATGAAAGCTGAAGAAGCCAGGTGACCAGAACTCCACCTGGTGTAGATTTAAGTTGTCGGAGTGCTTCAGAGTGCTTTAAGGGGAAGCTTGCTTCTCTGAATGGGCTTACCACATTTGTTAAGAGGCATTGGTTACCAAGAGTTGAACTTAATACATGTCACTAGAGCACTCTAGAACATATGAAAACAACCACTCAGATCTTCCATGAGCATGGTGTAGTGTTTAATGTAGTTTTTCACCTTGGATAAATCAAATGTTGCTAATGTAGTCTGAGCTGAAGATGCAAGGATGCGTTGTAATCATTCTCAAATTATTAGTTCAGTAGAAGTTTAATGATATGAATTGAGCTAATACAAAATTCGAGCTCATACAAATCCGATAAATCCTCTGTCCGAATTTCGTTGTATTGATTGGACCGAAATTCAGATGATTGAATTGATTTTGATTGATTTGTGGGGTTTAACGTCCCAAAACCACTATATGATTATGAGAGACGCCGTAGTGGAGGGCTCCGGAAATTTAGACCACCTGGGGTTCTTTAACGTGCACCCAAATCTGAGCACATGGGCCTACAACATTTCCGCCTCCATCGAAAATGCAGCCGCCGCAGCCGGGATTCGAACCCGCGCCCTGCGGGTCAGCAGCCGAGTACCTTAGCCACTAGACCACCGCGGCAGGTCATAGATGATTGAAACATTTCTCCGCATTGAGACTGGCGACACAATCTTGGGTGCTGAAACTGTCATGCGACGGCTGAAAGGAGCTTGGTCTCGATGTATTGTCCCTATGTGCGTGCCCAGTGCATATAACTGCATTTGCTACCAGCAGCAAAACTCCAAAAATACATGTCCGTCGTATGCTCACTGAGAGCTAAAGTTGCTTGTGGCAACCGTAGCGGACACAACCACGACATAATAGAGCTGTGCGAATAGTAAATTTTAAGTTTGAAGTGAACTCGAAGCCAATTCAAAGTGATTAATTCGTTAAAATAATTATACGTCAAATTCAATAGTCTATCTTGTATAGTATGTATAAAAGTGGCTATATTTGTCATGACCCAACTAACCTGTAGAGTACAATTGAGCCCACATATAACGGCCCCACTTAAACGAACTTTCGCTTAAGACGAACATTATCCGCGTGACCATGAACATATACATTGGTTCAATGGCACAGAATTATTATCATTTTTTTTATTTTATTCATACTGTTAGCATACATGCCAAAACAGGAGTTGCTCATCTGGCCACACAAATTTCAAAAGTCAATGCAAAAGTGGAACATCTCACAATTTGACACAAAGAAAGCAAAAGCAATGAAAAAAAAAAGTCCAACATTCGATGCGCACCCTGTAGCATAACACGGCAGAACACAGGTGAGCAAGTGAGTGCCTTATCGCAGCTCGGTTCAACATTTGAAACGCACATTCGAAATCTATAACATTGTTACACAGTACAACGTCATTCTGTAACTTATTCCATGTGTCAATAGCGGATACAATAAAAGAATTCTTGAACGATTTTGTGTTATGCTTCAGAGGTTTAATGTGTTTGGTGTGCTTTGTCCGCGAATGCGACGTGTTTAGAGCGAAAATTTTTGTTATCTCTGTTTTGTAGATACCGTGCAATATCTGAAAAAAGAATCTCATGCTGTTGATATTCATTCTTTCGTGCAATGTAAGAATATGAGCCCTAGTTCTTAGACTTGTTACGGACTGCGTTCTACGGTAGGAATTAAAAATAAACCTTAAGGCTCTATTTCGAACCTGTTTACATTCAGCGATATTATTTTGCGTATATGGCTTCCATATCGGGCATGCATATTCTAGCAATGGAAGAATTGCACTTACAACGAACGTCTTCAAGCCCCGCTGATCGGTTACTGCGAACGGAGTCAGCGGTCTGCCGACTTCCCGGGAAACCGATTTCGACCACCGATCAGGCATCAGCAAGGTGCCCATACATTCTTATTGTTAAACGCTGACCCTGCCTCCGCGCCTCTCTAGTTGCCGCTCTTCCCTTGTCCCCCCGCTACTCTGAGCACCCCGCATCGCCAGACAAGGCCAGTGTTTTCACACTGCCACCGATCTTTCGAAGACCGGTCGGCCATCTACCCTGTTTTTGATCGCTGGTACTGTCGTTGGCGTCGCCGGCCTGAAGTAACCGTTCCAATTTGCCAACCCACCGACTCTGATGATTTGTGAATCATTTCGTGTTAAGTACTTGTTCTTGCTCACTTCGCACTTGGCTCAGCATGTCTTCCGCGCACGTACGCGGAACAATGCGCAAAATATGAAGTTCGTGAGGCCACGCGAACCCGCCGGCGCAACAAAACGATTTTTTTGACCACGGCCGTCGATTTTTCGAACACTGCTGCGCGCTCTGATTCAGGTGGCCATGCACTCTTTCCAAGTTTTTCTACGTGCGAGTTTCGCGGACCTTTCAAGCAACCTACCCGACCTGCCTCCTTCCGTGTGTTTTGGTTTTCAAGGTCGTCCTCCCGCCGCATCTTCTCCTCTCTTTATCGCAACTCCTTGCCCTTCTCTCGTAAGTCTGCTCTCCTCTCTTGATCACAACCCCTTCGCTCGTCTCCATTGCTCCGCGACGCCCACCACGCTGGCTCGAATTAGTTTCGTTTTCTGACTGGAAACGGGCCCAGAGCTGTTTCTCGCGTTCTGGCATGTGTGTCGCGTGTACGCGTCTTGCTTGCTCTTGGTGCGCATGTGTGGTCACGACGGTCGACAGAAGGACTAGCAGGTTTTTTTCCTGCTGCTCAACCAAACATCGAAAGTGTGGCCGCTTGGCTTGAGCGTAATCCGCGCATTAGGTGCCGCGTTGCGGAGTGCTTGCTCATAGCTTTTGACCACCTAGCAGCCAACTTGCCGCTATTGCCGCTTCGGGCGTCCCGGTATTCAGCTGGGGAGATGGTGAATATTTCGTGGGCGGCGGTGGTGACTACATGCGCGCGAAACAGTTTTCGCGAGGCCGACTTCGTCGACGTCGGGCTCGATGCCGAGCCTGAAGCTTCCGAACTGCGGCGGCGATTCGTGGCAGCGCGTCGTCGACTCCGACCTGGGAGAGCGAGCGGGACATCTGTTGCGATGGTTTAATTACGGCCGATGATGATGCCGACACTGCGGAACCATGCACGAATTGGGGCATTGTGAATTAAGTACGTGGCGAGAGTGATTTCGAGGAATCGGATTGCGAAAATGACGAAACTTTTGAACCAGTGCCTCATGCAGCTTATGCCACGGGCCTCGGCGAATGAGCACCCTGCCGCTTTAAGTGAGCTCGAGACCGCCCTTATCGCTTCTGCTCTTCGAAACACGTGCATCACGGAATTTTTGGGGCAAAAAGAGTTGTGTTTCACTAAAAACTTTTTTTAAAAGCTGTGTTTCATTTACTACGAACATTGGGATACAGCGAACGGATGCCGCGTCACGCTCGGGTTCGTTATAAGCCGACTCGACTGTATGTGTATTTTTTAAAACTGAAAAAAGACCTCGGCAAATGTTATTCCTTTTGGTTAAAAGAAAGTAGAAGCAACATTGAATAACAGCAGTACGTATTTGACATCTAATAGAATGCAAGTGATAACCTGTATGTTATCTTGCATTATTTAATTTACTATATTTAGATTATATAAGCCCGTATAACAAGCTTTTAAACTTAAAAAATGATGAATCGGTTTGAAGGTAATACGCTCGTTTAACATAAAAGGGGGGGGCTTCATGGCCATGCAGAGTGCCCATGGGTCGGTGTTTTCACGGCTTAGGACCCCTTCAGTGCAGTGGAGCCATCTCTACAGGGAGGTTATACGTGGACTAATATACATTTATTCATTGGTTCGAATGCTTCGAAATTTCCAATAACTTAACTTCGAGTAGTGTAATATTCGTTATAATATTCAAGGCGTTAGAATATTTGCTCAAGCTTACGGCAAATGTGATTTTAGATAGCAACAACTTATTTCTGAAGATACGTGCACAGCCCGCACACACAACTTGAAAATGAAGTACCATTTGGCACAACTGCAGCGCACGAAACTGTACCCATTATATTAATACGGCAAAGCTGATGGAAGTCCAAAAGTGCATGCGCATTAAACACACACAATTAAAATGATGTCGTCTCTTGGAAAGTCCACTGAGAACAAAACTGCGGTAGACATGATCATCAATAGCAACGACATAGTTTTTAATGTACATGTGCAACCAGTGCATATGTATTGAAAATGGAAATATCATTCACTGCAATTGCTGTGAATAAAGCTGCAGTCGCTGTGGATGCGATCATTATTAGCAACTACGCAGTTGAAAAAGCATGTGCCTAAAACAGTGGTAGATTGAAGGCAATAAAGTCCTAAAAAAGCACAAAACATTTGGTGTTCCATTACTGTGTAGCGGGATTTGAGGCACATAGTTTTCTGGCCTTACGTGCACCTTGACGCGCGCATTCGTGGAAGCCAGCTGCACAGTCTCTTATTCGTCTGTTTGCGTGTGTTTTGAAAAGACATACGCGATTTCTTGTTGGATATAAATATTTAGTGCATATGTTGTGGTTTGAGAACGACTTTGGTTGGTATTTCAGTGATACGAATATTCTCGCTCCCCCTTGAGATTCGTGTCACCATGATACTTCTGGATTTGAATTTTATGCTTGTAGTGCTTGTACACGTCCTTTACCTGGACATGTCATAAATGTGTTGGTAATGTTTGCTGCATTATCATTGCTTATAATTAATATACAATGCCTCATTATGTTTATTGCACTGCAGGGACTAGATGAAGCAGGCATTGACCAGGATGGTGTCTTCAAAGAGTTTCTGGAGGAGACGATCAAGAGGGTCTTTGACCCTTCCCTCAATCTGTTCCGGGTAAGTGATGCGTTATCTCGTATTAGTTCACTCGAGCATTCTAATGGCAATGAAATACAAAATAAATATCTGTTTGCTGCTGAGTTTACTTTGAGGCGTTGCTGCGTATTCCCAGTGTTGCATTCAAATACGTTTGTGCAACGAGGTCTTTCGGTATTGCGCAAGCTAGATGCTCTCTGTTGATAAGATCGGTTTGTACAGCCACTTCTGCTTCAGTCTACTTGTGCACCCATCTACGTGTACATGATGTAGCACATGTGCGTGGGCTAGAAAGAAAGCTGGCAACTTTCTTAATCGTGGTCTTATGTTGTGCCTCTTGTACTGAGATGCTGTTGATCTGTAGAATAAAAGTAGTAAGCCACTGCTGTCAAGTTCTTCTGGTTTACGTCCTCCTCAAGTTACAACACACAGAAATATCGACCATCGTGGTTTTAGACCATGTAAGCCACAGGGCCATGCGAGCCGTTGCTTTGCGCATTCTGGCTCATAGCTCCACATCCATTCAGCTTCAGGGTTATGCCATAATTGGGTCAAAGCAGGTCCAAATTGTGTTTTCGCAGTATATTTTGGCCCTTGCTTTGCACGGAATATGGGAAATATGGCTGCGTAAATGGTTAATTTTTTTTCTTAGCTATGCACATTCTACCTTTTCAGCATTATTTCGCTGCTAAAAAACCGTCTCCCTGTTTTTATCTTTGCAGGCCACCTCCGAGCAGCGGCTGTACCCATCGCCAACCTCTTACATTCACGAAAATCACTTGTCCTTATTCGAGTTCGTGGGCAAGATGCTTGGGAAGGCCGTTTACGAGGTGAGGCATTGCGGTGGGCATTTTATTGTTGCTGCAATCGATTAGATGCTCGAGGCACATTCATGTTGTTGCCACCGTCACGCTGCCTTGCTGATGCACGACTGTGCAGAGATTGTTAGAGCGTATGAAAATGCGTGGCTTGTTGGGCTACGGATATGATGAATGTGAAGTAAACGGACTTTCAGCATTATGCTCACTTTGATGGCGGAGCAAAGGAATCATTCACCCTTCTTCCGTAGTTTTCTTCTAATAACCTGGAGAGAACTCCGGCACTCCGATTGTGCATCCATCATGGAAGCAAAGTGTAATACATGAATTCGCTTGAAGTTTCTGCTTGCTGCCTTGAGCACTCTTATGGCATTGCTTGTTGGGTTTTGGTATTTGTTTTGGATAGAAGAATGGACCTATGCAAGCTTTGTGAGCTGATCTGGTTTGGTGAGCCTAAAAAGTTAAGATGGTGAAGTGGAACTGCTGAACGTTTTGCTGAAATTTGTCCGGTGAAAAAGCGGCTCCTATCCACACACAGGGTGTTGAAAGAACAAAGCTTAGTCAAATTTGTGTATTGGCCATATTTGCATATTCGCTGAAGCGCCATGTGTTGCAGCTCCCATTGACTCTGGCGCCATAGTGCTTGCTAGTGTATCATTGGGAAACTGTATGCCTTCTAGCACTTGCGTGCATGTTGTGTGCACACTCTCTAGGTGCTAAACACGAGGGTGAATGTTGACTTTCCACAATAGAGAAAGAAAACAAGGTTGGCAGGGAGCATTGCACAGTGGGTTGAAGAGAAAGAAAAGTAGTACGTAAGGTATATACATGCCATGGAGTGGCTCTGGTGGCAAATCCTGGTAACAGAATGGGTGTTATAGATTCATGTACACTTAAACCTCATTATTGCCTAATTATTTATTATTTATTTATTGAAAAAATCCTTACAGGCCCTTTACAGGGCATTGAGTAAGGGGGGTAATTGGTGAAGTTTTACAGATCACACAAAATAATTCACAAAGCGTATCACAAATAATTCACAAAGCGTATCGGCACAATGAAAGTATGACGCGGATCGTAATATAAGTTGAAGTTAACAGGCGATAACAAGAAAAAAGAAAAAGGCGATTTCATAGTGCACACACGACAGTGGGAACTGAATACAGTCATTAGAGCATATGAAGGCGACATCAACCAAAGATAGCGAGCTGGCTTTACCTCAACGACGTGCCGTTATTTGGTTATAAGTTGCAGAACATACAATAGAAAAAGCACCAAAAAACGCAGAACATATGCCCATACACAGAAAACATTTCCAGTGTGCAACAAACATAATCGGGCACAAAATCCGACACGTGCAGAACAGTGGCAAGTCTATTGTGAGAAGAGAGTAAGCAGCAACTGACGGAAAGAATTATTGTCTGATACAGATGCGATGTTATCTGGAAGACCATTCCACAAACGTATGGCGCGAGGAAGAGCAGATGAGTTGAATGAATCAGTTGCCCCGTATAATCGCTTGAAACTGAAGTGATTATGCAACCTACGTGAAGTAATGGAAGGAACATCGAGGTGGAGTGGGAGGGGTCTGTTGGTGTACACGTATTTGTGAAAGAGGCAAAGAAGGGAAATGTCGCGACGAGTGCTCAGGGGTTGAAGAGAAAGATTGTTTTTAATTTGCGTTATGCTGCTGTGATAGTCATGATTGCGTGAAATGAAACGGGCCGCCCTATTCTGAATAGCCTCAAGCATGTTAATTAAGTAGTTGTGATAAGGGGACCAGATAGGAGCGGCAAATTCAAGCTGGGGACGGACAAAGGTTTGATAGGCTAGTTGACGGACGTGAGCGGGACAGCTATGTAAATTACGGCGTAGATATCCTAAGGACTTGGAGGCTTTCGCGCTAATGGTGGTGATGTGGTGAGACCAGGAGAGATTGGCTGTGAAATGGACACCAAGATACTTATAGGATGATGCCTGTGATAGTGCAGAATTATTGATAGTGTAGTGGAAAGTGTAAACGTTTTGTTTGCGCGTAAAGGAGATTATTTTGCATTTTTCCGTGTTCAGGGACATTAACCATTTGTTACACCAGTCATTAATGCGGTGAAGGTCGCTTTGTAGAGTTAAGTGGTCGTCGGGGGATGATATAGGACGGTAAATTATGCAATCATCTGCGAAAATACGCATGCTGGAAGATATGTTATTTGGCAGATCATTTATATAGATTAAAAACAGTAGGGGGCCGAGGACGCACCCTTGTGGAACGCCAGAAGTTACGTGGGAAAGAGGGGAAGGGGAATTGTTAATTATAGTAAACTGCTGACGAAGTGAAAGAAAGTTGCGAATCCAAGATAGGGTAAGAGAGTCTAATCGGAGGGCAGATAATTTAGAAATCAGACGGCAATGGGCTACGCGATCGAAGGCTTTAGAAAAATCGAGGAAGATACAATCAGTCTGAAGGTTACTGTTCATATTGGAATGCAGCTCGGTTGTTAGTTCTAGCAGCTGTGTTTCGCAAGAAAAACCCTTTCTGAATCCGTGTTGGTTCAGAAAGAAGAAATTATTTGATTCTAAGTGTCGGAAAACATGGGAAGCGATTATGTGTTCAAGAAGTTTGCAGCATATACATGTGAGAGAAATTGGACGGTAACTTTCGGGAAAATGCTTATTACCGGTTTTAAACACAGGCACTATTTTACCAATTTTCCAGTCAGAAGGGAGTTGACCTGTCGCTAAAGATTGCCTGAAAAGGTGATACAAAATGTTAACAGAAACGGAGGCGGTGTTTTTGAGAATTTTAGAATTAATGTCATCGATGCCGGCTGAAGTGGAAAGCTTGAGGTTATTAACTAGTAGAGCAATACCCTCGGCAGTTATTTCTATAAATTCCATGTATGCAATGTCAAGTTCGGGAACGTATGGTACGTCGGAATGGTCTTCCAGGGTGAAAACGGATGAAAAAAATGCGTTAAATGCTGATGAGCAATGACTATCTGAAAGAGGGACATGGTCGTCATCGAGCAAAGATATTTGTTGGCCATGTTGTTGAGGAGAAACAAGTGACCAGAACTTCTTGGAATTTGATTTCAAGAGGGAAGGTAGATCGACAGAATAATATTTAAGTTTAGCAGATTGTACTGACGCGCAGTAGCTTTTCATAAAATTCTTGTATGTCTGCCACGCGGAGGGCGTGTCATGGCGTTTAGCTGTGCGGTATAAACGTTTCTTTTTATTTCTGAGTCGCCTGAGAGATTTCGTAAACCATGGGTTTGTTTTATCGTTTTTCACTTTTACGAGGGGGACATACTGATTAGTTAGTGTGCATAGTTTATCTCGGTACAGCACCCAGTTATCATTTACTGAACGACGGTCGAAAAGGGGTAGGAATGTGTCGTTGTAAAAATTTCGAGTTCAGCATTAAATTGGCTGTAATTGGCCTTACTATAGTCGCGAATATTTTTGTGGTCGGTGCCGGAGAAAGGTAGCGGAATGTTAAGAGTTACTTGGAGGAGGCTGTGGTCGCTAAAACCATCTATGTTAAGAACGGTACCTACTGTTTCAGGAACTGTCGTAAGAATTAGGTCAAGGATGTTAGAGCCGCGCGTAGGTTGGTTTACTATTTGAGATAGGTTAAAATCTAACGCAAGGTTTATAAATTCCGTGGAATTGCGGCAAGAGGAAGACAATTGGATCCAATCTATTTCGGGAAAGTTAAAGTCGCCGAATATGTAGATGGCGTCGGTGCGACATAAATTAGTGGCCTGGGTTATGCTACTGCGCAAGTCGTCTACAAATGAATGGGAACAATCAGGGGGCCGGTAGCAATTGCCGATAAGTAGTGTGGTGAACTTTGTAACACAGGCAACCCAGATCATTTCTAAATCAGAGTGAACATTGATAGCATATGATTGCACAGTCTTTCTTACTGCAAGAAGTACACCTCCGCCACGCTTATTTTTACGGTCATTTCGATATATGTGGAAGTTGTTGCGATCGGGAAAAATTTCGATATCGGAGATATCTGGGTTTAGCCACGTTTCAGTAAGGGCAAGTATGTCGCAGTCGCTGTCATCTAGAAATGAGCAGACTAAATCCCGTTTCGGCACCAGACTGCGGATATTAGTAGATGACAGCGATAGTGTAGGAATGGTATGAAGTGAAGTCACATTGGGATCTTGCAAGGACTTGTTCGATTTTAGCTATCTGCTTGATAGCACAACTGCGTCCGTGTTGATGTCATAGACGTATGTTTTTTTATCAATGTGCAACCTGTCAACTGACACTTTAAAAGCCTTATTTTGGGCTTTGGCAAAGCTCACTAATTTGCGCCTGGCCTGTCGCGTCGCCGGCGAAAAATCTTCGCCGATTGAAAACGTTGAACCTTTTAGTTTCCGTGCAGAAGACAAAATCTGCTGTTTATCTTTGAAGAAGGTTAGTTTTGCAATTATTGGTCTGTTTTTACCCTCGGTGAACCTGCCAAGCCTGTGAACCCGTTCAAACTGTGCACTAGTTGTTGTTATGTCGAGTCGTTCAGAGCAAAAGTTAATTATTTTTGCCTCGGACTGGGCCCAATCTTCTGGTTCGCTATCCTCAATTCCAAAGAAGAGAAGGTTTGACCGCCGCTGCCTATTTTCAGCATTGTCGCATCTAGACGTGATTTCCGTCAGCCGATCCGAAACGTGCAGCAGAGCATTGTCAGTGGGTCCTACTGCGTTATTTCGCAAAGCAAGTGTTGCCTCGAGGGCAGCGATTTTAGCATGGAGTAATTTGATCTCATTTTTAGTAGTCTCGTGCTCGCCACTTAGTCGTTTCAGGTCAGCTGACATCGCGGTGTGATCAGCTTCAAGTTTTCTTATTGTTTCTAATGCCGAAGCAAACGAATCAGCTTCAGTTTTGCTCATTGGTCCCGGATTCGACTCGACGTCACCAGAAAGCATAAGCAATGCCCTCAAGGCATCAGAGCACAACTTATACGGCAAACAAAACACTCGCTTCAGCACATCGCAAAACTCTGGTGGGCACGACACCGCAATGAGACAGGAATGACTACACTTGGTACAGGCAGCACCCCTCATATAACTAACCTGTAACAGCAGTGGTCGTGAGTCACCCATCCCAGATGCGGCGTCGTACCCAAAGTAGGCGGCTGAAGGATGGCGCTTATATACTCCCCAGTTGACGTCATGAGGCGATACGGAAGTTCCGCGTTGCCAGATTGAGGCGCCGATTTCATCCAAGTTAGGCCTCAGAAGGGTTTCGGTAGGCCAAGGAAGAGGCAGGCGGTTGGTGCCAGCCAGTTCGCAGGATCCAGGGACCCAGGAGCAAGCAGCCCAGATGACCGCAGCCTGTAACAGCAGTGGTCGTGAGTCACCCATCCCAGATGCGGCGTCGTACCCAAAGTAGGCGGCTGAAGGATGGCGCTTATATACTTCCCAGTTGACGTCATCATAATCATATGGCGGCTTTGTGATGCAAAACCTCAGATATCATTATTACAAGATGCAAATGTATACGCAATGCCTCTTTTCAGATTGACGGTACTTCATTATAATTGAAAATTCGTTACAAGCGTATATTCGAACCTCAAATCTATTCGAACTCAGAAATAAGGAAAGATAGGTTGTAACAAAGTAAACCTATATAAATAATAGTCTTGCAAGAAATATAATGTTCAGAATAAAGCTTTATAGCGAATTTTCGGATATAATGAACCTATTTTCATGTAAGTAGGCACTTTGAGGTCTGAGTGTAGTTGAGTGACTAGAAGGCACCCTATTTACTCATTGCAGAAGCGTACCATTGCACATTGGCGTAGGACGTCAGGAACTGACAATAAATCAATCATGTGCAGGGCATAGTGGTGGATGTGCCGTTTGCGTCCTTCTTCCTGAGCCAACTGCTAGGTCACCAGCACAGTGCCCTATACAGCTCCATCGACGAGCTGCCCTCTCTAGATGCTGATCTCTACAGGAGCCTAACCTGTGTCAAGGTACTCATGCATTTTATGTACATTAGAACTTTAAAATATGAAATAAGGATGTATGAAACGATTGCACATAGTAAGGACTTCACATGTCACATTAAATATCACTGGTAGTTGTAATACATAAATGCTTAATCAATTTCCTGCTGACTCAATTAAAGTACTGTCTGTCTGTGAAAGAGTTAATTTTTTTTGGCTAGTTGGCGCCCGTAACTGGCCAATTATGGGCAGAAACAGCGCACAAACTCACGGGATGAAGAGAAGAGACACAAACAAGCTCTGCCAATAATGTATCACCAACTAGCCCAACTTTCAGTCTTGCTTCAGTATAACTGGCCAAGACATATTAGCTCAAGAAAGAAAACAGCACAAGGGAGGAGACGAAAACTAGGGCTTTTTTTATTCTCCTTTCTAGTGCTCGTCGTTTTATTCCTTGCGTTAATACAGTCGCCGACCGATTTTCCGGACTCCAAAAATTCGGACTTGTTGGATATTCCGGACTTCATAAATGCACCGTCAGAGATCCCATAGAGCTAATGCATTGTTTCGACCGATTTTTCGGGCGAATTTGCCCCTGAAAGTTCGATTTTTCGGACTAAATCGCTCGTTTTGTGCCACGCCCCAAGTCATTGTGAACGCCGCCATGTTGGATTTTCCGTCGGCTTGGCTAAGCTTGGTCTTCAGATGCCTTTCCTGCCTCCGAGATTGGAATGCGCACGCCATATTTTAAGTTTCGGAGGCCGTGTTTGCTTTTTAAAAGACGCGGTGATGGATGCCGTTTTTTCGTCTTCGGTCAGCGCTATCGTCATCACATCGCACGGGGAGGAGGCGAAAGGATTTTTTTATTGTCATTGCAGCTTTTTTCAGTCGCCATTCTGCACGTGTTGTGTCGCGTAGCGTCGAGACGTTGTGTGCTTCGCAGCGGCTATCTGCGGCATTGAATTTTGTGTTCTCAGTGCCATAGCTCCGCTATCTGTGCCATCGCGGGAGCCAGGTGGTGTGAAGAAGCGTGAGAAGTATACGACCCTGACGATGGGGAAGAAAGCTGCCATAATCAAGCTAATAGAGAGTGGACGTTCGCAGCTAGATGTCGCTGGATGACAACGACGACCGCCCGCAGCCATCGGAGATCGCCAACGCGGTGACAATTTTGTCGAGCGTTTACAGCGACGATGTCACCTTGGCGCAAATACGGGCAAACCAAATTGCCTCCAAGCGTAGTTTGAGGCAAGGAAGCATCGAGGACTTTTTTTAAACCTGCCTGAGGCAATAAACTTCAGATTTTTGGCAAAAACGAACTTTTCGGACTGTTCGATTTTTCGTACTTTTTTTTCGGTCCCCGCCAGGTCCGAAAAATCGGTCGGCGAGTGTATTTATTTTTGTTTCTGTCGTATAACATGACCTCTGCTGTAAAGGAACTAGTGAATAAGACAAAATAAGCCTTCACTCCGGTAATTCAGTTTAGATCGGGCCCTCACTCTTGGAATGCGAGTGTTTTCACTACCACTCTGCGTAGTTATGGTTGCAGAATATGAACATGAGTGACCAACACGAATGCATTGTAGCGGCTGTGCAGCAAAAAAAAAAAGTGTTGCAAAATAGCTTTCTATGAAATCTTTGTTGTTATTCATGAAAGTCGAATATAAGCTAATGTAAAGCCATCAGAAAGGACTTTACATGTCAGGAAAATTCAAAGTCTGCAAACTTTTCAAGTGCCAAATATCAAAAACGTCTTTCAGTACAAAAGATGTTCCAAAAGTGTGGGGAGTTCATCTTCATGTTTATTTATCCTTAGCTTTACTTCCTTGGGCAGCCTTTGGGTGTCCGTACTGTTTTTAATTCCATGCGCACCCTTTTGTTTCCGAAACCAAAGGACCGCACGCACCCCCCCCCCCCCCATGACGAACAAAGCGAAGTTATATGCAACGTCGGCTGCATCTACTGTGATGCCACTTAGATCGGCGAGACGGGGTGATGACGTCAATCCACCTCAAGGAACACGCGAGGGACATTACGAAAGCCACACGTTTAACAAGAGCTAAGACAGAATCAATTGACCATTGCCTGGCGAAAAGACACTTGTTTGAGCTCAATAATGCAAAGACGCTGGCACGAGAGCAACGATGGGGTGGAAGAAAATTTGTGGAATCATATTCATCATAATCAATCTGCATGCAATAGTAATCGTGGCCCTCTGCCGGATGTTTATGGCAAGATATAAGTGTGATGTATTTGCTCATCTGATGCCTTTTGTGTACTGACGATGCCACCCGTACAGCTGGTGCAACGTCTTTTGTTTAGTTTTTTTCTGTTGAGTTAAGCCAGTGATAAAAAAAACTTGAAGAAAGTGTTTCAGTAGTCAAGGAATGCATGTGCTATGGGCCAGCATTCGAGATGCTGTACCATGATAAGTGCTTGAGTGCTGCAGAGATTAAACATTGACACGTATTAGAGAGAACATATAAGACACCGTGCCAATGCCACGTGAAGACAGCGTTCCAGGGATGGCCGCTGCCTGAAGTAAAATGCAGTGCTTTCCGTCACTTCAACTCGCTGATGAGATTCTGCCTGTATTCTTTAATTTTGAATGGAGTTGAATAGTAAATGGTTGTACTAAGCTTGGCCACCTCAAAGCACATGCCCTGCGACGTGCCTGACTGAGAACGTCAAGGTAATTCAATATGTGTCTCTCACTGTGGCCAGTTGTGTCGTGCTAGAAGTCTTCTCCCTGATTCTATAACTTAATCCAACACCAAGTTTGCATGAGAAATTCATTGACGAGGGTGTGTGTTGGTTCCAGCTCACGGCTTCCGTTTACAGATTTTTTTGATCGCAAGCTTTCATCTTCCCCTTCCTGCTGTTTTTTTCTTTTTACCGAGTGTGTGTGATGCTTTAATCTACAAACGTTAAAGTAACATGCTGCCTAATTCTTCAAATGTTGTTGATCTGTTTATATTTGTCCTTGACCTTCTGTTCAATCTCTAGTAGACTTAGTCTCAAAAATTACAATTTGCGACCCCTATTGGCATCATGTACCAGATTTTATCGGTGTATTTTCGTGTAGGACAGGACCTATTTATAACTAGGTTATATTGTACAGGCACTACCGAAGCACAGCAAACTGATGTCTTGACCCTCGTAATGCTTTTAGGCACGAAAACCAGATCTCATTGTGTGAGCAGTGCCTTTCGATGGTCCCTGACCAGCTTTAATTTTCGTGTTCTCGTGGGTCTGTGTGTGCAGCACTATGAAGGGGACGTGCAGGACCTTGACCTGACCTTCTCTCTGAATGAGGACTGCATGGGCAAGTTGGTCACTCACGAGCTGGTGCCAGGCGGCAAGGCCATACCGGTCACGAATGAAAACAAGCAAGTGGCGAATTGCTGCTTATTTATTCATTTTCACGAGGCTTTCGTACTGGGGCTATCTGGTACATTATTCAGTTTACCGCATACTTTGTCCTTGCCCTGTTCAGAGAAAATGTGAAATTAGTTAAAATTCAAGTGAAAAGGAGCAATTTTTCTGAGATGGGTCAGTTTGCTGCTTTGCAGTGGCACGTGCAGAATCGCACAAGTGACTCTGAAAAAGAAAAAAATATATAGTCTTATGGTTGGAACTCCCGAGTAAAACCTGGCATTCTCTTCCAGTATTAGAACGTTCACAGGAAAAGACCGTGGTTTTACCATGTGCCAAGAATGATGACATTTTCAGAGTTCACTATTTACTATTTGAAAATACATCGATACGTGATAGAAGTGTGTCGGCAGACTTTTTGCTAGCAAAGCTATACGACAGCATTTGTACAGCCTTACGTATACAGAAAGCATGTTGAATGTTAGAGGGATCAGCCTGAAAAAAAAAGCCACAGTTTTGCTGCTAGTGCGAAGTGAAGAATGTGATAGCAGTAAATTGGAATAACACATGAAGAATGACAAGCAGCTCGATACATTCAGCACACCTTTGCAGCACAGAGAAGGACGCTCAAAAAAAATGCATAGGTATACGCAAGACAAGTGTGAACTATCGACTGTCAAACTGCATACGTGTTTGTACTTGAGACACGCTGCAAATGTCTGCAATGCAGAAGCCGCCGTTTTATTATTTTTATGTTAAACTGCGGCACGTGGAATGACCCGTCTGCGTCTTTTGCCACGGGGTGGCGTCTAACAGCAAGCGTGCCCAGCGTTCCTTTTCTTTCTTGCACATCATGGGTCGTACAGAATGGGGCCACTGTTTCATGCCCTTCTTAAGGGCAGTTTTCAACCTAAAAGAAAATGTAAAAGCGTTCTTGATAGAGAATGCGCTCAAGCTGTTACGCGATTTCTGTACCGAAGTGGAAAATGGTGCACATGAACAGCTCGCCGTTTTATCACCGGCAGTAGCATGGCGCACGGCTGTGTCGGCTAGCGCAGCTTGCTTAGGAGGGAGGGTTCTCTGATTCGAATCTAGATATTTCTCTTTGTGAAATTTTTTATGCTGACTGATTTTTCGTTATGCCTTTTTTACCTATGTAAGTACACATATACAACTGGGACATGACGGTGATGGCAAAAATCTGCAGAGGCTGTTTGTATAATCGCTACGATGCCTCACAAGCTTCCTGGGTTACTTTATCTAGATGCACAGACAATACCTTTTCTAAAAACTTGTGTTTGCAGCTTTACATTTGCAGCCTCTGACCGCTGAACTTATGCATCTTTATCAGCATAAATCAACAATCACACGAAGAAGAGAAGTGCCTGTCCTAGCGCCTGTCCCGTGTACCTGTCTCTACGTTGTGTGATTGCCCTTTTGCGCTTGTCGAGAGTCATAAGTTCACTTGCCGCCAAGTCACCGAAATCTTCGCATTGAATACTCTGACCTCAGGCATGCTTTGGTGTTTGTGCAAAATCTTTGCATTGAGTATCCTGACCTCTGGCATGGTTTTGTTGTCTGCACAACATCACTGCATTGCATACTCTGACCTTTGTCGTGGTTTGGTGTTTGTGCAGGATCAGCTACATGCACCTGATGGCCCACTTCCGAATGCACTCCCAGATCCAGGAGCAGACAGCAGCTTTTCTGCGTGGCTTCCGGGCCCTCGTGAATCCCGAGTGGCTCACAATGTTCTCGACGCCCGAGCTGCAGCGGCTCATAGCAGGCGACAACACTCCCGTCGACCTGCAGGATCTCAGGTAGCCAGAGTAGCCTGCCATCAAAGTGTCCCTAGTTTAAGGGAGTCCTTAGAACACTTTTGCTCAATTGAAAATCATTATCTCAAATAATAAAGGCTTTTAAATCTTCTTTCTGTTTCACAAGAAATTAAGGATTTAAAGGGATCTTGCCATTGTTCTGGGGTATTTTGTTATGAGCTCTTATAATAGGGCAGTGGCGTCTCTGTGACCACAAGGGACCTTTAGCTGAGCAATACTGGCCGTAAAGTGTGCCAAGAAAAAAAAAAATATTTTGTTCTGTTATAGCTGCGCTCCACAACAATAAGTTTGGCAGTTATACGGTCTGTGGCACATCTGTATTTCTGCACTGCTGCCATATGTATGACTCTTTTAATTCAGTGTGAAGTTGTATAAATCTGAAAAAACTACTGTTATGTTTAATCTTTTGATTACAGTCTTCGTTTTCCAGCTGAAGGAAAATCTTTTTTCTTTCTTTCTTTTCTTTGCTAAACTCATGTTTTGAGCACATTTGTCACCGATTCTACATATTTTTAATTAAATAAGGTACAGCATGCTGCTTGCATTATACGTTATAAATGTAGCTTTTTTGTGCATGTATGAGGGATGGTATTTATATAATTATTTTTAATGAGATAGCAAAAGTGATAAAAGCTGGAGAGTCATAAATCCTAGTACAGTAAAAGCTTGTTGATTTGGAGTTCACAAGACTGGAAAGAATGGCGAATCGGCTTAATGCTGAATTATATAGAGTATCGGGAAACAATAAACAAATGTCTATTACAGTGATATGCTTTCATTTTTTTTTTTTTTCGTGGATATGCAAATCTTGTCCACTGCGGCGGTGTAGAGGTTACGGTGCTCGACTGCTGACCCACAGGTCGCGGGTTCGATTCCGGCCGTGGCGGTCGCATTTCGATGAGAGGCGGAATGGTAGAAATCCGTGTACTGTGCGACGTCGGCGCACATCAAAGAGCACCAGGTGCTCGAGATTTTCGTAGTCTTTCATTATGGTGTCTCTCATAATCATATGGCGGCTTTGTGATGCAAAACTTCAGATATCATTATTACAAGATGCAAATTCACTTCTTATTTCGCATAGGAGCTATGTGATATACTCGGCTCTCATCATCCCACAATTTTCATCACTTTGCCACCGTTGTTCAAAATGCTCATGTCTTAATATGTGTGATGCTTGTTTAGCGCTGCTCCCTTATCACGTACTCATGGTTTATGACTATGTGCTCATATCGATACCTTTTTCACTGGCAAAACTCGCCAGCAGCGCGTTATCGGTCTAATTTGATGTATTAGACCAGTTTTATTGGAGCATGCAGACTAAAACCGAAATGCTCTTCATCTTCAACAGCTGCCGCTATGTTTGAGTTTTGAAACACTGTGTGTGCATTGCATCGAGTTACAACAAAGCTTTTGAATGCCACGTTGCCTATGGAAGCAATCATGGTCACTGACGATGCACATATACCAAGCAGTTCTGAAAGCATGCATGCGGCATGTGCGTACGGAGTGGAAACAAAGCTGCCGAGCACCGTATCTACTGCCAATGAAACTGCAGTCACTAGTGAAGCGATTGTAGATAGCGCCCACGCTTTCTGAAGGCATGCACTGCCTTCAAGTGCAGATTCAAAACAAAGCTAGCAATGTTTGCTGCAGATGCTGTGAAAAAAAAAAAAAAACCTAACTCAATTATGCTCAATCATGAATGGTGACTATCTTGTTTGAAGGCATGCACCAAAAAAAATAAACGTGGAACCATTGCAGATAACTAAACAGCAACTGTGAACTAAATCATTTTTGCTGCGCATTTGAAATGCACTGAGTGAAACAAATATAGTCTGTTGAGGCCACGAAGCTCTTGGCAACAATGGGACAGTAGATGACAGCCATGTGATCATTTTATTGTCACACGTAGCGGTAAATGCAAGCGCTGTAGCTTTTTTGTGCATGTATGAGGGATGGTATTTATATAATTATTTTTAATGAGCTAGCAAAAGTGATAAAAGCTGGAGAGTCATAAATCCTAGTACAGTAAAAGCTTGTTGATTTGGAGTTCACAAGACTGGAAAGAATGGCGAATTGGCTTAATGCTGAATTATAAAGAGTATCGGGAAACAATAAACAAATATCTATTGCAGTGATATACTTTCATTTTTTTTTTTTCATGGATATTGCCACGTTCCATTTCCCAAGTTTTTGTTATCGTCCCAAAACACCACACGATTCTCAGCGCAAACCGCGCCTGCAGTTTTCGAGAAGGTTCCGGACTGTAGTAGATCATTTCGATAAGATCACGCCCACTGCGCGAACGGTACAGATTGTTCTGGAACCTACGCCACCACCAGCGATAACGCTAGAACATTCGACGGCAAAAGTATAAATGCCGACGCGCTTCACCGCTTGTCTGTTGTTGATCGAAGGCCGACGCTCCGTTCGCCGCTATCAGTCCGAGACTGCTATCTGTGCGAGACTGCTGCTGTAATTGGACTTACCGTTTACCGGGCACAGGTTCGCCCAAATAAACAGTTAAATCCCAACACGAAGTCTACTGTCTTCGGCCACGTCACGACCCCGTGACATCTGGTGGAGGTGCTGCTTCGTTCATGTACCGGACGCCCCCGTCAAGCCGTGAACCCAGCCCACGTCACGGAGAAGACACCGACGCCAACCAAGAGCAGCGAACAAGCCGCCGACAGCAAGGGCTACCACCGGAGTACGGGCTTCTACAAGACAAGGCGCGGAAGACCAAGGTCATGACCGCGACTGTAGCGACAATGACAACCGCAGCGTCCCAGCCCACGATGGTCATGCATCAACCCAGGGAACCACCAATTTTCCATGGGTCATCGTTCGAAGACCCGGAGTCCTGGCTAGAAATATACGACCGTGTGGCCGCCCTCAACCACTGGGACCATGACGAAAAGCTGCGTCGTGTGTTCTTCTATTTGGAAGACACCGCAAGGACCTGGTTCGAAAATCGAGAGTCTATGCTCTGAACGTGGGATGTTTTCTGCGGCGCATTCCTGCAAACGTTCGCGAGCGTCGCTCGCAAAGAGAGGGCCGCTGCTCTACTAGAGACCCGGGTTCAGCTACCAAATGAGAAGGTTGGAATTTTCACAGAGGAGATGACCCGCCTATTTCGTCACGCTGACCCAGACATGCCTGAGGAGAAGAAAGTTCGTTTCCTCATGCGAGGGGTCAAACAGGAGCTCTTCGCGGGACTAATGAGGAATCCACCGAACACCGTCCAAGAATTTGTGTCCGAGGCGACCACAATCGAAAAAACCCTTGACATGCGCACCAGACAGTATAATCGTCGCCTGACTCCAGAATGCGCTGCTGCTCAAACCAGTGACTCCGAAAACCTGCGTGAAACGATCCGAGCGATCGTGCGGGAAGAGCTGCGCAAACTGTTGCCTTCGGCGCACCCTCAAGTGGATTCGATCGCCGACATTGTGCGAGAAGAAGTTCCGCAATCACTTCGAATTCCCCAAACACAGCGGCCCGAGCCAGAAACTATGAGCTATGCCGCTGCAGTGCGCCACAACGCTCCTTCCCGTCCACGCCAAAACGCCGCCCCGTCGCACTTCCGTCGCCAAACTCCACCGCCGCCACCACCCCCACCGACGACCTACCGTTCACCAGCGGGCCAGCGCAGTGTGCCGAGGAAAACCGACATTTGGCGCACCCCTGACCACCGCCCACTGTGCTACCACTGCGGCGAGGCCGGGCACACTTACCGCCGTTGCCAGTACCGACAGATGGGACTGCGTGGCTTCGCCGTCGATGCACCACGTCCGCAGCCAGGGGAACGGCAACGTGACCTCGCCGACTACCTGACAGGAACTCAATGGACACCCCGAAGTCCTTCCCGTTCTCCGTCGCCCAGCCGCCGCATGTCACCGCACCCCCGGCAGTACTCCGGCCCAACGCGGGGCCGGTCTCCTAGCCCGTATCCGGGAAACTAAGGGCAGCAACCGGTGGAGGTGCGGTTGCTGTGCGGCGAACTACCGAAGATCCTCCGACGACGACGACGCCGCGACGGAGCTTTCCGAACACAATGCCAACAATGCAAAGCCCTGACAGCGAAAGCTCACTTACCGAAGGTGGCTTGACGACGCAACATGGAAGCAGCGGAACAAGCCGACGCAGCCGTGACCCGACGCCACGCCCTAACTGTAATGCGAGACGGCGAACTAACGACCTCGACGTTCTTATCGACGGCCACAGTGTGACCGCTCTTGTCGATACTGGAGCCGACTATTCTGTCATCAGTGGGTCGTTCGCCGCGAAGCTAAAGAAAGTTAGGACAGCTTGGAAAGGCCCTGAAATCCGCACAGCCGGAGGTCATCTCGTAATGCCTGCAGGAATCTGCACAGCGAGAGTCACCATTAACGGCCGTATTTATCCTACAGACTTCGTAGTCCTACAGCGTTGCTCGAGAGATGTCATCCTTGGCATGGACTTCTTCTGCCTCCATGGTGCTGTCATTAACCTAAAAACAAAGTCGATAACGTTATCCACAGAAGAAGCACTACCGCCGCGCACGCCGTCAAGACACCATGCCTTGAATGTGCTGGAAGAACAAGTCACCATTCCGCCTCGCTCAAGCGTCATTATTTCAGTCGGCGCTCCTAAATCACCTGACTTGGAAGGCGTCATTGAAGGCAGTCAGCATCTGTTGGTCACCCGAAATATTTGCGTCGCAAGAGGAATTGCAGAGCTGCGGGGAGGCAAAGCAATGGTTATGCTCACGAATTTCAGCAATGAGTACAAACTTGGGAAATGGAACGTGGCATTATGCAAATCTTGTCCACTGCGGCAGTGTAGGGGTTACGGTGCTCGACTGCTGACCACAGGTCGCAAGTTCGATTCCGGCCGCGGCGGTCACATTTCGATGGAGGCGGAATGGTAGAAATCCATGTACTGTGCGACGTCGGCGCACATCAAAGAGCACCAGATGCTCGAGATTTCCGTAGTCTTCC